GACGGTTCTCTTGCAGCTAGTCGTAGCCTCTGTTGTATCTTCAATAAAAACACAAGGAAAGTAGTTTCCGAGAAAGCGTGTATTCTGCACTTTTACTGTGCGCGGACTGAAGCAGTGAACGTAAAAGTGGCAGAGAAGAGCGCGGCGCGAGATCCAGATCAGATCTCTAACCGACTTAAGCACTTAGACCTCACAATCATCATAATAAATGCTGAAAATCTTTAAGATTATGTAAATTATCAGCACTATTTTCTTTGATGATAAAAATTTTTATATCAAATAAAAAAGTTTTGCCTGTGGCAAGTTGCTATTAAAGGTAAAGATTTTATGCTATTCATATCAGCTTATTAGACTTGGTATACCCTACTTAGTATCAGAGTAAAATGAGTCAGACTCCAGTGCCAGAAAAGACGCGACTGCCAGAAAGAACGCGATGCCAGAAAAGACGCATTTCTCAAAAATGCCAGAAAAGACGCGCACCCCAGCTCAGTTCAGCTAGCTCAGCTCGAAAAAATTGTCGGCTCAGCTCAAAAATTTTCAGATAAGCCCCAGCTCAGCTCATTTTTTTTAAATACAGCTCAGCTCAGCTCAGCGGTTTTTCAAAGAGGTCAGCTCAGCTAAACTCAGCTCAATTTCGTACTCAGCTCAGCTAGCTCAGCTCAAAAAAAAATTTTCAAAAATTTGCAACTCTGCCTTTAACCATCTTAACCTTATCAATAAGAGGATTCTTTGTTTTTCATTTTGGCTCGTCAATCGGCACTCATCAAATCGAAATTCGACGAAAGGACCTTGGTAGAAAAGTGTTTCCCATCGTCGTCATTTGAAAAAGGGTCCGAAAAAGATTTTCTTTTTAAAACTTCCGAAAGACCCCAAAAAGTTCTCCTTCTGCTCGAACTGATAAGTGCTTTTACTACGCCCCAGATTACAATTTAGGCCGTTTCGAAGAGGCACAGGGTTTTATAGCAAGCAACCATGTTAACGCGAAAATGTCATCGATTAGCTTGAACGGAGTCTTTAAACTGATGAGTATTAGACTTGGTGAGTTCTGGATCAAACTCTCGACGACTCGAGCGCTCAATCGTATACGAAAGAGCGAGGAATTGGAGCTAGGATGGAAGAAAGACGAGCTTGCGCTTCCTGCTGAATTCAGAGATCTCGATCCAGTTCATTTAATTCCATTGAATAGGGTTGAAACCATTTGTTTTTGAGAAAAGAACGGAAAAGGTCTTTATATTGTTCAACCCAATGAAGATTGACTTAGGCAGGATGGTCATTATTCTTACAACGAGAAGCAGCAGCCTGTCGAATACCCAGTATTCATTTATAATGGAGAGGGAAGGAAAACTCTTCCTAATCGGTCATGAATGGATAGGCTCCCTTGTCAAATATGATAAACCGCCAGCTTGTTATTCTGGCTTGTTCGCCCCGGACGATCCTTTTTTTACAAATGTCTTTGGAACTAACAACGATGAGTGCGAATACTTTGGAAATGGAATCGCGATAAACGATAGATTTTTCATTCAGAACTATGTTTTCAGTACAGTCTTCGAAATCGAGTTTAACTTTGGAGCGGATATTGACTTTCGATTTTCTTTTTTTCTTAACTTCACCTTTTTTTATAAAATCAGCAAATTAGTGGAATATGATAATCCAACTGAAAGAACAAATCGAACTCGAATTTTCTCAAATGCAACCAAAGAGCCTGATGCATGTAACGAGCAATCCTTTCTTTGCGTTTCATGATGATGTCTTCCCAGCGTTTGCGAAGAATCTCTTTGAACAGCAGCCTTACCCTAAATCTGCCAGTTCAGTTTATCTTCCTTATCCAACAACAATTATTCCAGACTATTCATTTTCGGCGCTTGAATATTTTGAGCATATTTCAACTTTTGAGCTGAAGTTGAGCGGAACCGAAAATATTGCGATGCAGTTAAACTTAACGGTTAGATACATACCGTTAGACTGTTGCTTAACCTTACGACGACAAACGAGAATTTCCCCCTACGACGACAATGTGTCGTATATGACACATTGCCTTAACTGCCCTCTAGAGGCGATTATAGAGGCCAAAGCAGGGCATTATGCCACATTGGAACCAAAATTAGAGTCTGGAACAAAATTCAAGCTTCAACTCTAATCCGAACTCGAACCAAAATCCCCGAAAAATGTATAATTTTGCCGGCGGAATATATCCTACCGACGACAATGTGTCGTATATGACACATCGCCTCTACCGCCTTCTAGAGGCCATTTTATAGGCCGAACTCCGGTCTAAATACGAGCTCGAGCCCAAATCAGAATCTGGGACGGAACTTAGACCAAGACAGATACCCAAACCCGACCCACAACCCAAAAATTCAATTTCTTCTCCGGTGGAAAAAAGTCCTACCGACGACAATGTGTCATATATGACACATTTTCAATGCATTCGTGTGTCATATACGACACACTAGTAGCGAAGCGAAATTCGCTATTCTCATGCATTTGTAGCGAAGCAGCGCCCATTAAGTTGATTCCACGTGAAAGCTTAGCGAAAAGTAGGGGCATAAAGGGGGGTCAGTGAAATTCTCAGACCGTGTTACAAATGAGTATCGGGCATTTGAAACTCTTGGTGTCATATATGACACAATTGGCGTGGTAAGGTTAAGGGGGTGGTGGTCGAGAAATTTTTTTCGACTTTTTTAAATTTTTATATAATTTTTAGATTCCTTGTTAAAAAATAAGCATTTTTGGTCTCTAGCTTTTCTTAATTGGACCAACTTTATTTAAGAAAATTTTCGATTTTATGCTATGAAATCGCCAGTTTCGAGAGTATTGAAACGCGTTTGTCTCACTAAAACCGATTTAGAATCGTTTTTTTATCGCGAAGTTATGTTTCTTGATCATATTTCAATAATAAAAATCTAAAAAAATACGATTATTGTGATGTTTACGAAAATTTCATTGAAAAATGAGTGATAATGACGATTTTTCAGAAAACAACATGTTTTCATTCAATTACTATTTTCTTTTCTAACAAGGTGAACTTTTTAAAACTAAGCCGCCCACATGCTAAAGGGTCTAAACTTTCCTCTCGGTAAGTTTAATTTCGAAAAAATAATAAGGGGATCGAGTTTTTTAGGTCAAGAGATGGGTCGACTTTGAAGAAATTTTTCATCATTTTTTCGAAAGAATATTTTTTTCAAACATAGCCGCCCACATAAATTGGACCCTTTTTGACTTATTTTCAATTAGAGAAAAAAAAATTTTTTTGAAAAAATCGGAGTTTTTTAGGTTGAAAAAAGTCTTAGTCTCGACCACCACCCCCTTAACCTATGTAACATAGGCTTTGTTACATAGAAAGCCCCCTTATAAACAGGATAATCCTCGGCAAAAATCTGAATTAAGGGGCCCTCTTGCCAAAGACTATCCTGGATAATTGAGATTTTTGCTTACGTTTATCCAGTTAACTTTGGGATAGCGTATGTCACAATGTATTCATCTTCATATTCAGTTGACTGACGAGGAAAATGAAGAAAGAAAACTTCTTGATCTCAGGTTTCCTAATGGAAAATCCTTCTTGGCTCTCGTTCTTTCACGCGAAAATTATCTTCATATTCAATCGGACTATATGGAAGACAGCATTTCCGCTCTTGTATCAAATATGACATACACGAAATTTGAATTTGTGCTGACAACAAATCACCAGTCAAATTATACAAGCTTAGAAGTTATTAAGGAAAGTTCTTCCATTTCATTTAATTTTTTCTCTAAAACGATGGTCTAACGCCATAAGAACGATATTGAAAAAAGCGAAGCGAAAGAATTATTAATTAATGATCAGCCAGACAAACGAGTTCGTGTTTTCAAACAGCATTGCTTGGGATTTAATCAATTAATTAGCATAGAATAAAAAAGCATAAATAAGACATATATAGCATAAAATTCATGTTCGACATCAATTAAGTGTAATTTTTTTCGTACGAATTTTTATCTGGGAATTATCTGCTCTGTCGAGTTTAGCTGCTAGACGACTCGAAAATTCTTGAGAACCTAACCGTGATGGGGTTCCCACGGCGGGTGTAGGGCGCCCAGGTTCACAATTGTCAGTCAATTTGAGTCACTTTTTTTACGGAAATTGTGAACAAGGTTCACAAAATTGCTGAACTTTGGTTCAGGCTATTTTAACACGAATTCGAATTCCAATTGTCCTTTTTTACGGATTTTTTCGGATTCTGCCCGGATTTTACAGCTACGGACAAAAGTCTGGAGTTGTCCAGATTTCATGGACAAATACGGATTTTGTCCGGATCGTGACAAAAGTCCGGTTTAGGCTAAACCGTTTAGCCTATCTGTTTTTTAGTCGACCAAAAGACAGAAAGTCTAGTCTGTCCGTACGGACAAGACCGGACAGACGCGGATAAAATCCGTACACGGACATGCCCGTTTAGAACCCTGATCAGTTCATCAAGGCAACTCCTATTATCTGTTGATTTTTTTCTTGACTTATTTTGCAAGACGGTTTTAAGGGTGTTAGAGTACTAATTAAGGGTGTCAAACTATAGCAAATGAAAGCCCGGGTCCCAGGCCGCGTTTTAGCCAGGGGGGCTCGGAGGGCCGGGAGGCTCCTGACACCCTTAAAAGTCGATTTGAAAAATAGGTAGAACAAAATCTACAGATAAAAGGAGCAGCTATTCATCAAACCCTTTTTTGACTTTTTCCATAAAATCCCTTATATCGCAAAGACGAACTCAAGAATTTTGTGCATTCATTGGATATATCAAAGCGAATACTTGTTATTCTTCCGGGAGATGAATATCATCAGCAGGCGTATGCATTTTTAGGCAAGAGGTAGAATTTTATTTGACATTTTTCTCTTTGTTTATTACGACTAATGATTTATGCATTTTAAATTTTTCATCTCTCCTGAAGGAGACGGATCGATAATTGATATGAGTTTGATAATCAATGCTCCAAAAGATGAAAAAACAGCCAAAAGAAATTTTCTCTCGGTTTATACAATGAACTCGAGGTATGCGGTTATTAGAAATGAACTTTACATTTTCGGGGAAGTTTCAATTCCAAACAGGTAGTAAAAGTGAATTTCTTTTGGGAAAATTTATTTTAGATTGGCCGACTCGAGGAATGCTCATTTACAACTCTACAACTTCGACTTAGAAATGATTACGGCAAAGAAAGTGCCGCAATAGCCGCTATTGACGGGGAGTATGGTTATTCATCATTATAAAAGAAAGAAAAATATAAAGAAATTTTAGCGTTGATTTGCTTTGATTTGCTTTATTCTCAATTTTGCGAAAAATTCGATGGCATCACTCTTTCATTTATACCTCAATTAGGGACGTCGCACCGAAGCGGTGGGCTTGGTCTCTACCTAGGTTATCCAACAGCCGTTGCAGGAGAAGGGACTAATACGGTGGAAACATTGAGAAATTCCAACTGGGAATATCTTTCAAGTCATCCAAACAGGTGATCTCATTTAGGAGGCAATTGACTGAAATGTTTGTTCAGTTTTCTTGTTCTTTTTTCACTCTTGAATCTCCCATCTGGCGCGTTGCTGACTTTTGGAGGAAGAGGTTTGTATTTTTCCAAAAATTGAATTAAAAAGACCAAAAATGACCAAAAATCGAAAAATGTCGACTTAAAAATAGCTCAAAACGCGATTTTAGGTCGACTTTGACGCTCGATTTTGTCATTTTTCCCTTTAAATTTCTCTAATATTTTTCTCTAAAACCAAGCCGCCAATACTATTCCAACCCTTTATCTGTAATAAATCATTACTTATTAAGATTGAGAACAAAAAAATTATTTTTAAATCGAGTTTTAAGGTTGAAAAAATCTTAATTCTCGACCATCACCCCTTACGAGCTAAAAAGAGAAAAAAGACCTTTGTTGCCAAATCTGACCGGTAAATCATAAATTTTTCTCTAGGAGAGGGAATCGAAGGACAGCAAATATGGAGACTGAAAGATTCGTCTTGGTCATTTATTGACCGTCTCCTTGTGGTTTGTTTTCAAATCTTTTCCTCATTCTCTAAAAGGGATTATTTAAGCCGGTCTCGGAGTCGTCGGCGATTCTCGTCGATTCCAGCATTTTCGTTTTTCCTGGCTACAGAACAGCTGGAGAGTATAATTTGGAACCGAGTATACAAAGAATAGAATTAGGAGCAGAGTTCGAAATTTCCCGCGCCGCAAGCTCCCGCGAGCCCCGCGGGAGCGGGGGAGCAAAATTTCTCCCGCGCCCCCGCTCCCCCAAGATATTTGGATATTCTTTCCCCCTCCCCCGCTCCCTCGAGATTTTCTCTTGATCTTTCCCCCTCCCCCGCTCCCGCCGTAAATTATTCTTTCCCGCCTTCTTCCCGCCCCTTCCCGCGCCGCGAAAACTCAAAAATGCTCCCGCGGGGCTGCGGGAGCAGCGGGGAAGATGGTTTTAAATTTAAGGGGCTTGACGGCCCTTTCGGGCCGTTTCAGCCCCGTTCCTTGGTTTTTAAATTTTAGGGGCTTGACGGCCCTTCCGGCCGTTTCAGCCCCGTTCCTTGGTTTTTAAATTTAAGGGGCTTGACGGCCCTTCGGGCCGTTTCAGCCCCGTTCCTTGGTTTTTAAATTTAAGGGGCTTGACGGCCTTTCGGGCCGTTTCAGCCCCGTTCCTTGGTTTTTAAATTTAAGGGGCTTGACGGCCCTTCGGGCCGTTTCAGCCCCGTTCCTTGGTTTTTAAATTTAAGGGGCTTGACGGCCCTTTCGGGCCGTTTCAGCCCCGTTCCTTGGTTTTTAAATTTTAGGGGCTTGACGGCCCTTCGGGCCGTTTCAGCCCCGTTCCTTGGTTTTTAAATTTAAGGGGCTTGACGGCCCTTCGGGCCGTTTCAGCCCCGTTCCTTGGTTTTTAAATTTAAGGGGCTTGACGGCCCTTCGGGCCGTTTCAGCCCCGTTCCTTGGTTTTTAAATTTAAGGGGCTTGACGGCCCTTCGGGCCGTTTCAGCCCCGTTCCTTGGTTTTTAAATTTAAGGGGCTTGACGGCCCTTCGGGCCGTTTCAGCCCCGTTCCTTGGTTTTTAAATTTAAGGGGCTTGACGGCCCTTCGGGCCGTTTCAGCCCCGTTCCTTGGTTTTTAAATTTAAGGGGCTTGACGGCCCTTCGGGCCGTTTCAGCCCCGTTCCTTGGTTTTTAAATTTAAGGGGCTTGACGGCCCTTCGGGCCGTTTCAGCCCCGTTCCTTGGTTTTTAAATTTAAGGGGCTTGACGGGGCTTCAATGTGAAATTAATATTGTTCATGCTCTAAGCTTTGTTATGGTTTTCATTTATTTTTTTCAATTTTATTTCTCAATTGTCGAATTATCTAAGGGGCCTGACTCAGGCTTCTTCCTTAGTGAAGACCTTTTTAAACCAGCCCTACTGTTGATTTTTCTTTCCCGCGGGCTCCCGCGGGAGCAAAAGAGAGCGGGAATCCTTCCCGCGGCCCCCGCTCCCGCGCAAATTTTCAGGCCTTTTTCCCGCGCCGCCCTCTCCCGCGCAAAATTTTTAGACCTCCTCCCCGCCCCCGCTCCCGCGCAAAATTTTTGGACTTGCTCCCGCTCCCCCGCTCCCGCGAAAAATTTTCGACCGTGCTCCCGCTCCCCCGCCCCCGCGAAAAATTTCAGTCATAGTTCCCGCTCCCCCCCGCACCCGCAAAAGTTCGCGGGAATTTCGAACTCTGATTAGGAGAAGATTTCACATAAATATTTCTTATAAGAAATTTAATATCAGATGAATTATTCTTTGTATTTGATCCTGTGAAAACTGAGAGAAGATAATGAGGAAGAGATTATCTCTAAGAGCATCGTTGCCGAACAAATCCGTTCTGCCTACTTTCCGATTGTTTTTATTACTCCCTGAACTCTTGTAGTTTTAAGTCTGAAACGTCAACAAATCCGGACAAAGCAACAGAACCATCAACAGAAGAAGCACTTGAGCAATCAACTCTACCGCATTTTGACATCAGCCAATGCAATTCGACGGCGGATTGCACCATTTTTGTCGATGATTCCCCGATTGCTCCAACAACGAACGCTTACTCTGGTCCAATAACTTCGTCAAAAAGCTACTCAGTCTCGGTCGACATTCTCTGTGATTCTTCTATGGGTGTCGACAATGACTGGAAAAATATCATCCGTTTCGGCGACGGAATGGAAATAGGTGCTATTGGAAATCGCCAGTTTGCAATCTGGCGCAAACCGAACGAACCGAATACGTTACAGATCGCTGTTAACGATGCAAGCGAGAATAGAAATGCGCCCTTTTGGCGAGACACGAGTTATACATGCACTGAAGTTCAATGGAGTACATACTCTGTAGTTCAGCTAGAACTTTCAGACGGTACAGTATCTTACAGTGTCAGAGTCGACGGCACTGAAGTTCTCACGGGCTCCTACTCTGCACGGGATACTCCAATAGGAGTCGATTTTTGGGCTTTTTCTCGGACAATTTTTCTTCGCCAGGATCTTCCTATCTCGTGAAGAACTTTTTCTACAGGGAGCTTATCCCTCCGTGCAGAATTGATCCTTGCGAGAAGAAAGCTAATTGTTACAAGATAGTTGACGGATGTGGAATGGCGCCGGAAAGAAACTCACTAATCACTTCTTTCCCGGCGGTTTTAAGCTGCGAGGCATCTGCAGAAGTTCTTTGTAATAAAAAATGCGGCTGAGCAGCGAAGAACAAGGCATTCTCAAGATTGGGACAGAAAACAATTATGGTTCTCCTGGAGATCGTATTTTTCTACTTGCACGGGTAGCGCTAGGCGACGACATTCGTTTTGCGATTAATCATCCAAACATTGAGCCGACTTGGAAGCACGAGCAATTTATCGACAGCAATTGCACCGACGGCGAATGGAACACCTATTCTGTCGAAGTCAGAAAAAACGGATCAGCGGCCGTGTCATTTTTTGCGAAAATCAACGAAAAATAGTTATGCAAGGAAATTACAACATAAGTGGGGCAAAGACTAACGGCTTTCTCAAAGCATACGTCTCTGATGGGCATGCTGACGCGGCTTATGATTACCTTGTCCGAAATTTCTTCTTTGTCGATACCGCTTCTTGCTCCGACCCTTGCGATGAACTCGTCAACTGCTTTAATATTGTCAACAGCTGCGCCATCGCCCCTGCTCAAGATAATCTTCTCGCGACCGTGCCGGCTGCTTTGAGCTACAAGGCCTCATCTGAGGTCTTCTGCGACCACAGCGCACCTACAAACTCGGAATACACGAGCGTTCTTCGGCTCGGTGCGGGACCCAATTACGGTGCACCCGGCGACCGAACTTTTCTTCTCCTGCGAGAACCGAGTGGCCATCAGATTCACTTTGCAATCAACCATCCAGACAATATTCCGACTTGGGCTCATCAGATATACACGGATGTCCCCTGCGTTGACGGTCAATGGAGCACCTACACAATCGAAGTCACGGATGCTGGAAACGGGCAAGTCAACTACGTTGCAAGTGTCGACGGAAGCATCGTCATGTCGGGAAGTTATGCCTCCAGCGGATCGAAAAGCACAGGCAATCTGACTGCATACGTGGCTGACAACTGGGAAGTAGGCGCCGCTTCTGCCTACAGAGTCCGAAACTTCTTTTACCAAATTTTTTGACTGTCCTCTTCTTTACTTTCGTGGATTCGTTAATAAAAGAACAGAGATAGGAATTAGTCTTTTAGTTTTTATTATTTATTGTTTGTCATAGTTTTGGTTCGGTTTTTATGCAAAAATTTGACTTTAAAATTTATGTTGTAACTACGATCTCGTGCATTTATAACTCAAAAACCGCTGACGGATGCTTTTTTCCAATAAAAAATATTATTTATTGATGCAAAGAGAGGGCAAGTTGTAATTTAATGGCCGTCCAAGAAGAGCTTATTCGGGCAGTTATTATTTCCGGCAGACTCTTTTCCCAACTAGTCGATAAATCAGCACATTCATCTATCCAATGACTTTCATTGTTCAAGGCAATTTCGGACAATTCATCAGATCAATTCATAAAGAGCCATTATTGCTATCGCCTCAGTTGTAGCCCTTTTTGGGCGGAGAAAGAGATCTGAGATCTGGAAGGCGGATAAGAAGGATAAATTTTCGGAAATCGAAGAAATGACGAAAGTCCGTTAGTTTGCATTTCCGTGCGAAGCACACACTCCTCTCGCTGCGCAAATAGGACCGAGAGAGAGAGAGAGCGCTGCGGAAAAGAGCTGCTTATTTAATTTTATTCGCTACATTGAGAAAATTAGAAATTTGGTGTAGATAGACATTTATGGCAGAAAATTAAAATGGAGAAAATTATGGAGAGCGAGAATTCTAGCGTCGCCACGGCCGGATTTTTGAAGTAAGCGCTAATAATAAAAAGATGAAATTTATTGATATTAAATTTTTATAATCAAAAAATGTGTCAATTTGAGAACTCGTTTCCGCTCATAAACTTTATGATTGATAATACCAATTATTTTCTTAAATTATTAATTTTCAAAATAAATACTCATAATTTTTTTTTTTTAATTTTGTCCCTTTTCTAGAGCAAAAATTAAGAGTCGTTATTTTTTAAATCAAAAGTCAATTAATCAAAGAAGACAGAATCGAGCGCCCGGATTCCGGAAATGGAAAGGGCAAGATCTTTCTCATTCTCAAGCCAAATGAGCTTCACGCTTCTTTTTCAGGTATTCTATGGCGGGGTAGATATGTCCTACGAAAACCGAGAAGGTGGGGCAGAATGCGCTTCAGAATCAAGTCTCAAAACTCGCGCTTGGGAAGTGCTCCTCGTCACGGGACTCAGCTACCTTCAGTTCAAGTTTGCTGAAGAACGCTGTAGGAACGCGTTGCAAAAATATTTACTGGATTAATTCTGTTGACCAGTTCACACTTTCTCAGTCATTGATAACGCGGGCGCAAGAAAGTACTACTTGGAAAATGAGTCAGAATTGAACGCAAAGAAGATCGAGTCGAGCAGCAGGCGGCAAATTATGCTGCTCATTTTGGCGATGACTTGGGGGATGGAAATTGCATTTAAACTCGTCGAAGGAAAGGTGAGCTACTGCCATTTTGAGTCAACAGTCACGCGCATGGTGCCATGAAATTTTGGCAGCAATAAAGACCATTTGTTTGAAGAATAATTCTCGATTCCGAAAAACTCTTTTTTAGCTGATTTTTCTGCTGAATCCGTGCCATCTTTTCACCGCCCTGCAATTGTACTTTCTCGCTGGAAAACCGAGCAAAACCATGCACATACTTTTCCAAGCCCATGTTCCTGTCGTTTTTGGCGCTTTTCTAGCCATGATCTTGCCTGACACTGATTCGCGATTGTTGCCACTTCAGCGAGAGGTCTACTGGGTCCAAGTAATACTACACCTTTCCTTCTTTCTCCGAACGTTCTTCTAGCACATGCTGATTTGGATCATTCCTGCTTATCTTGCTCCCCTTGGCGGAGTCTTCCGCATCGAAAAAGACTGGTCTTGGACCTGGCTTGGCCTTAGTTTCTTGCAAATGTACCACAGCATCGTTCTTCAAGGATTTTCCCTTCTGTTCTCGACAAACTTGAATCACATGCTCTGCGCGCACAAATTCGACCCTTTCAAAAATTTCAACTATCGAATTTTCGCTAATGGTTATTGCGTAAGTTCATGATTAAAAAAATAGCACAACTCTCTTTACTATTTTGTTATTTAGCTTTTTCTGTGCTGGCTTCACTCTGGACTGTATTCTTATGTTTTCAAAGGGATAAAAGGTGTTTCCCAAGACGGAACTGCCCAAATCGAAGATAAAAAGCAAACTGTAAAAGCTGACTAAAGTGATTTTTCCACTGTGCAATTTGCCTTATTTTTTCCGTAAATATATCAAAGGATAAGTTAGTTTTTCTGTCTTCTGTTTGGTCAGCAATGTTTCACCTACCGCGTCGAAAAGTGATAAATTTGACACATTCGTTAATAAAAACGAAATCTACTCGCCCTTTGACCTTGGCGAGCGTCGTCAGATTGGTTTGATTCGCGAAAGTTCACCTTTGAAAAAAGTGTATCGTCGCTAATCCACGATTATTTCCTCTTCTTTTCGCGGGTCGCTGGGAATGAGACTTTTAATTACTTAGCACCTAGGAAATTTTCGCGCTAACACAATTAACAAAATCACCTGTGCTGAAAAATGACCCCTAAATTTTTTCAAAGGAGAGTTTTTTCAAGATTGGCTTTTCAAGCTCAAATTTTATCCATCAGAAATTCATAATTCATGAAATAACCGAACAGGGATTCAAAATGAGAACTTTGTCGAAAGTTCGAGTCTGAGTTCCTTTTGACGCCAACTTGAAGTTCCGTCGTTGTTTGGGAAACCTTGACCTTGCCGGACGGTGCTGTAAATAAAGTATTCTGGAATCTTGGTGAGTCGTTTTCTATCTTTGGACATCAATCAGACCAATTTGTTCACATCCCTTCTTCTCACAACCTTATGACGATCGCCGACCTGGCGCCTGTGCCACCCTGGTCAACTCGAGTTTACAAATAGGACTAAAATGTATAGTTAGTTTCGAACTTTGACATCAAAATTTGAGCGCCCTTCACAATTCCACAATATGAGAAAACCATTCAAAGTTGTTAGATGTTAGAATTTTTTTGTTTATTTGAAGGTCAAAATTTTATAGAATTGAGAATTTCAAATCATATCTCGAAAAAAGGATGATCAGTTATTTAGTTGAAGGCTAAAAATCGCTTTATCTAAGGATAGAAAAATATTAAGCTAAGCTTGATGTGAACCGAACCATGTCGGCGAGGTGATAAATGATCTAATACAGTACTAACACTGTACATTTCTGACGCCTTTGGATATTTGTCCGGAGGTGGCGCGTGTGAGCCCCTGTCCTTAAGGACTACTTCAGGCAGGGTTGGAGATCATTCGATTCATCTGTCGGTTAGTCAAGGACAGTGTGCCAGCCCACTGCCTCTAATACATGCTGTAAGGCGTGTTTAGGTAAGTCAGAGATCGACCCCCTTGAGAGCTTCTTCTAACGATGCGTTTTTTGTAGCCGACTGAGATCATGGATTGGAGGACATTTATAGGAATACTCGCCCTCGGGCTGGCCAATGCGCAAAGCGGTAAGTCTAGAATTTACTTCCCCTTCTCTCCCATTTAGGCACCGCCTCGGGCCGAGCTAAAAAATAACTTAATCTAATTCAAAATAGACTGCGTTTACAACGGAGAATTGAGAGTCGACGGCGACGTTTTCAAAACCGACAAATGCACAGTGTGTATTTGCCGGGACGGACGCGTCGACTGCTCTAAACTAAACTGCACGCCACTGAACTGTCCCCCTGAGCAACAATTTACACCCGAGCATGAATGCTGCCCAAAATGCAAAGATCCGTGTATGTACTACAGCGATCATTTTCCTTTTTTGAAATTCTTCGTTGATTTCAAGAGTGTTTCATTTTAGAAATAGAAATTAACAAAAACTAATTTTCATTTTTGCGCGTGTTAACAGACTAAATTTCGCATGTGCATGTAAATCTCGGCCCGAAACGGAACTTTAGTAAACCCGGCCTTTGGCTATGCTCCCGAAGACTCTGAAATAATGCCCGCAATTCCAGGACCCCCTGGACCAGCTGGCCCCCCCTGGAAATGATGGCCCCGCTGGACCCCCTGGCGATCCAGGACGAGATGGAAACCCTGGTCGACCTGGTCCTCCTGGTCTTCCCGGCCCACCCGGACCTGGCGGCGAAGACATGATGGGCGCTGGACCAAAAGGCCCAGTCACCCCAATCGTCGGACCACCCGGACAGATGGGACCTCGAGGTCCTCCCGGCCCTGTTGGTATTCAAGGCGCTCAAGGAAACCCTGGCCCAGCTGGTCAACCTGGTGATGCTGGTGCTCAAGGACCTCCCGGACCACCTGGCAAAACTGGTATGCCCGGACAGAACGGACGAGATGGTGCTACTGGACCTCCTGGTAAACAAGGTCAAATGGGTGTCCCTGGCGGTCAAGGTGCTCGTGGATTCCCTGGAACTCCTGGTATGCCCGGTGCCAAAGGTCACACTGGTCACCCCGGTCAGGATGGAAAGGACGGTATTCCCGGACGAAACGGTGATGTTGGTGCTCCTGGCCCCGCTGGTGACACTGGTCCACCCGGCATTGCTGGTCCTCCTGGACAACAAGGTCCGCGTGGTATGACTGGTCTCCAAGGTGAAGCTGGTCCCAAGGGTAACGATGGTACTCCCGGACGAGCTGGTCCTCCCGGCCCTCAAGGAAACAAGGGTCCCGCTGGTTTCAACGGTGCTACTGGTGCTAAGGGTGAGCCTGGACCATATGGTGACAAAGGTTCTCAAGGTCCTCAGGGTCCACGAGGTGAAAATGGTAAAACTGGTCCTCCCGGTGCTGCTGGTATTCCCGGTAACCCTGGTATCGATGGTGTCCCCGGCGCCAAAGGTTCCACTGGTAACGCTGGTCCCGTCGGCTCTACTGGTCTTCCTGGTCCACGAGGTCCTCCCGGTCCTCAAGGAAACATGGGTGTTCCCGGTGTCAAGGGTAACCAAGGTTTCCCCGGCTCTACTGGTATGAAGGGTGACCAAGGTCCCAAGGGATCTTCTGGCGAGCAAGGTATGATGGGTATGCCTGGTCCAGCTGGAGAACGAGGCAAGCGAGGTGAAACTGGCGAACCTGGTCCCGTTGGTCCTCAAGGTCCCGCTGGAGAACGTGGTCAACAAGGTTCCCGAGGTTTCCCTGGTAAGATGGGTAACCCTGGTATCAAGGGTAACACTGGTGCTCGTGGTGTCGCTGGTGAACGAGGTCTTCCTGGCAAGATCGGTGAGCAAGGCCAACCCGGTCCCACTGGTACTCCTGGACAGCGAGGTATCTCTGGCCGACCTGGAAAGATGGGCCCAAGCGGCAAGCCCGGTCCACCAGGTCCAACTGGTCTCGACGGACGACCTGGTCCAATCGGTCCCGCTGGTCCAATTGGTCAGATGGGTCAAATGGGTCTTCCTGGTGAGAAGGGTATGGCTGGTGAAGATGGTAAGCCCGGTCTCAAGGGTGCTAATGGAGAGCCTGGCCCAATGGGTGTCACTGGCAAAGAAGGTGCTCCTGGTCCACAAGGTGTCCGAGGTCCTCCAGGTGTTCCCGGAGAACGAGGTGAAGAAGGTCCTCAAGGTGCCACTGGTCTTCAAGGTAACAACGGTCCTCCTGGCGCTCAAGGTGATCCTGGAAAGCCCGGTGAAGCTGGCGCTCCTGGTGATGTTGGTGCCCCTGGTGCTCCTGGTGCTCGAGGTGATCGAGGACATCCTGGTGAGCGAGGTCCACAAGGTCTTGTCGGCAAGGCTGGTCCACGTGGTGTTGCTGGTATTCCTGGTGACGATGGAAAGAAGGGTCCTCAGGGTGACCGAGGTGCTCCTGGTCCATCTGGTCCACAAGGTATCCAAGGTCCAGCTGGTGACAAAGGTCCCGCCGGTAACCAAGGTCCTCCTGGCGAGCGTGGTGACACTGGTAGCCCTGGTAACGAAGGTCCAAAGGGTGCTCAAGGTATTGCTGGTAACCCTGGTCAACGAGGTCCCCCTGGCTCTCAAGGACCACAAGGTGAACAAGGTCCTCCCGGTGCTGCTGGCCCCACTGGTCCCGAAGGTGCTCCTGGCGCAGCTGGTGATCGAGGTGACACTGGACCTCCCGGTCCTCCTGGACAGATTGGTGCCCCTGGTATCCAAGGTAACCAAGGAAAGAAGGGTGACTCTGGCGCTCCTGGTGTGAAGGGTGCTACCGGATCCGTCGGACAAATGGGTCCTCAAGGTCAACCAGGTCCTCCCGGTCCCAACGGTGTTGCTGGTAACAAGGGTGCTCGAGGTCACAAGGGTCCCCCAGGTCCATCTGGCTTCCCTGGATCTCCCGGCCGACCTGGTCCTCCTGGATCCTCTGGAAACCCTGGTCAACAAGGTCCTCCCGGTCAAGATGGTGCTGCTGGACCTAACGGTCAACGAGGTGAACCCGGTCCACCTGGTCAGCAAGGTCTTACTGGTGATATTGGTGCTCCTGGACAAAATGGCGAGCCCGGTCCTCCTGGACAGGACGGTCAGACTGGTGAACCTGGTCCTCCAGGTCCATCTGGCCTCGCTGGTAATCCTGGTGCTACTGGTCTTCCTGGCCCAGCTGGTGTCAAGGGACACAAGGGTAACGATGGACAACAAGGTGAACCCGGAAAGATTGGTGCTCCTGGTAAAGAAGGTCCAGCTGGTCCACAAGGTCCTCCTGGTCTCCCTGGTCAAGTCGGTAACGTTGGTGACACTGGTCCAGCTGGTCCCATGGGTCAGCCCGGTAACCCTGGTGCTACTGGCAAGACTGGCGCGAAGGGTGAACGTGGAAGCCCTGGTCCCAACGGTCCTCAAGGTCTTCAAGGAAACACTGGTCCATCTGGTCCTCCCGGTCCTCAAGGAAAGAAGGGTCCCGAAGGTCCTCAGGGTAACATCGGTATCCAAGGTCCTCCCGGAAACGAAGGTGCTCGAGGTTCTCCTGGTCCACAAGGTCTTCAAGGCCCAATTGGCAAGAAGGGTGAACAAGGTCTCCAAGGTCTCAAGGGTCATCCTGGACGCACTGGTTTGACTGGTCCACCTGGACCAACTGGTAAGACTGGTGAAGCCGGTCCTCAGGGTCAACAAGGTCCAACTGGTTCCCGAGGTGATGTCGGTCCACGAGGTCCAACTGGTCCACCTGGCAAGGACGGTAACGATGGTCGACCTGGTATGGACGGAAAGCGAGGTGAACGAGGTGACGACGGTATGCCCGGCCCAGCTGGTCGACCTGGTCCCCCCGGTCCTCCTGGTCCTCCCGGCCCAGCTCCATCAATGATGTTCGCTCCCGCTGGTGGCCAGAAGGGTCCATCCATGGATCCCGCCATGGCTGATGAAGCTTTCGGACAGATGGGCGACCAAGAACTTGCTCTCCGACAGCTCGAGAACTCCATCCGATCGATGAAGCGACCCGCCGGTACCAAGAAGAACCCAGTCCGATCTTGCCAAGATCTTGCTCTTGCAAACAAGGCCGCTGGTGAGCAATCCGTCTCTGGCAAATACTGGATCGATCCCAACTCTGGCTGCGACAAGGACGCCATCGAGGTCTACTGCGACTTCTCTGCCGCTGAGACCTGGACTTGCGTCGCTCCCAACAACGCCGTTGTTGATGGTCGAACTCACATCACCGCCAACCCAGCTCACACCTACATGGCCAACATGGCTGGCGGCTCCCAGATCAGCTACGAGCCAACTGATGCCATCGCTGGTGTCAACTACGAAAGCCAGATCACCTTCCTCCGACTCCTGGCTTCCAAGGCCCGACAGGTAATTTTCTAAAGACAATGATTTCCACAAACCTTTCTTTTAGCAAATCACCTACAACTGCAAGAACTCCGTCGCTGTCCAGAACGGTGCCACCGGCGCTTACACTGAAGCACTCAAGATCCTCGGCGCCAATGGTGTTGAATTCACTGCCGAAGGAGCTGAACAGTACAACGTCCTCGAGGATGGATGTGCTAACAGCTCAGGCAGCTGGGATCAGACCATCATTGAAGTAGCAACCACCAAGACTGCTCGACTCCCAGTTGTCGTAAGTGACCAGAACTACTGAATAGATGATTCCTAAATTTTAATTGAAAATTTCTAAAACTCTTTTCAGGATGTTGCTCCTTACGATATTGGCACTGACAACAAGCAGTTCGGCCTCGAAGTTGGCTCCGTCTGCTTCGCCTAAGCGAAAAACTGATCTTCTTTTTGGAACAATTGGAACCCTAGCACGGATAACGATCAAGACACACGGACTGCCCCTACGAACTTTACAGTAAAAATATTTACGACCCCCCACTTACTGCCTAGGTGATGAGAATCAACTCCTGGCACTTTTTATTTGCACGTCAGTCATTTCAATCTAACTTTTGAAAATGGCCAATTTTTTCATTAATTTACGCCTTATTTAGCCTATTACTTTATTCATAAAAATATATAACTTGCCATATCTTTTTTTATATGATATTGCTGCCGGTTCTTTTCGCCTTGCAGATTTGGGGACTCGAATTGGCTCTCTTCGGCGCTATCCCCAACTTACCATCCTCCCGTTAGAGGGTCATCTCGGTCGCCAATCTGCGCCCGGTGAATAGAACTCGGCCTTGTACATAAATTGTACTGTTTTTTTTCTTCGCCAGAATATCCAGAAACACTTCGTCGCTTGCGCTCTTCTATCTTTCCTATTCTACTATTTTCTCCTTATTAGTAGAAATCCGTTCAGTCATTTTTAGCGCGTTAGATTATGCATTCATCAATTCTGTACTACGAAAATTCCCTTTTCAAAAACAACCAGCGACAGCTATTTTGATCGAGGCACAATAATTTGCAGTCAATCAAAATTGAGCTGGAACGCTTGAACTTTCTCTTCACCGAGGCAATTCTTCACGCCAATTACTTCTGCGTTAATATTTTTCTCCGAGTTTCGAAATTTTCATTTAAAAATACTTTCAGAATTGCTCATAATTTTTGACAAGCAGCGATTTTCTGTCATTTGAGTAATTCCCTTGAAAAGTATTTTTTCCTGATTTCGAGCTTGGTTCTATTAAAAAAATATCTAAAAAAAGAATCTTTCCTCAATAGCTCCGGTGAAATCTTTCAAAAACTCTCAAAATAATATTCTGTAGTGGACAAAAGTTAAATTCAATTCCACCTGTTCTGTACATAACTCTTTCAATAAAAATATTAGCAGACTTATTTCTCGTTTTTATTCTTTATTTTTCGACCCGAATGAAGGCAAAGGTGGCTCTAGCTAGTGGTACAAGCAGGTTTGGCAGTGTCTAGTTCGTTTTTACAGGCATAATTCATCATCTACTGGTGGTTTTTTCTTCTTTTTCTTCTTCTTCTTGGGCTTCTTTGGGGGTTCAGATTCTAGAGCGGCTGCGGGTGGTTCGGGTTCGGGTTCAACTTTTTTCTATAAAAAGAAGTAAGGTTCAGCCAGTTTAGATTTCGCAGAAACGAGCAAAAGACGCAGCAATCAGTGGCGAACTTCTGCAAATATTCGCGAGTCACGTGACAAGTAAAAGAGAATATACGAGGAGAGACAACACTGATTTACCAAGATACAGGAAAAGATTGATTGATTTGGTTGAAAAAATTACTAAAAAACGGTAGAAATTTTAAAAGAAAGTGAAAAATTTGTTAATATTTTTGAGAAAAATATTTAATTTTTGCTTGAAGCGCTACTTACTTTTTTCTTCTTCTTTTTCTTCTCGGGAGCAGGAACTTTTTCAGCGACCGTATTTACCTGAAAAAGCTCTTTTCGATGTCAGAACAAAATTTTCTCACGTCTGATTTTTTCGACTTTTTGGGTGCTTTTTGTAGCGGCATATCATCATCTTCGAGGATGTCCTCGTCTTCCTCTTCTTCTCCTTCTTCGCCCTCGCCTTCCTTTGTCGTGGCGATGACGGCCAATCTTGAGAGTAGAGAAAAGTAAGATAATGAAATCAACGAAGAGAAAGTACCGATAAGTTTCCAGCATCAACACGAGTCCATTTTTGATGGTGAAAAACAAGATCGTCGGATGCACGACATTCCTTCCAAAGATAATGTACATTCTCATTGAGAGAAAGGGCCCATCCTGATAAATTATCAAAAACTCATTTCAAATTGAAAAGTGTTTGGCGAACCTGGAGAACAACTGTGGTCAGAATACTCCACACTTCTGGGTTGGACCAGAAAGATTCCCACGCGGTCATTTCCACTTCTTCTTCGATCACCTAATTTTCCAATAAAAAAGGCTCGAATCAACGAAACCCTCGTGTCTTACCATAACGGGACTGCCACCCTGCGAACCATAAATCTCCGTCATTTTCGTCCTTGCTTTTGTTGTCCCTGTAACGACGAGAATGAACTGTACCAAAGACCAGGACCAAAGCCCCAACATGATCAAAATGACGCTCACTTCGCATCGCACTTCCATTTCCTAGGAAAATAAATACACAGTCCAGACAGATGATTCACACCTTGATGGTTTCGGTGACAAACTCGAGAATGTCCGCACCGACGCCAATAAAAATCAAAAGAATCTGCGAGAGCTGATCGCGCGTTACGCCCTTGGCCTTTGGCAACATCCAGCGACCGATGATGATGATGAACAAAATGAGCTGATGGAGGATGTTGATCCAGGCATCATCGGAGTTGAAAATCGGAATGTTTCGGTTGATCTAGTAGTTACTTTTAAATTTCAATGAAATTAAAGGAAAGCAGACCCATTTGTCCAAATTATCAGAAATCAGGTTTGCCTGCTCTTCTGCCATTTTCGCTGTTTCATCATTCACTTCGAAGTCGTCGCCAGTGTTTGTTTTTCCTTTGTTCTGCCTTTCCAATTTCATCTTTCTTTTAACGACTTCGTTTTCTGAGAAACATTCGGCTGTTGTGTTGTATTCACAGGCGTATTGAAGCCTACAGGCTCGCTCCAGTACTTTTTTCTGCCATTGAAATGTACTTTTCAGCGCTGAAATGATTCCGTGTTAAGGTTATTGTTAGGGTTAGAGTTAGGGTTAGGGTACTATTTTTTCAAAAATTCTTGGTTAGGGTTAGGGTTAGAGGGGATGGTGTCACGAATCGACAAAAAGTCTCGACAAATTTTGCGTGGGCGGCTTCTCGGCTGCTAATTGGCTGGTTAGCCGAATGCCAGCTTCTTATTGGCTGAAAATTTGTCGAAATTTTTTGTCGGTTCCTGACACCTCCCCACTTAGAGTTTGGGTTAGGGTTAGGGTTTCTGAACTCTGAATTCTCAACTCACATTGGTCACTGTAGGAATTATTGGTGATGCATTCTCCTTGTTTTTGCCACATAGTTTGCCCAGTGACAGGGTTTATCTCCGTAAGCATTTCCGGAAAAGCACAGTCCTCGTCGACCAAGTCGCTTATGTATTCCCTCATTTTGTCTTCGCCCAGCAATCCAACCTGGCCAGCGGTATTGTTGTTTTCTTTTCCGGAAAGCAGAGAGTTGACGTATTTGTCGTATTCTTCTTGGTACAGTTTCAAGGTGTTTTCAATGGCGAAATCGTATCGGACTTCTGGCGCAAATCGAAACTCGCAGCCGGCATTTGAAGACTCGTTCGATAGCTTGAGCCAGGCTCTCGTGTCTTGGCACAGGTGCCGGTCTAGTCTTTCTTCGTACGATTTCAGCTCGAGAAACCAGATCGCTGGGACGACAGAGCCGAGATACAAAGCAATGCAAGGAGAGATGAATCGGTATTCTTGGCCGCCGCGAATGGCGATCGTGAAAAGCGCCTCGCCGAAGAGGGTTAAGACGGGAGCAAGAAGAATGAACATGAAAGTGGTTTTGTAACGATGCTGGCATTTCCAGACAGCGAGGAGTCCATGCGCTAGAATTTTTAAAGGCGGAACGGATTGAGTATTTTTACCTAAGAACATAGCTCTGGCTCCAAGTGCCAACAAAGCATCCTTCATTTAGGCAAGTTTCTTTCTTCTCTAAAAGCCTCTATCTCTAATTGAATTTCTCCGAAAAAAACGCTTATTTTTGACTCTTCAAAGGACAAGTTTTTAGAATCATGTCAAAAGGGACTTCGCTCAAGAAATCATTTTGATTGAAAAGAGTTCCACAAACCTTATCCCTTGGGATTTGAGAGGAAGTGAGCTTGCGCCATCGGTTTGATTGAATATTTAGCATGTTCGTTTAACTGGGCCTCGATTAAAATTTCAATGATTGCGAGGGACTTCTATGATCGGCTGTCTTAATTTTGCGCAGATCATTTGATCATTTGAATTATTCTACGCCATAAGAGTTCATCATTTAACTGCTGAGAAGTCAAATACTGCTATAGATCTTACGAAAACAAACGGGATTTTCATCCACCCATAATTATGTTATTTATAATATAGCAATAGACATATCCCCTTTTACTGCCCCCTTGAGGCTATCTTATAGGCCGAAACTATTTTTGTCCTCACAAAATCTGATAGTAAAAAAGGATCCTACTTTATCCTCAACGACTTGGGTAAACGGCAACTACGCTTGAGTAAATACGCTTGTGAATCAGGAAATATTATTCAAACACCTTTTTAGACAGAAGACCCTTCAGTGAAGAACCACAAAAATGCAGAGAAAACGCTTTCCTGGACGAGATAATGATCGTGAGCGGGGAAGAATGAATAATCCGAAGTACGATAGGAATGGTTTTTATTATATATTTTTGGTAGCAGTCTAAACCAAAAAAACAAAAACCAAAAAACAGTTACGATGTGACTGATTTTTATCAACTTGAAAATATCAAGAATGAACTTCAGGGACCAACTGGTGATGTAAACGTTATTTTTTTTTCTTCTATTGAAGATTTGACTAAGAGACGTCCGGCTCATTGGGGGAATAAGTACTGGGACAAAGCTATTCGGCAGAGCAGCAAGAAGGTGGATAAAGGACGAGAGCGCAAGAAAAACCGCCATGCTCATGCGATTTTTTTAGCTTCAGACTCAGGTTAAGTTCTAGGAGTACACTTTAAAGAATAGATTATTCTGAAGAAGAAGAAACTTTCAATGATACTGATTTTAACGAGTATGAGGATTCCTTCGATACCAGAGACCCAAGGAATAAAATGAATTCAACAAATACCAAACAGAATACTAAGAAAGAGAAGGGAAGAATTCGACCAATTTGTCTTTCCTCATCCAGAGAAGATTTTCCAAAATCGTCTTTGTCAAAGTACAATGATGATCAGAACAGAACCTTCACTATCAATCCTGACAACTTCAATAAGAAATAAAAATTGACAAAAATATTTTGACAATGTTTTTTTTTCTGATAAATATTTCTTATCTAACTTTTGCAGCTTGCTAATTATTTCTTAAAAGAATTACGGCTTGACAAGTCTTTTCGAGCGAAATTGATACTTTAAATTTTTGCGAATTAATTTCTCTGATCTAATTTCTAAAACTTATTTATTTTTTCCTAGCGAACTCTGCTGCGTTTCTCCACAAAAAGCTCGGTCTTTCTCCTGTTTTAGCTGTCAAGTGTAAGCGCATCGCTAAATCTCAGATTCAATGCTTACTTTTTGTGGGAAAGATGCTATGAAATCTTTCATGTCAAATACGATTCACCACCAAACGTGGCAAAAGCTTTAAAAGCGGAACTTGATCGATGATCGTTTAAATAGAGAATCTTCGATATGAAGGTAAAGTTTTTTTTGCTGAAAAATAAGTAATCATTTCTTCTTTAGATCTCCGCTGGAATTCTCGCGGTCGCCCATGCTAAGGCCAAGAAAAACGGACATTTTGTCCAAGAAGCTGGAGCAGCAAGAATCCCCTGCGGTGGGAGAATTACCGATGCCGGCTTCATTGTTTCCCCCGGCTTCGACGACCCAGGCCACTACTTTAACAATCTCAACTGTACTTGGGAGATCGAGATTCCAGGCGTCCGCGACTTCTACATCCATCCGGATTTCTTCGAGCTCGAAGGAGTCAGCGGCTGCCCTTACGACTCGCTGACCATCATTGATGAAACTACGAATGCCAACTACGAATTTTGCGGAAATCAAGATGCGGACTATATTTACACTTCCAACTACATTTGTAAGTTAAAATTTTCCTCATGACAAAAAATTCTCCGAAATTTCGTTTTTTGGATTTTTCTTGGCCATTTATTATTGAAAACAAATTTTCAAGTTTCTTTTCAGATACCACCGCGGGTTACTCGACCTCTGACTACATTTCATCAACTGATGCGACAACCTTTGGAGGAACGACAACAACAACCTTTGGCGGAACAACGACAACAACAGAGCAGACAACAACGACAACTACACCGACGACGGCGTCGACGACCTCGTTAGCTTTGAGGAAGGGTTCATCATTCAATAAATAAGAAAATTCTTACAAGAATTTTAAACCTTCTATCAGCAGCTCTGCGAGGAGAAAACGTCGATCCCACAGCTCTTCTTACGACTCTTACTACGACGATGGAAGTAACTACGATAGTAGTTACTGGGGGGGTAGCGATAGTAGTTTCTGGGATAACGGCTTCTACGATCCGATTTTTGTAAGAAAAAAAATGACTTTTGAAAATTCGTTTTATCTGTTTTTAGGTTGTTGGAAACAAAGCAACAATCAATTTTGTGACCGACTACAGCGTCGTTTTGAGAGGATTCAAGCTGCGAATTGAAAAGGGACGACCTTTGGTTTGTGAAGAAACTCAGTCTGGATCTGGAAGAATCACTAGCCCTTTCTACCAAGAACCATATAAAGAGGACACCACCTGCCGGTAGTTTTCAGTTTTGATTTCATTTATGAACGCTATTTGAATTTGAAGCTACTATCTGAACGCCGAGCCAGGAAATATCATCAAAATCAATTTCGAGAGTTTCGATATCCAGAATAGCCGCGATTGCGGCACAAACTGGCTCTCCATCAACGGAAGAAAACACTGCGGCGACGAGTCGAAAAGACATTTGTCCTTTGGCTCGAAGAGAATTCCTCCAAAATCAGTGTTGATTCACTCCGATTCAACAGAAGTGGTGTTCAGATCCGACGGAAAGGCTCGATACAAAGGCTTTGCGTTCACTTGGGAATCCGTCGAGAACCCTGATGGTCAGATAACCTTCGGCCCTCTTGAAAGTGCCGCGGCGTTTCATGCTCACATGGAGGTAAAACCGGCCTTTTAGGACGGAACCAAAAAAGGGAAGTGCATTTTTGGATTACCAATAAGATTGCTGTATTTGGCCAACCGGCCAATCAAAACCAAGATCCGGAAAATAACTCCCTTTCTTTGGTTCTGCTCCCATTTTAGGAAATCTAGGATCCAAAATTCAAAAAAGTCGAATCCTTCATTTTAGAGCTTCTACAATCAGCTCGTCTACCAGATGAAATTCCGCGGCTCCCGCCCGTGGAAAACCGACGGACTTCAACGATTCTGGAAAAGCATCATTCTTTCCGAAGATTTTTTCCAAAACGAGGGCGACTGTGAATGGGGCTTCCATCAGCCAAAATACCAGTCCTTCGATTTCAGCGAGTTTGATGAGTCAAAATCGAAATGCGAAAATTTAGCGAGCTTTGCTGAAAACGCCCGGCAGTTTTTCGACAATTTCTTGTGCATGGACGGAGTTGAAAATCCGAGATCGACTTTAATTCGCCTCAACCATCAAGCGAATAAGATAGCGCAGCTTTCGCAGAAATTGGACGATGACTGTTAGTGAACAATTATTATTTCTGAAATCAAAATGAAAATTGAAGCATTCATTTGTTAATTCTCTGTCCAGATATAAATTAACGAAATTTCAAAAATTATGCGAGTTTTTTCACCAATTTATTAAATAATAAAAGGGAAAGGGAGAGACAAATATCGAAAGCAACGAATTTCAAAGAAGATGAGTCCGACAATGTTCTTCATACACGCTTAGGAGTTAAAGTAAAGCTTTTGATAAAAGAAGTTCTTGACAAGGTAGGATGAGCCGGCGACTCCCCAGTCAGAGTAGTACGCAAACTGATCAGTTCCTGAAGGAGTTTCCGCGGCAGAATAGGAGCCGGCAAGAAACAGAAAGCCATCGATCAAGAGAGTGTAGGAAACCCCTGTCGCCTCGAAATTCTGATGCTGGACAACGGTGTACGTATTCCATTGGCCTTCAGTGCAACGGAATTGCCTGTCGACCCAATTTCTAAAATGACTTCCATCATTGACGACGACTTGAAGCAAATTCGCCTCGTTAGGATGTCTCCAGATTGCAAATTGTCGATTGCCTGGAAGATCTTCTTCTCCACCATCGCCGACTCGGATGATGTTCTTCCACTCATCGTCGACTCCCATAGAAGAGTCGCAAAGAACGTCGACCGAGATTCTGTAGCTTGGAGAAGCGGAGATCGCACTTGATACAGTGTTGCTGACTGGTGCGCGCGAACAGCCATTAATGAAGGTGGTACATTCAGAGATTCCATCACAGGGATCAGTTGCGCACGATGGCTCCGTTGGTGGCTCAGTTGGCGGCTCAGTTGGTGGCTCAGACAGGTAACACTGAAGCTGTTTAAACTTCCTAGTAAAAAGCATCTTTCGTTGCCGCCAAAGAAGTCTTTTCATCTTTGGCGGAGCTGCGATCCCATCGTTGCAGGCAAAGGCATGGTTGAAGCTCTGGATGGATGCGATGAAACTGTTTATGGAATCGCAAATATCTTCATCATCGTAGAGCGGCGCGACGAAGTCATTTGGATCACCGGATCCAGCGTAATCGCTGCATGATTCGAGAACTCGATCAGGGAGCTTGCTGACTTTGTTAAAAAAGTCAGCGAGGCGATTTGCCTTTTTATGAGCTGGGATGTTTTTGTCGGCGTAGACGGCTAGCAATCCATCGTAAAGCTGGTTGTACACAACTTGGATGGTGGTCCAGGCAGTCTCGGGATTAGACTGAGCATTCAGAGCAGCTAGAAGTACCGACGGAAATATCTAAACTTGGTTAAAAATCTGAAAATCTTCATCTTCTTTTACCCTCATTCTCCTTTCGAAAGAACTGGATTTTTCTTCTTAAAAATGATAATTCTAAACAAAACAGAATTCGATTTATATGGAAAAAACGGCAGTAGCAAGCTGCCCGCTCGATGGACTAAAGAGCTTTTTACTAAGTCATTTTTTGTTTGGGCGCTCTGTCGAAATTATAGACAGAGTTGTTGGCATAAATAAAGGGAGAAAAATATGAACCTTTTCTTACTAAGTCTAAGTCTTTTTACCAAGTTTATCAATTTATGGCCGAAATGGGTCAGGAGAATTTCGGTACTGACACCCGAAATTATAAGTTTTTCATTCTCTGATGGTACGACTATTTAAATTTACAAGAATGATAATGTTGATGAGAGAGCAAAAATCCTCATAAAAAGGCCGGAAATCTTCGACAACTGCAACATCGGGCGGCGTTGGGCGGCGCTATTCAGTTATTCCACAAATTTTGGCTAAGCATTAAGACGGCTGACCACGGGATGCACTAATTTGGCTGAGCATGAAACCCTCCTAGAAACATGTCGCTAGAAAACGTTTGTTTTTGATGATTTCAAGAGATCTCCAGGGGTTCGATCTGTCGACAACAAAATAAAAAAGGTCAGACCTCGGATATAGAATTTAAAGAAGAGTTTAAAATCTGAAGGTTAATGGGGACTAACAGACTGTAAGTTACATTGGGTTTCCTGGTTTGGTAAAATTCCTGGTTTGGTAGAAATCCTGGTTTGGTAAAGTTTCCGAAGTCTTACCAAATCAGAAATTTTACCAAACCATGATTTTTACCAAACCAGGATAACATATTGTCAAAAATCTCAAAAATCAAAAAGTGCAAATATCGACTCTTACCGTTTAACTCGACCCCCCTTAAAGTGAAAAATATGAAAATAAAATTTTTTTATCGCAAAAACGGACCAGAAATGCCGAGATTTTGCCAATTTTTAGTAACATAAGCCTTATTTATAGTTTTTTTTTTTCTTTCTTACCCCTCTTACTGCATCAAAATTCATTTTTTCAAGGTAGTTGAGCTGCTCTGAGCAGACTTTATTATTAGAGCTGGAGCATTTATCTAGTTGTTCGTCAATTATTTGTCAAATAATTCGTTTTTTAAAATTTAAATCTTCTTAATTTTCGTCTTTCTAAAGCAATGACTTAGAGATATGCTGGCTTAAAATATATCGTTTCTTCCAGATCACGACAACATACAGATTGGAGAAGTCAAGTTTTAGAATTTTTTTAGCTCTCGCTTGCCATCGGATGCGCTATTTATATTATGATATAAAATGCAAGAAAATATATTACATGATAGGATTTTGCATCGTCATGCGAGTTTTCATTATTTTTATAGGAATACATTTTTTTTAAAATCAGGATTTTTTTATAAAAAATCAATGGCTTTTACTGTTTAATTGACCAAAAATGGTAAAAAAAAGGCAAAAAATGCGGTTCAATGATGAAATTTGCCATTTTTCGAAGAAAATTTTATCGAAGAAAAATTTTAAGCCCCTACAGCGGGACATTTTTTGGAAGACTGTTGCCCACTTTTGTGGACATTTTTGTGAAAATTTGGGACAAAAAATGTCCACAAAAGAGGAAAATAACTATATTGGCATTCGCAAATGCCGGGATGATTCAATAGCAAAGTGACCAGGGATTGGGTCAGGTTAATCAAATTCTTTGCCTATATTCCTTTATTCATATGATATTGCGTTTCAACTGTTGCCGTAACTCAAACAACGACCAAGCCAATAACTGAAACAACCCCCGTACCAACGACAGAACTAACGACTGAACAAACGACCGAATTGACGACCGAAACAAAAATTGAACAAACCACTGTACCAACGACCGTACCGACGACTGAATTAGGCTCCGTTCAAACAACCGTACCAACAACTGAAGGAACCGCCGTATCAACGATCATAACAACATTTGAAGCAACCACCCTGCGTATAACTGAACTAACCCCCGTACCAAGTTCGAGTGTTCGAGTCATTATCTACCACGATTTTTAACAATAAAGTCCTCCCGCTCTTTCAAAAAACTAGATAAACAGCTGGTCGTTACACGTGATCATCCACTTGAAAATTAAGAGTGCTTCATGCTACCGATATCAACTTGCCGGACCAAGAGTTTACGTCGACAATGACAATTTGCCATAACATTGTCGTACAAAGAGAATTTTCTCGGGAAAAGCAAATTTGTCACGTTTTTTTTAACTCTCTCTTTCTTTTTATTCAGAAGCTATTGGCAGGATGATAAATACTGAACTTGATTCCGCTTAATAAAAATAATCAGTAAAATCAAAACTTGAGCGTCTTTTTCTGGTCGGTTCTTTGAGATGGACGGTCCTCTTGCACTTCATGTGATTTCTGTAAAACCAGAAGGTGTTCATCTGCTTGTTGAAGGCTTAAGACGAAAGAGTTTATAGAAGTTTTTGGTCTATTCTCACCTCCTTTGTCTTCCTCAGAAACATTCCGCCTGTGGTTGTAAAGTTTGAGTCGCTCTTCTGAGTGCTCATCTTTTGGACAGTAGCGAACATGCTGAAATTTTCAGTGAAAAAAAACAGTGAAAAGTAACTTACATGGATTGAAGCTTTTCCGCACCAAGCGACCCTCAATCAGCGTCGGAAACGGCTTCCGAATGTAGCAAAAACCCTCCGGACTGGTTTTGATTTCGATAAAATCCGAGCTCTGCCAAGCGTTGCGCTCGTGCGTGTCCACTCCTCCACCGACGATGTCGAAGCCTGATTTGTCGAGCACGTCGACCATGTATTCCATGTCGCTTTCTTCGTAAAAGATGAAGTCGTCATCGCACCAGACGAAGTAGTCAGTTCGCACTTGGGAAATGGCCATTGCTCGGCCGGCGAACCAGCCTTCTTCCGCCGGCATTTTGTATTGTTTCACGCTTTTAGGGGGATCTCTTTGTTCTAGGGATAGAAAACCTGTGTGGAAACCTGAGTCAGGGCTCCGAAAGAGCTTCAGCAGTGCTTTTAGGGCTCTGGCTCAGGTTTCTACTCAGGGTTTAACTCAAGAAACTGGATCCGTTCCTTGGATATTTTTCTCTAGAAATGACTTCAAAAGTATCATCCGGGTTGTCATCAGCTACGATGATTGTGATTCCAGGATACTTTTCCAAAACAGAATCGAGGAAGCGGTACAAGCAAGGATATCGAAAGAGCGTCTTTGTCAAAATCGTGACTCGGTCATTTATACTGTCGCCAGTTCTGTAAGTTAGCAGCGGCAGGGCGAGGCGCTTGATTGTCACGGGAAAGGAGATTTTGTAGCTGATTTCCGACGTGACTTTATCTTTCGTTGACGATCATGGTGGCTTTGTAAATGCCAGGAAATCTATCAAAACATAATTTTCGTCAACAAGTGCCTTCGACAACGGAAAATTTGACAATGTCTTTGATCATTCTCGCATCGTAAAATTTCGATTTATACATGATTTTCTCCAAAAGCTGATTTGCTTTTTCCACCGTCATCGATTCCGAACTTTCAAGGTTGACGATTTCCCCGTCGATCAGAAATTCACCGACAGTGCTTTCGAATTTGATCCTGACTAAACAGTCCAAAGGGAGCTTGATGATGATGTGAGGGGAGAACAACTCGTCTGGGGCGATTTCGTAGCCAGCTGAGACGAATTCGATCGGCCTTAATTTACAACTGACCTAAGGACCCCCCATGATGTCGGAATCAAGTTTTCAAACGTGGATTATGGGTTGATACCCTTAAGATTTCATAAATATTTTAAACCAATAATAAAGCTTAAATATTCCCCGAGGGCAAATTTTTTAAGGGTGTCGCTACGAAAGCCTATCGGCGATATGCTAATATTGGATTTTTTATCTCTCAGATGACCTTAAGGAGGTAGATATCAAAAAAAAAAATTTTCCATTTTTTCGCCTCAAACTTTTTCTACGTATAGTTTCGAGGTCAACGAGAAAACTTGTAAGCAAAAATTTTTTGATTGGACTACGTGATTTTTCACAAAATTGCCTCTAAAATCTCGAAAATTTGCCTGTTTTATAATAGATCGACCAATTTTTAGTAATTAAATAAGTAATTACTTAGTTTTCGTCCAAAAAATATAAACAGAAACCCCTGGGAACATTTATAGAATGATTTTAATACTGCTGAATAAAATTTCAAAATTTTATATTTTCGTTGAAAATCGTGAATAACAGAAAATTGATTTTTTTCTCAAAAGAATTTTTGAAATTTTAAATTCTGGCTTCCAAAGGATCTAGACAAGGGTCTTATCTAACTTCTCAGAAGAAAATAAATTCCGCCCTATATAAGGGTTTCGAGAAAAGTCTGCCAAGAAAATGGTCATTTTTAGCAATTTCCGAGTTTTCAACGCTATTTTTTACGATTTTTTTCTGGAAATTTTGAAATCGGCCTTCCATAGGCACGAGATAAGGGCCTCAACTCTTTATTAAAACAAAAAAATCATCGGTCACTATGATAGGATTGGGAGAAAAATCTGCCAGAAAATCCCGATTCTTGATATCTACCTCCTTAAAAATAAATTTCTGTCATGCTCGAAATCCGGCTTTACAATAAAAGAATTTTTAACTCACGTAAAAGCACCAGTTACGTGCAGCGGCGATTTGACATAATCAAAAATATGATTTCGAACATAGTTTTTGTAATCTTCATTTCTCCTCACAGACGTATTTTCAAAATCCACCGTATTTTTCTCGCTGTAAATGAATCCATCATTGCAGTTGCACTTATCTTCCGAATACAAGTCTTTGACGACCATGAATTCTCTCGGCACCGACTTGTCCCAGGCCGAAATCGACTTGAACTCGTCGTTTTTTAAAACTTCCTCGATTCGTTTAAAACTCGGCGTTGAAAAGTCATATTCAATTTTTGGCGTTTTTTCAATAATATGTAGTTCTTCTTGTTCTTTGTTTTCTTCGGCGATTTCGAGGTTTCTCTCGCTTTTGATTTTTCTATTAACATTTTCAAACTCAAGATATTTCGGCAGCGTCAAATAAATGTTGTTGATGAAGATTCCAATAATAATTCCGATGAAAAGCGCGTGCAAAGTCGGTCGGTTGCTCATCCTAAAATCATCATATTTTCTCGATTTTTTCTCATTCAGCATTCTTTTTATTCTAATTAATCTTTTGAGAAATCAGCCCTCAAAAAAACTTCTTTATTTTTTCATTAAAGTTAAAGCTTTAAAGTCGTAATTCTCAAAGATAATTTGTGCTTTTAAATTTAAGCCGACCATGAAAAAGACAAAGTTGATTTGACTCCGCTTTTCTCAAGAAAAATAACTGATAATTTTTGACAATGGAGTATTTTACGCGCTGCCAACCAAAATAAGAGCTTGAATGTAAAAAATTTATACTATAAATCAGAAACAAATATAAAACGAAAGAAAAATTTCAATAATCTTAAGGGCTTCGTGTTTAAATCGCTGTTTGAAGCCTTTCTTCCTTAATTTAAGAGTGAAAACTTAAGGGTATCCCCGAGTTAATCATTTTTTGCACTAGAGCTCTTTTTGAGCTACTCTTATTTACTTAAATTATTTGATGTCTTAAGGGTCTAGACTCTAGAGGGAGAAATCGAAAATTTCGTCAAAGTCGGGGGTCCTAGAGACTGTCCTTAAGAAATATCGGAGAAAAGTTGATTTCGTGAAGTCGACTCGCCGAGTTTCTCCCATATTTAACTTACGGAATTTCGGAGCTTTTTTCTCTTCCTTTTCTTTTCGTTTTCCTTCGCGCTTTTTAACACTTTTTGAGCATATTCTCTGTTTACTCGCTTTGACAATGGTTTTGTTACGCTTTAAATTAACTTAACTAACGGCCATTTCTAGCGCCAGAAAGCTGGAAATGAACATTCGTCCTGGTCCTTTTATGGAGGCAATCGGATTGCCGAGGGAGCCATTGAAGAAATCAGACTTAATCTTCAGATCTTTAAATTGAGCAAAACTGGCGAAACAGTCCCTACCGGGATAAAAAGAAGAATAAATAAGCTTTTGAGCTTCATGAGATGAAAGGCAAAAAAATAATCGAAAAATTTCTATATTTTCAGCGAATCAGATTTTTTTCTGGTGTTTCCAGAAAAAGGCGTGTAATGAGCAACTTTTGCTATTAAAACTGGGAACTGGCCATCTGTGAACTCTTACTACTCCATTTTCTTTTCAATAAAAAATCTGAAAATGAGAGGAGCAAATTTACTTTATTCATTTTACGTCGCCATTTCGGCGCAATCGAACAAAAACTATGTTCGATTTCCGGCGATTGGAGACTGGGGAGGATCAGATTATATCATCTTTCCTGATGGAAATACGTTCACTCAAGAATATGGGGCTGCATCGATGGGTAAAAAATGAAGGATCAAAAATTTGAAATTCAGAAAATTAATTTTTCGGAAAATGTTTATGGGGGGGCCTTAAGAGGGGGGTCGTCAATATTGGGACTTCTTTTGACCAATAAAGCGAGAAAACCTGATTTTATTGAATCAAAAAGAACCTTGGAGTGTAAAGAAAAGGGTTAAGAGTTTCGACCGGCGACAAGAAGAAAAAAAAAAATTTTTGAAAAATTTTTCAAAAATTAGGGTTAAAGTGGGGTCGTCTCTTGACCAAAAAATCTCGGAACCCTTAATTTTTTTCGATAATCAGATTTCTTTTACTAATAGATTGGACCCTTCAGAATCCACCGGCGATCAAATAATTCAGTGTCACTCCCTTAAAAAATTTTTCTTATTGATTAAAAATATCCGATTTTCAAAAAATTCCATATTTTTACTCGTTTTCGACCGATTTTTTATCAAGATTCGCATAGACTCGGAATTTTTAATAAATAATGATTCAAAAACTATTGAAAATTGATGTCTTACGATTAAATCAGATATTTTGATTGTTTTTGGCCGAAATCAGCTGCTTACAATGTCCCGCCGCGCACTCATTTTAAAAATTTAAGTCGATTTTTAGCAGGTTTTCCGTGGACCAATCAAAAAAAGCTCGCGACCAAAAAGATTTAGTTTTTGACGAGGAATTCAAAAATCTGGTCAAAATTTTCAAAATTGAAAATTTTCCATATTGACGACTCCCCCCTTAAGTTACTCCACTGTAGTTTGTTTTTAAGATCGACTTTGCGGCGAAAAAACATGTGATTTTTTGCTCTCCTTGGGCGACAATTTCTACACAGAAGGAGTAAAAGACATAGATGACACCAGATTTCATTTCACCTACGAGCTTGTTTACGGAAAAGCATCAGAACGAGAAGTTCTCAAAACGCTTGACTTTTACCAATGTCTTGGCAATCATGATCACCGAGACAACGCTACTGCTCAGGTTCAACATCCAGTTCTTTGAGAACAACGAGGAAAATTAAGGTTCTCTATTCGAATTTGATGGAAACGACGTTCAAAATTCCAGATCTATGGTACTCCTTCACGATCGAAAAAGAAAGCTTTTCGTTCAAAATGATCATGATCGACACAATGGTGATGATGAACTCTCGCGAAACTCATCAACTCCCGGGCTATCCCGATCGGGACTACCGGGCTGAACAGAATGCTTGGCTAGAGGAAGAGCTGGCTAATAGCGATGCTGATTATCTGATCGTTTCTGGACATCATCCGGTTTACAGTGTTTCTACTCATGGGCCGACATCTGCTCTTGTTGAAACTCTTCAGGTATCAAGGCCTTTTATGATTTTAGTTAGGGTTAGGGTTAGCACCTAAAATTCGGTCGGTACTGAAAATGTCACGAATGTCACGAATGTCACGGACGTCACGATTTTGCTGAAAATGTCACGAAAAAGAAACATGTTTTTATGACAGTCATGACATTCGTGACATTCGTGACAATTTACGCTCCCTCTTATCAATCATTTCAGCCGCTGCTGGAAAAGTACCACGTAGACGCGTATTTATGCGGGCACGACCATAACATGCAACACTGGTTCCACAAGCGTACACATTATTTCATCTCTGGAATGGGCGAAATTCCGAATCCGACGCTGCGAAACATGAACCATCCCTTGAATCCAGCAGAAGCATTTGATTATTTTACCATTTTGAAACCGATTCAAGAAGAGTTGCTTGGAATTCTGGAATGTTTTTCAAGAATTTTTTTAATCAACTGAAGAAATAATTTTTGAAAAACACAAAAAGTTAGTCGATGGAGACGACGAAAAAATGACCTTTGAGATTGTTTCTGGAGCTGCCAATATTTATTATCCAAGGGAACTACGAAAAAAGACAAGGGTCTGATTCGCTTCTGAATAAATTGATGATGCCTGCTTATTTCTTTGATCTAACACAAGCATTTGTGGAAACGAGCTTTTTTTTTTATCAATACGGTAATTTTTATTGATAGTCAATACTAAGCGATGGACCGACAGCTTCTAACACGCTTCTTTGTTATTCCATTCGACAAGATAACGTAACTCCCCTTGTTTTTGATGATAACGATAATAATCATTCCAATTTCACCTTTAGCCGCTTTCCTTTTCAAATATTTTTTTACTATAAGAAAACTCAAATTTCAAAACTAGAAAAACTCGAGGTTGATTATTTTTGATGAATTTATTATGAACAAGAAAGCGAATAACGATGTTTAGCAGTAGGGATTGGTGAGTTTTTCAAGGAATTTGGTGACTCGGTGGACTTGTCGGGAATTCATGCCATCTGTGCAGGAGTAGTTGTCGATGAAAGCCTGGAATCCTTCTTTGACTTGAGTGGTCTGCGCGCAGTAGAAATCGGATCGAGAGTGAGCTGCGCTCCAATCGAAGAAATCGCTCCCGCCATATTTTTCAGCGTTGAAGGGAGTCTAAAAAAAATCAAAATATTTCGCATTGAAAGAATTTTTTCTACCTTGCAATCCTCCTTAAGGTTATAAAATGCATTTCTAAAGAGTTTTTCAACCCTATTGGTGAATTTTCCGGCACGCCCGTGACCAACAAGCACATCGGAGGTCATGTCAACCCACTGCTGCAGCGTAAGCTCCGCATTGTCGGCAAAGACGCATTCTCCATCGTCGCCTTCGATGAAGCCAGGACGGCAGCTGCACTCGAAGCCACCAGCGGTGTTTTTGCAAGACTCATTGGCGCCGCAAGTGGTTGAGACCTTGCACTCGTCGATGTCTTGACAATCAATCGAATCACCGTCAGCGACAAGTCTGAAGCCAGCTGGGCAGTCGGGAAGATCGAAGATGATGTTGATGCAAATGCGGTTGGATGGTCGACCGTAGGGATCGAAGATTTCTGCGCAATGAGAGTGATGGCCTTTGATCGCTTGCTCGGCGGTCGGCACCCACGTGCAGGTTGTCTCGCCGTCTTCGTCGAATTCAGCACAGGTCATGCCGGAGGGATTGCTGAACTGGAATCGAGGGACATCGAAGAACGTCTCATCGCCGACTTTGTAGGAAGCGGACCAAGGGATAGTGATCACATTTGATGACTCAGTGTCTCGTCGCTCTCTAAAGATGGAGGGCCCGTACTTTCCTTGCCATTCGAAGTGGAGACTGTTCTGTTCGCTGAGGTCTTCTCGAACCTCGATTCGTGGCATACCGTCGCAGTAGGCTTGTTCAGTAAAGGATCGTCGACGTCGATAATGATCATCGTCATCGTCCTCTGGGATGAGTCCTGCATACAATTTTTTGCCAGAACTTCTGTCATCTTCTAAGTTGGGTTCGAAGGTTACCGCGATGAAAATTGACGGAACGGCATGTCTAAAAACCACATTAAAAAAAAGTCAACTAAAAGCATGTTTCTTACTGTAAATCATTAGTTGCTCTGTCTCGATCCTCGATCATAATAGCGATCGGTTTGTTTCCTGGGCCGCCAGTATCGTGTTCTGGTCGATAAGTGACAATGCATGTGTCTTCGTCAAGCTCGAAAGCATTCATGGACGCTTCATCATACGTGAAGCGACCAACTCCATCAGCACTTGTCGCCCATCTACAGCGGATGCGATCGTTCTCCGGATCTACATCGGGGATGACTTGTCCTGGCTCGTTGCCGAAGTAGCTGAAGTGTTGTTCCTCGCATCCCTTCGCAACGACCCAGATTGCTCTCGAGAAGAAGTGTGGTGAGCTGTTTCGTGGATTTTCAACGATCGACTTGTATCCGTAGCTTCCTTGACCGATCGTAGTGCCGTCATTGAGCGAGAAGGGGATCGTACAGCAGCCATCGCCTCTGTGGTCGAATCGCGTGGTTCCGGCCGGTAGCTCAAACTCGAAAGTTTTCCTTCCAAAGCACCAGTGAGAGTTGACGTCGACTGATGGATCCATCTCGATGTTGGTTACGGTGTAATATGACCAAAAAGACTCGTCTAAGCCTGGTCCTGTGATGCTCTCGAGGACCTGCTTACCAGTGGATTCGTTCGTGTCTATATCTGCCACCTGGCACATGTTTGTGTAGCCATCAGCGTTAGGACCACGGCGCCACCCGATTGATCGAGTGACGACCATCTTCGCGGGAGATCCTGAGTTAGGATCGACAGGGTTCCCTCTTACTGCTGGAACATATTCATACTAAAGAAGAATATTAGTTCTCGCTTGATCTACTCCTTCGGAAGTTAAAATTAAGGAAAAGATGTAGGAAATCCTCAAAATCTCTGAAATATCGTTACAGTTTTACCTCGAAACCAATGGCTCGAAAATGGCTCGCGGCAGCGACGGAAAAAAGCGCAAAGTCGATTTTCATTTTGAGAAGTTTCTATTAACTTATCTCAAAAAGATGATTTCGACAATGTGACGCGCCTTTTTAAAGGCGGTTCGCTACACATTTTCGTTTGGTGGTGTCGGAGCGCTCCTGACCTCTTTGCAATGCATCCGCGGTGGTGCGCCACTGGAACAAGAAGAGCACAAGATACACGTGATCAAAAGGTCATATATGAAATGAGAAAGGTATAGCCGAGAGAGCAGAATAAGATTTTTTTCGAATCATGCCCAGAAATAAGGAAAAAAATGCTTGCCCAGGCCCTAAAAATCGTTAATTTCGACTCATTTTTGGGCTTTCTGAACTCTTGATGCTCCCCAAAAGCGCCATCTCCAATTTGAAGCATGATTTTAGTAAAATAAAGAGTGCTTTACATTGTAAAATTTACAATCTGGTGCTAAAAACGGCAACGTCCTCAAGCTGAAGGGTGGTGTAGTGTGGCGAAATAATATGCACGGTGCTGCTCAACCTCACGGAGGCTTATCAGCATTCTTGAAGGCTTCAAGTTGAAGCACAAGTGCAACGTTATGAAAGAATTTAATTAACCTTCTGATAAAAAAGACAAAGTTTTACGGGTTTTTCAAATTCACCGAATTTTGTCTATTATTTGAGATAAATTTTCTTTCCTCAAAATTTCAACCTGATATTTTCATAGAATCGATTAGCAGTTTAGTAGTCTAAAATTCTTCTGATTTCGCTTTCAAAATTCAAAATTGAACTTTCCGGAACTGATGAAGAGAGGAACGTGAAAGTAGTGAACACCGCCCACCCATCTAAATTCAAGAGCTCTTTTCTACTTGTTCTCGTTAAAACTGGAGTGTTCTGTGGTTGCAATTGTCGAGGAAGAGCTGCTTTAGAAACGTGCTTTTTCAAAAATGGACCATTATTCAATTTTACTATTTCAAAACAACTTCTTCTAAAAGGAAGCCGTATCAGGAAAGGAATTGAAATTGTTTTGTCTTATGCCGTTTTACCGAAAACAATTCAAATACCCAAAGCTTCAACGCCCGCGCCACGTTTTGAGGAGAAAATAGAAGCCTAGTTAGCAAATTTTGGTTGGTACTCAAATTAACCCTCGTCTATAAATAAAAGACTATGATGCCTTTAGCTGCAATATAAGAAACGGTATTTTGGCAAAGAATCAGCGGTGTCGACCAAATTTTAGGAACAGTTTGCGAAAATTTCCTAGCAAAAGATAAAAAGCGGAAACGATTTTTGGTTAGAATGAGCGACTTTTACGAAAAAGGCTTTTGCGGAAAAATGCCTGAAGAAGTTCATAAAAGTACAAAGAGAAAAATTGAAGGCGCACCTTTTATATATGTTTGTGTTCCACTGTGGCATGAGAATGAAATCGAAATGGAAACGCTTACCAAGTCGCTTCTTCGGTAAGCTTTACTTTTAAGTAATTATTTCGTTTCTTTCAGGTTGATAAAGCACAAGAAAAATAACCCAAAAACCGGGTTTCAGCTTGAAATTCATTTATTTTTCGACGATTCTTTTCAAAAAGCCGCATTTGGGAAGGAAACAAATAAATGGGTCAATCATTACTTGGGAATTCTTCAAAGAATTTTGGTCGAAAATGACGAAGATAGTTCCAGAAATCAAGGAGGACTAAGCGAAACGCCTTATGGAGGGCGAATCGATTTCTGTGCTTTCGGAACTGAGCTGACTATTCATTTGAAAGATTCGGAAAAAATCAAGAGAGGAAAAAGATGGTCGCAAGTTATGTACATGAATTATCTCTGCAACTGGAAAATGGGACAGGAACAGGAAAGGTTGCATAATATGACTTAAGTTTTCAATTATAAACAAATTGCCTTATTTTGTCAAAATTTTATCTTTTCAAAGCTGCAAGACTCAAGTGATAAAAGAGTTGAAGAGGAAAATTCGTTTATTCTAGCGCTGGATGGAGATGTTGATTTTCAACCGAAGGATTTCGACCTTGTTCTCTCAAGAATGCTGAGATCATCTGAAATCGGCGCTTGTTGCAATCAAATTCAACCAAACGGAACTGGTAAAAATCATTTTTTGATTGGAAAAATAGGTTTGTTACTAACAAATTGTTAGGACCAATGGTTTGGTCTCAGCATTTCGAGTACGCAATACAACATTGGTTTCAAAAGTCAACTGAGCAGCTTCTTGGCTCTGTTTTATGCTCGCCTGGTTGTTTTAGCCTACTGAGAATTTCCACGATAAAGAGTGTCTTGAGCAATTATGCGAAAGAAGCATCAGATGCGAGGACAAAACTTATATTTGATCAGGGAGAGGACAGATATCTTTGCACTCTAATTCTTCTCTCTGGCGCTAGAATTGACTACGAATCGAAGCTTTAAATTTGCTTGAAATATCTGCTGTTGCTTACTTATCAAGATGGGAAGCCTTCGCCATTGTTTTTCTTCCCGTTATTTTGTATTCAATCCTCTGCGCAACTGATTTGGAAAAATTAAAATTGCTGGCAGCAAAGATTTTTTCCATATTCTACGCATGCTTGCTGGTTCTTCCTTTTGTCTTCCCTAATTTCTGGATTCTGAAGCTTTATTTGGACCCTCTTGTCCTGACAGTTTTTGCGATAGCGGCTATTAATTTGATATCAACGATACTTTTCGTTGATTTCAAGAGCTTTTTCAGTAGCGTCATTTATGCTCTTTATATTCCAATGAATGCGATTTTTCTTCAGGTTTTTTTCGACTCATTTTTTCTAAAGAAAAAATCCATGTAAAAACATCTTCCTAGATTTATATGATCGCGAATATGAACAATATCAGTTGGGGAACTCGATGCACGTCATCCGATTATCAAGACACTTCTATTTACGAACACATTGCCGCGACGAAGAATGACTACTTTATGAAAATCAGCGGCCAAAAATTTTCTTCATTTTCCGATCCAAAGGAGGAAAAATTCTGGGCAAAAATGCTCAACCCTGAAGTTGGTGATCTCAGTCCCTTGTCAGACGCGAAAAAGAAAGAGAGCACTGAAAAATTGGAGAAGGACCTCAAAAAATTTAGGTGACCTTTGAATTTTCAAACTTATTTAATCGGAGACTTTCAGGAACAAAATTGCCGCAATCACGATTCTCGCCAATTTCGTCTTCATTCTTTTGCCGTCATCATTAAAATTTATGCAACTCCGAGATCGAAAATTTTAAAACTGCTTTACTTATTCCCATTTCTAGTAATGACATTTTTACAAACTTTCTGCATGTTGGTTCAGAGAACTATTACGATTTTAAAATGATTAAATAAAAAAACTTCGCGTCGCGTAAAAAAATTCTCGTCTCAGCAAATCAGCGCTTCTCATGTCCGAGTGATTATCCGCGCAAATCTGATCTTGGTCTTAACCGGATGATCGGGCTTTCTGATCTGGATCATATTTTGGGTTTCTGGTTCTAAACCGCAGTCGACTTTTCGCCCCCGCCGCTGCCGCTCTACCGCCGGTTAACCGCCTTTTCATCCGATTCAAGCGCCTCAAACGCGAGAAAAGCGATTTTTAAGAAGGAAATAAATTTTTAGAACTAATTATGGCGGCTTTGGCAGAACCGAATATTTGGCTGGGTTATGAAGTTTCAGAAGAGTAAGAGATAACCTCAGAAACAGAGAATTCTAAGGAAAATTTAGAGAAAGAATGATGAGAAGAGGAGTCAGCCCACATCATACTAATCCCAGATCTGCGACGCTTGATTTTTGGAGAAAAACTTCTACGATCGCTGAATACAAACAAATTCAAGTAAAGATCATACTAATTTAACGGATTAAAGAAAATGTCTTCTGGTGACAAGAAGTTTTTTTCAATTGGAAGCAGGGCTGTTGATTCCGGGTCCTTTCGGATTACCCGCGACTAAAAAAACCATTTAGGTGTCTATTAATCTCACAAAAATATTTTCACCTATTATAAGGCAGCCCGAGTAATTATTGTTAAGCGTAAAAACGCGTAAAAACTTGCGGGTTACCCGGAAAAAAGTCGCGGGTAATTTGAAAGGACTCGAAATCAACAGCCCTGATTGGAAGTCAAAAAGAAATTTCGTTGGGTTTTGTTATCTGAGTTCGGTAACCTGTGTACAAGAACCTGAGTCAGGGTGTGTAAGATCTCCAATGAAAAATGAGAAAATACTGTCAGACCCTGACTCAGGACTTATACACAGGTTGCCCAGTCCAGTTAATAATTTTAAGATTAAGTATTACTAAATTAGTAAGAAATTTGATAATATTAGAAAAATATATTTAAGCTTTATGATTTATGAAAATTTCTTTAGCAACGAAGAAGAACCCAAATGAACATCCCAACAAGCTCGAATCACTCAAAAGAGGAGCATATGGTCATCGGTAAGCCAATTCCCCATTCCCACCATTATGCTCATCCCCTTTTCAGCACATCGCTTGGCGGCCATGGAAAAGCGTCGTATCGGTACTCGTTTCTTAGAACACGACGTCCGACCTGAAGACATGGAAAAACCGCTTCTCGAAAAGCTCCAAGAATCTTGCTCCTTGATGTGAAACGAGTGAAATTTTCAGAAATAATAAAAAATCATTCAATTCGTCTTTTTGATTTTTATTATTTGAGGTCAGTTGAGGTCAAATAAATAAGTAGTTAACTTTTTCTTAATTAAAATTTACAGTTGTTTTAAACATATCCATCCATGACGTAGTTGTTGGGTTCTTCAGTCATTTGATTTCTTTTCGTCGAGGAGTCGCGTTCGAGCGAGCCGACGGTTTTTGGAAGCAGGGAGCACGCCCCGACCGCGAGTGACGTTTCAATGTCGCAATCAGTCAAGTCCTCCGGCTGAAAGCAATTATAATAATTGACATGAATTTCAATTTGAACCTGATGGAGATCCCTTGGCTTTGGCAAGGCGAACGAGAGGGGTCCCTCAGACGAAAGAGTTTCCACACTTTCTTGGTGCCGGAGCACTGGTTTTGCCACGTGATTAGACATTTTTGAATTGGCCAGATTAGGAGGGACGGATCCATTTTGACGATTGCGGATTCTTCTAAATTTGAAATTGGTATTTTGGGTGGCAAGATTGCCCATTTTTTTGAGTAGAAGGGGGTTATCATTCGAGCTGCCCCTAACCCCAAACCTTACCCAGGGGGCTATGCCCCCCTAGACCCCCCACCTAGGGCCTAAAGCCCCTAACCCCCCGGAACCCCAGTTCCCTAACCCTAACCCTAACCACTAGCCCAGATTCTAGAGATTTTCGATGGCTCAAATCATAGGCTCGAATGATAGCCCCTCTCTACGCATTTTTGGAAATGCCTTTACCTAGGGCGGCCTTGATGCTGAAGCGTACGAATATGTCCAACTTTCGCTCCCTCCTGAGGCGAGTTAAGCTCAGATTCAGCGGCCTTCTGTGCGGCAAGTTGACGATAAGAGGCTTCGAGCTCATGACCGTAGGCGCGTGTCTGAAGGTTAAGTAGTTGCACTTTTGAAGTTCTACAAAAAGTTGAGCCCGAAAGCTGCTGTTTTGGAAAAGAAAGGTGCAGATGGTGTTATATGATTTGCTGTGGCCCAATAAAGTGGCAATAAATCAAACCTTAAGTAGCTCGGTAGTCTCCAAGGACTCGTACATTGATCCCGCCAGACAGCAAAGACAAATTCCGCAAAGAACGCCCAACGTGCTAAATAAATAATTTTCCTCCTTTGGATTTCATTCTCGCAATGACAAATGATTAAAGCCCTTTTGATGGAGCGCATTGAGCTCTGCTTCTTTTGAATCTTTTACCTGCTGCTCCAGGCAATGTACAAAATGTTTGTCCACACAATGTTGAAGTCTTCATTCTTCAATGACGAGTACTGTACAGTTAGTTGTGTCTGTAATGGCTTGAAGGACTTTTCGAAGAGCCCGGAGGAGAAATATGACATGGCGACAATGCTGCACACTCCTTGAAGAAAAGATTAAAAGTATGATGATTTTTTGAAATAACATAGTGACGCCCTTAATTCAAATAAGGTCCTTTTTTTAATTTTGGGATAAAATTTTCAAAATTCAAGTTTGGGTTGATACCCTTAAGATTTTTCAAAAATCGGTCTTTTTAAATTTTTATGGAGAGGGGGTCCTTAAATCCAGCGGGGACTCTTTTTAAAATAAGGGCGTCACTATGTTAATTTAAGAAAAAAGAGCTTGTAGACTAGTTTACGATTATAATCCCCTTGACTCGAAAATAAGCGATTCATCGACATTTCGCCCCAGGCGTGTGCTGATAGCCCGAAAGCGTAACTGTCGATAAATGCGCCTAGCTGTCGAGCTAAGTCAGACGCTGACCTCGGCGCAACTATTCGCACAGACGGCGCAAATAATTAAAACTTCTAATTTCCTTGTTTTGAAGTTGATTGTACCTGACAGAAACATGAGGAAGCCGCTGAAGCGTGCGCACCGCCTGCGGAATTTGTAGTTGTTGCTGGATAAGGTGATGCACTCGTATCCGGCTAAGGCAGTGACGTTCGAGAGGCCGGAAAGGACGACGGAGACGAGCATGAGCACGCGCATCGTCTTCAGCGAGTCTGAACAGAGGAAATCAATCAATGACTTCGCAGTTAACCTTGCTTGAGAGTTGAAGAGGCGCAGATGATCATTTAACCTTGATCCTACTCTGGAGCAAGTTGCTAATGAGCTGAGCCAGGCGCAAGCAGCTTACTCACAGCAGAATCGATAACTTCAATCAAAGCAAATCAATCGATCTCCTCGTTTTACTGCCGCCCAACTTCGACTCTCGCAAAACATAATTTACTACCCTAGACAGCTTTGAATGAAAAAAATAACTCTGTGACTTATCACTAATAAGACTGATAAGTTATCAGCGAGTTTTAAACTAATGTTTTGATTAAATCAGCTGAAAAAAATTGTCTTCATTTTGACCTCTGGAGAGTCTGGAGAAAAATCCACAGGAAAAGCTAATAAGGGATGACGACGCCCTTAAGAATTGATAAATAACTTACAGGGGTTCTCGGAAGAGTCTTCGTCCGTTGACAACACTTCTTCCTCTGGAAACTCATCCATGCACATGTACGATCCAGGGAGGTACCGAGTACATCCCCTCCATAATCCAAGCATGGCGCCCTAGAATCCCTTGAAACAGAAAAAACGGGGGAAAGACAAACCTGATGAGTAAATTTGTTGGTATCTTTTGGAACGAGCCTGACCCATGTCGGCCAGACAGTGACCAGTAGTTGCAAGACGAAATTAGAAAAGGAACCAAGAAAAATCAAAACCTTTTTTGGAGCTCCAAATTTTTAAAGTAAAAAAGGATCGAGCAAGATCTGAGATCGATAACGAGCTCAAAGTTAACTACATATACACAATTCGGTTAAGTGCATTCATCTCAATTCTCAAATGGCGGTACTGTACGAGTAACAGTACGAGAGAAGCATTACAATTTCATTTTTGCTTGAAAAATTAATGAAAAATGAGCAAAAGATTCTCATTCGACGCAGTCACAGGCCGGCTAATTCTGTTGTCATGTTGTTGTTTTGACGATAATACAGTAGTAACAGTAACAAAATGGGAAGTTAAAATGCTGTCACTAGTCAAATGAAAGGTTTTTGAAGATAATATTTGATAAAAAAAAACAGAAAAATTAGTTTGTACTTTGATTTAGCCGTTATTATAAATTTAACCCCCTGACGTACAGAGGACAAAAAATTTGAGTCCTTAGAAATTTTTGAGTTTTTCCGGAAAACATCAAAAATATGAGAGAAATATTAAAAACTATTAATTTATTTCACTCATTTATTATTTTATTTTTATTAATTATAATCGAAAAGCTTCATTTTAACTCATTCCTGAGCCCATTCCTGACATGCTGCTCGTTTCCTTCTTTTTGTTCCCATTCAGCACAACTCTCTTCTATCCAGATCTGGAGTAATCATTTGTCTCTTACTATTATCTATTCGCTCTTTCAGTTCTTGCTCGGGTTCATTCGACAGTTTCTTTTTCAAAAGTTTGTCCTTTGTGCGGCGCGCGTAATTAGCGCCTTCCACAATCTATGGATTGGGTTTTGTGCTCAGGAGAAAAAAGGAGAGATAAAGGCGTCGCTCTTTAGGAAAAATTCGGTTTTGGAATTGTCCTCGAGGGAGGTGTCGCACTCGCCCGCGGCGCAGCGCCCATGACAAGCGATGTCACGCTCCCCATACGACACGTCGGTACTTATTTCACATCTGTCCAGTCATTTATATTCAAAAGAGGAAGTTAAACGCGCGCCGTTTAGCTCCTGCTAAAGATCTTTAATTTACACAAATAAAGTGGCCTGACAGCTTCTTTGCGACATCCTGATCTGAAGATGATAACTGTTTAAATGAAGTACTGTCGAGTCGTTTTTTCAGTACTGTTGTCTTGTCATTTTGATACTGTGATGCAGTGCCAATACAGTAATGCTAGTAATAGCTACGCTGGCCAACCTGTGTTGAAAACTAAAGTCAGGGACCCTGACTCAGGGTCGAAAAGATTATTATTGAAAAGCCGCGGTGCGGCTTTTTTTTCAAACAAAGCCGCAAAGTGGCTTTGCAAATAAAATTATCAATCTTTTTTAGTGTCGATCTTTTTGGATAGTTATGGAAGTGAAAATCAGATAATATAGATTATCGAGCTTTTATTCATTATTTTCGCCTCTCCTGAGAGCAGCCGTAATTCAGTTAACATCATAATTTTATAATGAATTAGGCGCCATTCTCAACGGGCGCGAGCGCAAATTTAATTGCGGCTTATTTGTGATGTCGATAATGCGCGTCGTCGTTGTCAGCATCTCCCGACGCATTAGCGTCTCACTTCTTAAATAAGGGTGTATCTATCTTAACTTTGAAGAAACACCTTGATTTGGGCTAGACGACCTGTGTGGGAAACATGAGTCAGGGTCAAAAAGATCTCTATGAGAAGCCGCGTAGAGAACTTTCAGACCCTGACACAGGTTTTCCACAGGAACGAGTTCGATCGGCCTGAATTAACAACTGAGTTAAGGACCCCCCCCCGTGAGTTTGGAATGAAGTTTTCAAACATGGATTATGGGTTGATACCCTTAAGATTTCATAAAATATTTTTAACCAATAATAGAGCTTGATAGTTGCCCGAGGGCAAATTTCTCGCAGAATTCTTAAGGGTGTCGCTACGATATGCTAATATTGGATTTTTTAAACAAGGATATCTCTCAGATGACCTTAAAACTTGTAATGCTTGAAACATTGATTGCTGTAAGCGCTTTTGAATAAAACCTTTTCCATCATTTTATCAGGTGATGTTTGGAAAGGCGGCTAACTCAATCAGACTGTTGTTGATCTTCCACGGGTGCAATTCAAGCACCAGCCCCGTCATCTCCTCGAGTACAGCTTTTTTCAACCGTTCGGGCGATGATGAATAAATCAACAAAATAAAAGACCTCAAGAATTTAGCGAAACAGGCGAACGCGTTAAAAATGAATACTTGGGTTCATAGGAGCGCTGGGCAGTTATCAGCGTTGAATTTTTGAGCAGATAGGGGTTTTCCTCAACAAAGGATATTTGCAGCGAAACAAGGGAAAATTAAACTTTCAAGAAACTCGGGGAAGATGGAACTCTTTGAACTTATCTCTTTACTCATCCTGCTAATTCCTGGGTAAGGGTTAGGGTAAGCGTTGTTTTAAAAACCTGTGTAAGGGTCTGAAAAATCTTAAGTGAAAAGCCGCTAGCGGCTTTTTTAGAAAAGAAGCCGCGAAGCCTTCGCAATAAAATCATAAGTTTTGGCGAAGCCGCTTCGCGTCTCCTTTTTTAAAATAGCCGCTACGCGGCTTTTCGTTACAGCTCTTAAGGACCCTGACTCCGGTTTTGTACACATGCTGCAAAGCCCAAGTACGAAAAAGAAAGTGGGAAACCCATATTGAAAGTGTTATTCGATCAATGACTTTAGCAGCCTCTTTGCTTGTAAATAAACTCTGCAAGGTCAGAAAAGATACCGCCCAACTACGCGTTCTCCAGCTGGAACCGATTGCCGATTTCGCGACAAGGGGATCATAAATCAACGGACATTTTATTGTGGTTTCTCCTTGAAATTTGAAGAAAGGGATTAGAAAGTTGGCTGTGCCATAAATAATTAGAAATGAGATGCCCAAAATAGACGAGAAAATCAAGAAGATAAATCTTAAATTGTTTATTTCGAAGTTTCTGATTGGCCAATTAGCCGATGTCATTTAAAAAAGCGAAAATTGACGATCTTCGACCAGATTTTCAACCTCAAATCGACCATTTTTGAGCCAGAATATCAATTTCTTCGAAAAAGGGGCCAGTAGCAAATGAGAAAAAAAATGAAAATAAATCAGTCAGGCGAGGATAAGTATAATTCATGAGTGTTTTATTAACTTGGTCAGACACTCCCCTGAGGGCGAATCGAATTGGATGACGGATTTCCAGTTGAGACAACTTGCCCAAGGTGCCAAAACTCAATCTATCAAAGTATTTAGTAGCTGACTCGGAGAACAACTGCTGCTCATCAAAAACGACTGCCGCAAAAAGAGTAAAGGCGAGTTCCTTGGAATCCTTAATTAAACAGACAGATATTCGGCAAATCGGATAATTCATGAGACAGGAGCAGAAGGAGGATCAGCTGGATCAGGCGCATCGATTCAGAAGGACTCAAACGCAGCGCAAAAGACAATCACCAAATTGCATACTTTCATATTTATCTTAGTTGCTCTTCTCGAAATTGCACTGGGCAATTATAGCTCCACAAATCTGCATCCGTGATACGGTATCATCAAATCACTGATACATACTGTAGATACAGTACTACATACTATCTTTACAAAAAACATGCTTTCACCTCAAAAGAGTGAATTGTGTCTTCCGATGTATATTCCAGCGCAATCGTGATACTTCCATTGTTGTTGAGGACAAGAGGAGCTTGAGTCGATGGAATTTCTTCGATTATTTTTATGTCTCCTCCAACCCAGTAATAAGCTCTTATTCGACAAGTTTCACTATCCCATGGATTTATTGAAATGATCATTCCGTCAGGCGCTGTCCAAACTGTGAAAATCCCATGAAAAGGACCCGGCTCCCAGCCAGTCGTTGAAGAAAAATCGGTTGTTGACGGAAAATCGGTCGTTGAAGGATCACAAAAAACAAGTGGAAAGAACCACCAAAGCATCATTCTCTCAGAAATGAAAATGAGACAAGAAAACGCGGCCAAAGTATGCATTTTCTACTTAAAATGTCACGGCATAATTATGGGCAAATCCAGATCATTCAATGCCATTTCAATTTGATGAAGTGCGTTTTGGCGAATGTTCCTTCTCCGGTCAGAAATTTTAAAAATTCAGAATAAGTTTTGATTTATCGAAAATTTATTTTTCAATTGCAAAAGCATCATTTCTCAGCGCAAGTTCAACATTATCTTCACAAGAGTCGTATTTTTTCTTCATAATCGCCATAAAAGCTCTCCACCAAATCAGGTTCGATTTTTCGTTCTCTTCGTTGATTTTTATCGGTGCAAAGAAAATCATTTCAACAAGAACTGCAAAAGAAGCTCCGAGAATCTCCGAAAGCCACCAAATCCAGTGGTAGTTGAAATCTAACGTCACAAGCGCTGGTCCGAAAATTCTGAAAGTATACTTTTTCGGGTTGGATTTCGAGAATCTCACCTAGCAGGATTCATACAGCCGGCACCAATAAACCATCCTCCGAAAACTCCTTGTGTCACAGTCAATCCAATCACCAGCGGCGTCAACGAATGAAAATAGCTCGGGTCCATCACCGCCATCAGTGCTACGAATGCCATCATGAAGGAGAACAAAAACTCTGCCCAGAAAATTGCATGCAGATCGGACTCTTCGGTGATCGGAATTATCCCCACTGGGCTTCCGCGGAGAATTGACGCTGACAGTGCTGCTAGATATGCACCTGAAGATGGGCTCGGAAACCTGTGTAGAAACCTGAGTCAGGGTCTAACGCTCCTTTTAGACCTTTACTCAGGTTTTTAACACAGTTTTGCTGAGCCCAGACCTAGACATTGGAAGATGATATTCGGCAGGCAAAGTCGCCAGGGAATCGAGCCAGAGAGGCAAAATGCAACAGTCATGCACGGGTTAAATTGAATTATGCAAATGTCCCAGAACATTGTGATGATGATTGTCAGATTGATTCCAGCGGCGAGAGCAGGAATCAGCGGCCAGGTCGGATCGGAACTGATTGTTGAAGAAGTCGCTTGAAGCATGCAGGCCCAAAAGACCAGCATAAATGTGGCGATGAATTCTGCAGCGACGGGTTTTATCCAGCGCTGGAAAAATCGAGCGAAAATAAATAAGCACTTGAAGTCATCTGTGAAAAAATTCGGAAGTTCGGCAATATTTGGCTCGCCTCGATTATGATTGTTCATAAGAAAATGTTATTTATCCCCAGATAAAAATTTTTCTATTAATTTCGGCGTCATTCAATTTTAAATAAATATGAATTATATAATCGAAAGAAAAAAGGATAAGAATACGATCACTTTCCTGAATGCCGGTTAAAATTTCCATTTTCATCTCTCCACTCAATTTTGTTATATTCATCTTCAAATTCTCTCGATTTCATTTTTTAGATTTTTTATAAAAATCAAAAATGAAGGGATTGTTTCAAAGGAGGAAATAGACAAGCAGCTGTCGAAAAATCATCATCTGAGCTATTTTTTCAGAAGATCTTTTCAGTTCAAAATCTTCAACCGTCAAGTTAAGATCTGGATTAGCACTTTTCAGTGACTGTAATTTCACATCTTTGGCGAGATTATTATTTGCGCGGAAGTGATCAGCGGGCTTTTTCGATATTGTTGGAATTCTATTTTCGGTGGGCGAATAAATACATAATCCAGAGTTTTGATCAAGTGGTGAATTGGCTTACATGGCCGGGTCCACTTTGTCCACAGGTGGGAATTTAGTACCCGGATACGGCTACCCATATTATACTTGCGCGCGTTTTGCTCCGCCGACACTTTGTTTATTTCATCAATAGTGATACTGACTGACAGTCTTTTCTTTCCAAGAAGCATTTCATTCAGCCTTTTTCTTCGCAAGCAATACTCGCATTTGGCAGTTCGCAACCGGTCTGGCTTAAAATCTGCCCGACCGCAGAATTTTTCGATACAATGGGTCTCGATCGCCCCATTCTGTCGCCGGAATGCGACCAGAGTATGTGCCTGAGTTATTGGTCAATACGTCCCCGTGGTGACGCCTGCCGTCAAATATTTTATACGAACTCATAATAGAACAATATCCAGAAGGTTAACCGCCAAAAATGCCGAATGGTTTTGCTCGCTTGTTAGCTCAATTATACATGTCTCCTTTATTTCTGGGCTTTGCAACCTGTGTTAGAGACCTGAGTCAGGTTCTGACAATTTAAAATGAAAAGCCGCGAAGCGGTTTTTTCTTAAAACGAAGCCGCGAAGCGGCTTCGCCAATGGCGAATCGCCATTATTTTATACCAAATTTAAATTTGCGGTTAGGGTTAGGGTTAGGGTTAGAGTTAGGGTTAGGTTGGGTAAGGGTTAGCGGCTTCGCCCTAAAAAAAGCCGCTGCGCGGCTTTTGAATTCAAATCTTCAAAACATGACTCAGGTTTTCTACAAAGGTTGCCGAGCACAGATTTTTCTCAAAAACGAACATTAAAAGTGAAAAATCAAGCTCAAGAAAACGCCCAAAAACGGTACTTGTCGGCGTTCGATTTGAGTTGGTGGCGGCGAAATCTTCTGTGCTGTCTTTGTTTTGTATAAACCTGAATCTATCTTCCTCGGCGAATCCATTTCTTGGCTTTTCATTTTTATGTGCAATTCGGAATTTCGCGAATCACAAAAAGCAATCATCGCTGCCGTATATTCCTGACAGGCGGCGACGCAAACACCAAACCAAAGCCGACGTGCCGAAAATACCAAAAGCAGACAACTCTCTTCTTCTTCTCTGGGACACAACTTCTAAAACTACTCTTATTCAAAAGAAAAAGTTTTTCTATATAAGACTCTTTCAACCTTGGTTTGAATTTTGCCTGAGTTGAGCGATATTTGAGCGGTGAGCGAGCGGAGTCTTGAATATTTTGTTAAAAAACATTATTTTTGAATAAAATAACAAATACTCCGCTCGCTAAGCGCTCAAATATCGCTCATAGCTTGTGAAAAATTCGAATCATGATTGAAACAATGCTCGATTCTCGACCTTGTTGATGACTTTTTGTTGAATAAGGTCGTTGGAGCGTTCTAACACGGCGGCGAAGAAAGTGGCGAGAAGAAGTCATAAAACAGTAAATTTGCGGTTGGATAATATCTATAAATTCTGGATCTTGGCTATACAATTTCGACTACGAATTTGCAGAAGACGAGCTCGGCTTATGGTTGTCGCTGAGGTCGCGCGCAGAGGTGTCAAACACGCCGCGCCACAATAAATTCCCATTTTTGCTCCGCCGCTCCAGGATTACATAATGCTAATCGACAAAACTGTAAAATATTATTTTGGGCTGGAGTTTTAGCTCTCTATCTCAAACAAAGCGCGGTTTCGCCATGAAGTCATTCGACCGGGTCTTAGATAAAACTCTCCTCAGCGCCTGGCAACCTGTGTTAAAACCTGAGTCAGGTTTTGAAGGATCTCAAATGACAATCCTCTAATAATTTCTCTAAAAGATCTTTCAAAACCTGACTCAGGCTTGAAACACAGGTTGCCGTAGCGCTTTTCTAAGAGATTCCTTCTTCGGAGAAAACAAACAAAAGATCGCCCCGGTCACGTGACTTGCATGTTCGAACAAAAATTTCCATGCGACTGATTTGAGAAAATAAAAATAATGTTTCGGCTATTGTCGGTGCTTGTCAAGGAGCGTCTTAATTTGATTGCGGCTGTTTTGGCAAGAGGGGGCAAAATGTACATTCGTGTAATGCAAAATAGAGAAGTTGTTTCCTCTCCAAGTATTTCCACAACGCGCAGGGACATGATCAAAGCGCGCGAAAAATGGAATATCGCTTTCTATACTTATTTGGACTCAAGCCCCTTCCTGTGTATTGTATATATGGCTATCTATTGTGAATATAAAAAATACCGCCGGACGGACAAGAACTATTAAAACAAGTAAAAACGCGGAATAAATTAATTAAAAATAGAGCTTCGGATAATTTCGTTTCGCGCTTCGTTTGATCTCTACCAAGAGAGCGAATTTCTTGCAGGAAAATTTTAACCCATCATGACAAAATTGTCAATTTTTCGCAAAAACAGACAAAATAGGCCAAAGAAAGCCTTCTTAAAGATTACTGTCCGTCTATTTTTTCCTTGATAATTAGATTTATGGCAAGAAAATATGAGATGTTTCTCTAATTTACATAACTTTTTTGTATTTTTGGGGATCAAAAACTGAAAATACTGATCCTTTGGATATAACTTCGGTAGTTCGGTCAATAAAAAAAGAGTATAGTAATGGTCAACTTCTACTAATAGCATTTGGTCTGTATAATGAACTATACTTCCAAATGGTTAGATTAACCCTAACCCTAATCCAAAACCTAACCCTTGCTCTCATTAATGAACCTTTCCAGAATAACTTATTATATTTTTTACTTGACGCCGGAACGCATATCGACCCATTTCTGGGTAAGGCGCTGAAATATGGCTTCAAACGTCAGCATTTTCTAGTGTTAAAACAACACATGAGAGATATTTCATGTATCTAATATTGTAGTTCGGCCTCTGAAGATCATATTTATAATAAAATATGGGTTGATGTAAGCAAGAAAACGGGTCTACGGGCTCTCACCCAAAAATGGGTCGATATGCGTTCCGGGAAAAATCTATTTCATGCGTTCCGGCGTTAAATGCTGCTATAACTCGAAGCCGGCTACTACAGTTTAACTTCTAGGCAAGAAGAAAAAAAGTATCTGTCACCGCAGTTTCTGGCTTTTTGTCATTCCTAGCTGGGCTCAACAGAGTAATTGGAATTACGCCGCCGCCGCAAAAAAAGCATTCGCGACCACAGTTGACGCCAAAATGGGCCATTTCAAGAATTTCCTTTCATCTTGCTTATTTTGGTATTGTATGCGCCGCCATTCTTTTTGCGTGCGAGCGGCGATAAAACTCGATAATTGTATTTTTTTAGATCTTTTTTAAAACAATTTTTCTTTTTGAATTTCTCTGCTTTTTGGCATCAATCAGAAGGGCGAGTTTTATTTATGCAATAGAAGTGTGGAGTATATTATCAATTTTGATCCGGGTATCCACCTCTCAGCGGTGCTAGAATTTCGATCCTTTCCGCCATATTCGTATCCGTGTTTGATCTTTTCCGATATTCATGAAGCGGCGCAATCTTTCTTCGCCTTTTTCGTAAAACTTCGTTTACGAGCATTTTAGAAGCAGTACCCGGGAGTGAAAGTTGGTTTGGGGAAACCGCCCAAACACGTGGCCAAATCACACATTTGTCTACGTTTTTTTCACAAATTTTTTCTCAGAGCTCGGGAGCCGACCAAAACGGACACACCTCAACACTTTGATCAAGCCACCAAGTGCTAATCCCAAACGCACCTGCGACCACACTCATCAACATCTTTCCGGTTTTTATGATTTCATTTAATACTACGACTACTTTCCAATTGAGACATTGGTTTGAAAGATTATTTATTCAAATCATAAAAACTCGATATTAAAACGGATGAAATTTCCACTATCATTTTCTAAGTAAAGTTTTCTAAACTCTCCGTCAACAGAACTTCTTTGTGCTGTATCTGTCCAGTTAATCTCCCCATCGCCTTCATTTAGATTTTCACATCGAGCTTTGAAATTTGGTGTTCCTCCTATAAAAGAATCAAAATTAAAATCTTAAATAATTTTCACTCTCGGTCAGTTTTTTTTTTACCATGACTTTACCTGATTTTTTCAAAAATAAGGTTCGAGTTGAACCAGAATGAGTGTACCGAATCGTCCAGTCTTTATGATGAATTTCTCGATCAGTGTTGTAAAAAAACTGTGAGATTATTATTTATTTTCAAAGGCTTTAACAAATATGATACCTTCAAATTGATTTTCTTTAAACCCAAATCCACATAATCAAAAACTTTTTTTATGTAATCATCGGAAGACGCGCTTCTAACAGATCCTTTGTCATCTCCGGTGTAGAAGCCAATTCCAGTCTCTTTTGAGTCTACGATTTCATAGAATGCATCCAAAATTTGCTCAGTGTTTTTTTGTTCTTCGACCTTGTTTTTAATAAGAAAAATTGATTTTTACAAATAGACATAAATACCATCATCGTGAAATTTTGAATTGTTTGAATGAAGTTGACTTCAAGGTATCGAATATAATCGTCTTTGGCGAATACTTCTGTTTGAAGAATGTCCAATTGGTTCATTAGAAGCTCAGAATGAGTTTCAAGATTTTTAAATGTTTCCTTCGTTTCATTGATATCTTTTTTAATAAATTGAAAAGCTTCAGAGTGGGCCTTAATTTATAAATTATGATGAGAAGTTATATTTCTTACAGACAGAGGTATTTGCAGCGATGTTTGCAACTTCATTTTCAAGCATCTTTTTCGTCTGCTCAACATCTAGTTTCAAACTCTCAAAGGCATCTGAATGGACCTAAAAAAATTAAAAATCAGATTCGATGATTGTCTACAAACAGATGTATTTGCCGCTATATACGACAGTTGATTTTCTAAAAGTTTTTTTGTCTGTTCCATTTCAGATTGCATTTTTTCTATAACAAGATTCTGGGACTAAATTCAGGGTTCGAAAAATATACTATTTTCAAGAAATACCGTTACGTTGCTTATTATCTTAATAAGCTCCCCTTCCAAGAAAGTATTTTTGTCTTTCTCAATCATAATATCAATATTTGACAAACGAATGTCTTTCAAATGATCAATAACAGTTTGATAAGGCGTTGTTGCATCGCTCCATCCTCTTTCCAAAGCAACAGTTGAATTCATCAACGTTTCATAAGCTTGATAAGCGCACGGGCACAGTGCGATTTTCTCCGTCAATTTTTGTCTGCATCCGAGAGTGCAAGCAAAGCTGCTACACTCAGCGTTGCAAACTTTGAATTTCTCGACGCCTTATCCATTGAATTCGAGTTTCCATAGTTTTAATTTTAACCAACCTTCATCTCTGCATTTATCCGATTTTCTCGAAAGCGCTGGTCGTTCACAGAAGTCTTCGCATTTGAATCCTACCGAGCAAATACTACCCTTCGCATCACCCTCTGCAAGAACGTAGCGATAGAAAAGAAGACAAAGAAGGATCATGTCAGGATTCTCGGGTTCTCTTTCTACAACCAATTGATGGAACCGCCCTTTTCAGAAGGCTTTAATAACTTCAGTAAACAAGATTCTTCTTTTGTAACACAAGTCTGTCTCGGGTAAATACTTATCGAGTTTATTCGGAAATTGTCATTTTTAATTGAATTTGTCTCGTTTTCACTTCTTTAAAGTTTTGGCTGGGGAGAAGAAAAGAAGCGTATCCGGCATGTTTTTGATGATGTATAAATACACAGATGTCTCCACTCCGTTTCTTCGAAGGTCACTGCTGTCTATTTTCCACGGCAGAAAAAGTTCTAAATAGCTCGATAAGGTGCATTTATAAGTACATTCAAGTGTTTTCAGCAGGATACGGGGTCGGTAATCGCTCGTATTAGCCTCTCGGATATCACACCTCGGCCACTTATCGGCCCTCCCGATGTATTGCCCTGCGTCTGCTTGCTCCACCGATAAGGATTTGTGAAGCCAACAAAATTTGGCGAATGCGGAACTTATTCGCGATAAAAGTCGACTTCTCGTAATTTCGAAAGCTACAATTGTGCATTTGCAAATCTTTTACCAGCGAGTGTTGTCAAAAATTTTTGCCCATTTTGATGAAATCAGCTGTCTTTGATGGAAATTTTTGTGAAAAAAATTTTCGAAATCAAAAATTTTGACACTAAAAAATTAACCCTAAGGGTCTCAACTAACCATAGAAAAAAGAAAATAAGGGTGTCAGTATACTAAATATTCGAGAATCAAAGCGAGGAAAATGACAATTTGTGACGGAAACTCCCTTAACCAAAGCGCGTAAATTATTCAATTTTTGCCGGAATCAAAATTTCGTCGAGGAGTTAATTTTCCGGGAAATAAATTTTAGTCATCATCCCTTTTAAAAACCGCCGAGAAAATCTGGCTAATCCGAGAAGGTCAGAGAAAAGTGTGACTTTATAAATAATCGCGCCGTTCCGAATTTATACGATGGAAGCGTCGACTGGAAATAAATAGAGCGCGTCGTGGCGCCCATTCGAGAGTATATTTTATATTTACTTTACATACATTCGGACGGTGTCCTAATCTGTTGCCCAAAACCGCACTATTCCAAGAGTGTGATTTCAATCTTGGAAATCGGCCATCAAGACCAGTTGTGTGGACAAAGAGTAATTAGATTGATGGATAAATGTGTTTGTTTTAACTCTTTTGCGCCGATTGAAAAATATTTCCCTTGGTAAGGTTTTGATCAATGTTCTTTTCCAAAATAGTCGACTAGACATATGATGACTGGTCCAAAATTGTCGGTAAATCATCGAAATTGGGGTCGAAATCCGGGAAGATGCTCAATGAAAAATTCGTTTTCCGAAATCTGATTGGCCTACCAGTCTGCCCAACCATAGTTTGAGCTGCGCTTTCGAAAGAGCCGAAAATCACTATACTTTATAAAGAAAGTTTCAGAGTTCTGAGGCTTCAGTACTTGTTATTTTCACGTACTTTTAGCTCTAGAAACCGATATAATAAAGTAAAACCGACCCATAAAAATTATACCATTCGACTCCCCAGAACCTGCGCTACAAGACAAGAACGAAAAACATTGGGGTCAGGATTTTAGTCCGAAGAAGTGATTTTAATGTATCTTCATACGATGATCTGATTGGTCAACAAATTTTCCAAAATTTTGTAAAAATAATCGGATTTTATTGTCGAACTGATGATCTCATTGCTCAATAAATTGTCTAGCTCTTTTTTGATAAACAAGCCAATTAGTCGAAAAGACTTTAATTAAGGATACTTACAACGGAAAAGAAAAAATCTCATTTGTCAAGTGATACTTTTTCAAGTAAATTATGCGGTGATTAAAATTATTATTTTGCGTCTCAACACGGCGGGAGACAAGAATAGCGCTTATCAGGAAACACTGTTGTAGGATACTATCTGATACACACAAATAATTATGTTTGATTTAGCCACTTTGCGCCATTTATGGAAATTAGATAAGATTCTCTAATGGTCCTCTCGAACACAAAATACTTCCTAAATAAGCGCGACAGCCTCTGAACTTTTTCTTTTCGCTTCTTATCAAAATTACAGTTTCGTTCGTTCTTATCTAAAATAAAATTTGACTCTGCTTTCTGAGCTCGGTGACTTGTGTTGGACCCTGAGTCAGGGTCTTAAACGAGCTTTGATTGAAAGCCGCGTAGCGGCTTTTTTGTAAACCTAGCCGCAAAGCGGCTTTATCAAGAATTAAAAGTAAATTCAGACTTTTATTCTGGTGAAGCCGCGTTGTGGCTAGATTCAAATTAAGGGGGTGGTGGTCGAGAATTAAGATTTTTCAAACCATGATTGAGAAAAAACCGAAAGGGACAAGAAAATCTATATTTTCTAGGGTTAAAGATAAACGTTGAAAGAATGTGGGCGCGTGGAGAAAAAATTTTTTTTTTTTTTGAAAAAACTGAGAAAAAATTTATGAAAGTGGACCCTACTTCAATCCAAGATTCCGGGCAAAATAACTTTTTTTTCAAAGATCAAACCTCATATGATGATAGAATAGACCCTTACGGATGTGGGCGCGTGGAGATTTTCAAGTGTAAGCTTTTAGGAAAAAGTTCGTAATTGAATCAAAAATGCTGGGAGCCTGAAAAATCGCCATTTTCATTCATTTTTAAATGAAACTTTCGAAAACATAACAGTAATCGTATTTTTTTAGATTTTTATAATAAAAATATGATCGAGAAACATAATCTTGCAGTAAAAAATCAATTTTTAATTGGTTTAAGTGCGAAAAACGCGTTTTAGAATTTCCGAAAATGGCGATTTCAAAGCATAAAATCGTAAATTTTCTTTAATAAAGTTGGTTTAATCAAAAAAGCTAGAGACCAAAAATACTCCTTTTTTATCAAGGAATCTAAAAATAATATCAGAATTTTAAAAAATCGAAAAAAAATTTTCTCGACCACCACCCCCTTAAGCCGCTACGGGGCGTTTTATTATAGCTCTTCTTGGACCCTGACTCAGGTTTAGGATTAGGTCCCCTAGCCCAGTTTGCTTTTGATCTTTGTTCAGACTTGGACTGTCTTGAATCGTCTTTAAACTGTTAAGAAGGCGCCCTTAGGTGACCTTCCCATGTTTCATTTCCGGACCAAAGGTTGAGAAAATTCAAAATCGCCTCGCGCCCCAACTCCCAAATTGAATAACAAAGGGGCCCTTGTTTTGGCCAAACACGCGGAAAATACATTCTCCAGCGGTTCCTTATTTAGCCACTCAGCTGCGGCTTACAAGTCTTTAATTCTCCCTTAATTTTTCAATGCAATCAAGTGTTTTTCGAGTTTCGAGTATTTTGGCTGGCGAAAAGTCCTCATTTTCAAAATATAATTTCTTCCAGAAAGAAACCATAAAAATTCACTTTTTCTCGAGAATTTGAATTTTTTCAATTATTTTTTTCTTAACAATTGTACCATAAAATTATCCTGCCATCTACACTATATTAACTCTTAGTTCCATTATTTCTAGCTCAAATTTGAGCCTTTTTACCAAAAATTTAATTGAAAATAATCGTTATTTCGTATTAATTTTTGCCATGATTTGAATCAATTTTTTAATAATTACTTTTTTGAAATTTTTATAAAAAAAAAATTATAAAAAAAAAGAACCGGAAGTGTTCAAAAACCGCGAGTTAACACCTCGGTGGCGCTCTTTTTTCGCCGCGCTATAAAATAAAATTATTTTTCACGATTCGACTCGCTAGCGCCCTCGCGCTCGGCAGACGTACGCGCTGGGTACTCTTGCATCGGATTGCTACTTCGCCGATATCTAAACAAAATACAATTCATAATTATTACAAGATTATCATTTTTTTCAAAACTGACGATTTCATTTTTTTTTCAAGAGATTGAGATTGGATTGTAAAAGTAACAGCCACTGACGATCAAATTTAGCAGTATTCAATGGCTTGCGCATCCGCACATCAGGTAATAATATATTTTTGATAGAAAACAATTTTTATCAATCATAATCAAAATTCAGACTCACTTTTTTCAGAAAGAAACCTTCTTTTTTTATTTTAGTAAGGTTTCTAACCAATCAAAAGCCTCTGGACGTTTTTTTTTGACCAAAAAATTTGATAAGCCGTTATTTTCAAGTTTACAAAAACTATCGAGTCAGCATATTTTTCCTTGGTTTTCTAGTTTTCTTGAGAAAGAATGATGAAACTTCTAAACTTGCCCCATGTTTTTCGCTTAGTTGCGAATAAATCACGTGGTGCTACCGAACGATGTGCCTAGTGACAGCAGCTGTAGAAAGAACACAAGTTCTTGCTTGAAAACCAAGATTGATCAGCTCTCTGAAGCAGATTGGCTCAGCAAGCGACGCCATAGGTGGCGCTGTTTTGCGTATACGCGAATACTTTTTCTGAGTATACTTTGCCTGCCGCGCGCTTTTTTTGTGAATAAAAAGCGCTAGAAACATGATTTTACGGCTCGGAAATGAAATTTGAAGACGATTCTATCATTCATTAGTGTACTAGAAGCCCAATGAGAACTTTGGCTATTACAGTAAGAACTTTTGAAACAGAAAATAACGAAAGAAAAACGAAATGACAAAGTAATTCCCCTTGAACGAGCAGAGGCCCTAGTATATATATATTTTTGCTCAATACTTGTATACAAATGATTACGAGTCAGAGTGAATGTTGTCAATCCCTTAATCCGCGCGCCGCCACTTCCGGATTCTTGCGCCAAATACTTTTGGTCGAATACTCTATAAATATGTTTACTCCGTCTCCAGGAAGCCGCTTCCGGGCCATTTGGTTTTTTCATTCTTTTTTTTCAGAATCGTTTTTTGTATATATAATTTTCGGAGTCAAGTAATTACCCTTAATTTAAGCTGCTCCTATTTCTGTAGATTTTTTTCTGGACCTATTTTTCAAATCGATTTTTCAGGGCGTCGGGGGCCTTCCATCCCCCCAAACCCTGGCAAAGACCCGGCCAGGGAACCGGGCTTTCTTTTGCTCGAGTCAGAAGCCCTTAATTATTATTCTAACACCATTAAAATCGGTTTGAAAAATAGGTCCAGAAAAAAATCTACAGAAAATAGGAGTAACCCTAAATTTGAGCCAAATGGGACCCCGTAAACAGTATTTTTTTAAACAACAACTTTGAATCTCATAATTTTTCAGTTTATTATCTTTTGCAGAAGGCTAAAATCTTTAAAGAATTTCTGAACGTTGGCGCGACTCTATACATTGTTCGAACTTAAGCAGTCATTTTATATTCTTTGTGACCGATTGCAGGAAAGTCGAGTATTTATATTCGCTTTTTGACCATATGCTCCGCCAGCTGATGTTTATCATTATGACAGATCTTCCTGACAACAGCTGGCTAAAATCTTATTGGATTCGAGGATAAGATTCTTCGAATTTTTTGCATATAAAAAGGTTTTTGCAGACTGTTTCTTGAAGCCCAAAAACAATCATTAGCAGGACTTTTCAATTAAAATTACGATTACTAATTATTTCTATAATTTTAATTTATGATTATTTAAAAATATAATACTTAATACTTTTTCCAATGTATTTTTTTGCAATAAAATTATTGATTTATCAATTTTAATTTTCCTAAACAAAATTTTTTCTTTATAAAAACATTCGTAAAAGAAAAAATAACCTAAAAATCGTCAACTAACTACATTCATTCAAGTGCAGCTGTGTCACGTGCTTAGTAAAAAATAGCGAGTGGGGGAGCGTGCGCCAGTATCGAATACACAAATGGGATCCTATTGACTTGGCTAGTTTTTCGGCCCCAGAAGCTGGCTCTTTGTAAAAGGACTCAGAGAGTTGATTTTTATACTCTTTCGGAGCATTGTTGAACTGTATTTTTAGAGCTTGGACAGTCTAGTTCCGCAAGAAGCGAAATCCGCGCTGCTAGAAAATGCCATTTCCGGATCTGCTCTTTGGTCACTTCAGAAAAATCCGGGAATTGGGATTCACTTCACGCTTTTTTGGCCAACAGACGTTCCCGCCGAAGATCTTCTAGAGGTGCAGAAACTTAGTGGAGAAGAGAAAAACTAGTGACTCAAAGTCCTGGATTATTGAGTTTCATACTCAAGAAAAAGGTAAGTAGAGAAGGCTTAAATCAATTTTCGACCAATCAAAATCATCAAAAAAGGCTTTTCTGCCAATCAAATTGCAGAATTTCTTTTGATAAAATCAAACAGCGGAAAATACAATACAACTCTTACTTTCTTAAAAAATTCTTTAGAAAAAGTCTTCAAAAATAATTCTTTTTTTTAGAAAGAAGAGCAATCAGAAGAGCCAGAAAAGACAGCGCTAAAACGTGCCCGACCAGAAACGCCAAAAAGTCCTGACGCCCCAGAAGACTCCGAAACTGCCGAACCTCCCGCTAAGAAAGCTTTTTCAAACGATTCCGGCACCAGTTCTCCGACAGAAAAGCTTCCGAAAACCGTTCTTCCGGAAGAACCAGAAATTGACTTGTCCGTCGATGAACAAAAAGAAGAAGAAGAAATAGCCTTGAATGAATCTTCTTCCGAAAAAGGTAAATCAAAAACTCTTTTCTTCAAAAAAATCATCGAATCCGTAGCCGAAGAAATCTGCACAGAAAACTGCCCCACTGCCTCGCAACCAACTGCCTTTCCCTTCCCACCCGGCGGCGCTTTCCAACCTCCCCCAGTGTCAGCTCCGAGTTCTCTTCACCCAAACGCGCTGATTCAAAGCATTCAAAATCAAATTCTTCAAGCGGCGATCCAGCGGCGAAAGTTGCTCGAAGAAGAGCAGAAACGAATTTTGAGTGGACTCGGCGGCGCCGCTCCTTTCAACCAGCCTACTCCCGCGCAGAGATTGCCAATGCCTCTTGGAATTCCTCCCGTAAGAAATTCATTTTTTTACAAGAAGGAATCTCAGCTTCTCATTTTCCTTATCTTTCCTTTAGAATCCATTGGCTCTCCTGGGAAACAACGCTCAACCTCGATTTCCACAAGTTCCACCTTCTTCTTTCGCCGGCCTCACCCACTCAGACATCGGCCTGGTAAATTGCATTCCCTCATTTCCCTTCTCAACCCTCTTTTCTAGCCACGTGAGGGCGAAGCAGTCTTCCGGGACAAATACATCTGGTCCGAGAGCGTGAAAAAGTACCTCTGCTCCGTTTGCGGCTACTCCACCCCCTACAGATCCAACATCATCGTTCACTTGCCCAAGCACTACCCAGAGCTGAGAAGATTCCGATGCCCGATCTGCTCGAAAAGATACGGAAGGAAAGATCTCTGGAAGAGCCATTTGAGATCAAGACACCCTGAGGTTGCTGATATTGTTCTTTCTCCTTCTTGGCATTCGTAAGTTCAATTGTTTTTTCTTTATATTTAATATCTATTTTTGATTTTATGAATCATAAAATTATCATAAATTATGATCAAATTCAGGATGCCAAATAATCCTCAAGCACTGAAAACGGAAAGCACACAAAACGATGCTCTTTCAGCGAAACGTCCTTTGACCGTAAATCCTAATGACTGTTAATAAGATTTTTCTCTGTAAATCTAACTTCCTGAATATTGTGAATAAATTTGAGCCTGAATAAAGCAATATAAAATATTAATTCAAGTGAAAATTAATAAAAGATTTCACTTTTTCGGCGAAATATTCGATTTTGTTTCTATTATTTCTGCCAAACGAATTGAAAGCAGTAAGGATCACATCGAGAGACGCAAAAATCAGCAGGAACTTCAAAAAGAACAGGAAGAGGACTTAGAAGAGTGTTTCCGATGACTTGTCGATTGATCAACTGATCTTCTTCCAAATCAAACCGTTCGATCACGCGACTTTCGTAGCCAGATACGAAAAAAATTGAATTTTTGATGATAATTGCAGACCCAGAATCGTCAGCCTTAATTAAAATCAAAAATTTTTTTAAACATTCTGAAACAAACGTTTTCAAGATCGCCGATTTTTTTCCAACAATTATTCTCAAGAAGCCAAATTGCCGATTTGGACCCATTCTCATTAATACCTCCAGCAAGAATAAGATTTCCACTTGGAAGACCCATCAAAACATGGTACGCTGTATACCTAACAAATTGTTAGTAACAATGTTTGAATCTTTACAGTTAGGGGATATAATCTCGTTTTTACTATTTTGCCTAAATCAATCGACTTTCAAGCCCATTTCTTTTTAATAAGGTATTTTAATACCTTTCTGGAAAATCACTCAAATTTGACCAGCCAAGCGAATTTAAAGTCTCGACTTTGTTCTGTTCATCACGTTGATCGAGACTCCCAACAGTTGTCGGTTTTTCCCTGTAGAGACCGAGTCTGCCACCACGATGTAGGAATCTTGTTTCGTAAGTCATCGCGGTAGCTTTTGAATCAAAAACCTCGCACTTTTTCTCCGAGTTCCAGTAGTTGGGAAAACAAATTAATGCGTTTCTGCCCTTTTTGAACGAGACAGCAGCCGACATAAAAGAAACCGGGTGGATTAATTTTGCCCTTATCTGTTTCCATTCGCATCCTTCTAATTTCGCGATCTTAACCCAATTATTAAGAAATATTCTAATTCTTATACTTTTTGTCCATCCGGCCATCCACCGAAGATAAAGAGCTCATTCTTGACGACCGCATCAGAGTTGCAAATTTGGCTTTATTTTTGCTGAGCTGAGCTGAGCTGCCCTGAGTGAGAAATTCTCTGAGCTGAGCAGACCTTTTTTAAGGTAGTTGAGCTGAGCTGAGCTGAGCAGATACTAATTAGAGCTGAGCTGAGCTGAGTGAGCTTGGTTGAGCTGTTTTTTAATGTTTTTTAGTAGTGAAATTGTGGTAAATCATTGAGCTGAGCTGAGCTGAGCTGAGTGATAATTGTCTGAACTGAGCTGAGCTGAGCAGATAAATTCATTTTCGAAAATCAGTGAGCTGAGCGACTGCTCAGCTCACTCAGCCAGCTCAACTCACTCAGCTCAGCAAATTTGCAACTCTGGACAGCATGAACGCTCTGTTCAAGATAGTTGCTATCTGGCGCCGCGATCGATACCGCCTTTTTCGTTGATCCGTCTAAGGCAACTGAAAAGGCTTTGTCCAAGATTCTGCCCATCACCAATAGTGTCGTTTTTTCGTATTGAGTAGTGTAAATAAAATTCTTCATTTTTGTCGAATTCTCTAATTTGAAAATTCGCACTTTTTTGTTCTTTATGTTTTCAAGACCCGTTGTCTCTGTCGTTGAGTCTGCTTCCCTTTTTGAATTCTTATTTGAGTTAATTCGGATGTGGAATAAAAATTCGGTCTTAAAATAACTGGTCCTTGAAGATTTGAAAAAGAGATGCTTCGACCGAGTCTGATGAATTGAAATGAAATGCCAGTTTTTGTAGTTTTTCGAGTTTTGAATGAAACATTAACGGTCCCTCGAAGTAATCAGAGTCTATCCACAAGGAGCCATTTCGGAAAATTCCAAAACTCAAAAGAGTTGATTCATCAAAAAATTAAATTGAAGAATTCTCGATCCTCGTGAGTTTTGCTGAAAATCAATGTCGAGTTCAAAACTGTCTGTTCCATTCAATTCTATCTCCACAGTAGAAATATGTTTCAATTCTGCTATTGATGAAAATGACTTATTCGGGATGATTGTTCTGTGATAAAAGCTTGGTCGAGGGAATAGAGACTGCGAGACTACATTCTTTGCGAAAGCAGGGAAAACGTCATCGTGAAAAGCGAAAAATGGATTGCTTGTCACTTGCATTTTATGCTGGGCTTTGTGCTGGACGAATTCAACCTCGATTAAGTCTTTTTGCGGGATTTACCATAACTGTTATCAGCAGAACACAATCTACAGTTGAAAATGAAAATCCCTTCCGAAATTGAACTGTACTTTGAATAAAGAATCGAAAACATAATTTTGAATAAAGATTCTTTCGTCGTTAAGTATTCCGCCAGGGCGGTCTAATTTGCATTCTTGTAAATAGTCTTTTTTCCGAAGACTATTCATTTATTCTTATAGGATTAATCTCGACGCGAGATTAGTCTGTTTGAATAAAAAAGATTAATTCGGGAAATTTTTGAAATAGTTCCGAGATTATTTCAAATAATCTTGAAACGCGCGCTGTGATTGGTGGACCAATGGCCGAGGGCGCGAGAGAAAAATGAAACTCAAACATGCTTGGAGCGCAGCTTGAAATTTTGTCCGCGCCGCCTCGCACTGCTCACAGCTCGCCAGCGCCACCCAAATTTTTCCCCCGAGCCACGCGACCCTCGCTAAAAAGATTAATCTCGAAACTAGTCCAGTCTTGACTAATCTCAGAATCTTTTTCCAAAGAAGATTAATCTCGCAAATTTTCGAGATTATTTACAAGAATGCAAATTAGACCGCCCTGTATTCCGCTAACAAAGTACTCGCACTCATCGTTGATGACTCCACCTTGATTTGTGTAGAAAGAATCTTGAGTTGCGAACATCTTCGAGTAGCAAACCGATTTTTCCTCATACTTAACGAGCGAGCCAATCCACTCGCGACCGAGTGTCAGGAACTTTCCTTCTGCTTCCAAGAAAATCGAGTACAGAGTGTTTGAAAGAGCAACGCTTCTTGTTACGACAATCAAGAGAAGTCGCTCTAAATCGATCTTTCTTGAGTTAGTAAAGGTTTCGAGCTCATGAATGATTTCAAAAATTTATAAATACAAATCATAAGGTATTTTGCGTTGAATAAAAGTGTAATTGATAGTGATAATTGTATCGCTAGAATAAGAGCGGACGGTCTCGGTCCAAAATTCGTCAGTCATTAGTCCCGTTTCTAATTCTTCGGGTCGGCTAGGCCCTCGCCTCTGACTGAATTGAATGTGCTTGAAAGGCCTCCCCAATGGTTAGGCTTCGCCCCCTCCCTGACTGAATTTAATATGCCCTGATTCAGGGCCCCCCTGAATATTTCAAATGAATTGAGATTGCCTCCTCTTCGGGTCGGTTTGGCCTCGTCCCAGACTGAATTGAATGTGCTTGAGTGGCCTCCCCTTCGGGTCGGCTTGGCCCCCTCCCTGACTGAATTGAATGTGTACTGAATGTTTCAAATGATTTGAGATTGCCTCCCCTTCGGGTCGGTTTGGACCCGTCCCAGACTGAATTGAATGTGCTTGAGTGCAATTCATAACTCGTTTCAAGGGGACCACATGGACTGGATTAACATCCCTCAGTTCAGTTGGAATTCCGAAATCGCTTTTCTTCCAACCTTTCTCCATCTCTTCCTCCTTCCTGATCCTGTTCAAAGCGATTGTGGTCGACAGTTTGATGTAAGGGTCTCCAAGTCTAATACTCATCAGGTAGAAGACTCCTTTGAAGCTAACTGAAGACACTTTCGCGTTGAAGTGGTTGGTGGCTATGTAGCCCTGGGCTTCTTCGAAGCGCTTTTGATTATAATCGGGAGCATAGTAAAAGCATTTCTCGTCTTTTTGAGTTGGACGGCTTAAAAGGGTCAAAAAAATCGATTAAAAGAATGAAATTATTCTCAAAAATTGGTATTACTACCAGATCAGCTTGTTTTGACCGTTTTCAGATAACGACGACTGGAAACACTTTTCTGTTATTCTCTTTGTTGCGTATTTCGATTTGATGAGTTCCGATCGACGACCCAAAGTGGAAAACAAAAAAGCCTCTGATCAAGAAATATAAGCCTGTTTATAAACGAGCGTAAGCTTACACTTTTGTTAGTCGATTTCTTATAAACACCGAAGAACCGTCAGTTTCCTTGACCTTCATCAAATTTCCCTTGACATCGACCAAGTAATGCTCGCCATTGAGAAAAGTTGCACCAGTCGACTTTTACGATTTTATTTATCATTTTTAAAATGAATCTTATTTCAATCAAAAACGTTCATGAGAAAAGAGATTATCGTTTTCTTCTGATCTGGGTTGAGTGACTTTTACTAAATGACATTTTAAAAAAGCATGTAAGAAGTGACCAACCCTACTCTAAATAAGTAGCATTTGAATCTTTCTTCTCTTGGAAATTAAAAAATGCAATCGGAAACTTCAGATATGAAGCAACGCGAGGGACTTTCTCGAATGCCTGAACTTCTGTATTGAATTTATCCTCGTCCATTCTTTTCGTAATAATACTTAAGTCAAGAACTTCCCCTGACTTTCCTCTGGTTTCCTTTGGAGCTTTCAAAGTTGTCAGAGCAACTCTTAAAGGAGATCTCTTTCCCTTACAAACAAGGCAACTTTCCTTTAATAATCTTCCCTCTTTTCAAATCCCAAACAGGAACGAGCGTTTGCTCATTTTCGATTTTTTCGCATTGATAAAATAAACAAGGACAACCTCTTTGGCAGTATTTCTCAAAGGGACAAACTTCTCCAGCAAAGTCATGTGATCTGGTTAATTCAAAGCAGATTTGATCGCAAGGAGGAAAAGCCTTATTCGTCGTTGATTCCAATACAAGAGATTGGGAACAGCAGAGTTGCAAATTTTCTAAGCTAAGATAGCTGAGCTAGCAAGGAAAACTTATCTCAGATTAGTCATCTGCCGGCTAGGCTAAGCATCTTTCAGCTTAATTTTATTCCCAGCTCATCTTTTTTTAGCTAAGCAAAAAATTTTGAAAATTTGCATCTCTGGGGAACAGAGATGGCGACAGATATAGCGGTCTTTTTCATATTTTTTAAATCAGAGTAAATCGATTATTATTTACGAATTCCATGAGGGTTTTCAAAAACATGGCATAGAATTTCTGCTTCTTGCATCGAAATTGATTGATTTTATTTTCCTTATCTGAAAATGTAAGAGGAGCCTCTTTATCTTCTTCTGGAATAATGACTTCGGCTGGTTGAGTGAAATTGCCCGTCCCAATGCAGTCATGAAGTAGGTGTGCGCAGTAATCCATTTCGTTTTTTAGAAAACATTTTTTGAAACCAACTTGGCAAACATGCGTCAAGTAGCTTGGTTGAATACGAGCTGCTAGCATGGAATAGTAATTCGCTGAAAATCACTTGAATAAATTGAAACATGATAACAAAGATACTTATGCCAACGACAGTCCCCCAAAATAGACATCCGAACAACATGTAAACAGCAAATTGACGATTCGTTGCGTTCCCACTTAAATTAAAGATTTAAAGAGCTCCACTTTTCTTTATAAAAATGCCTTGAAAAATAAAGCCTCTATTTTCAAGGTGTACTTACTGCATCGAAAAGCGTCTCTTTGATTTCCAAAAATTGTCTTTCTCGAACTCATCAGAGAAAAAGCCCGTGAATCTCTCCGGAATGTCCTTTGCTGGGATTTTTGTCTTTTCTCGGTTGATACGCTCCATTACTTTTACAAGCTTCATTCTTCTCTCTCCTTTAGCGCTGTTTACTCCGCTAGCGAATCTCTTTCTGAATTGTTGGAGTCCTTCAATTGTTCTTTGGAAGAAACCGCTATCTCGATTGGGTTCGTTGCTGGGTTCAACTCGATTGAATCCCTCAACGAATTTTTTCGTTACTCTGTTGGCGATTTTCACCGTTGGCATCGCTTTGTTAATATTTGGCATCAATTTTCCTCCACCCAAGTCAAGCAGAGTTCTCTTCACCTTTTTTGGAAAAAGCACAATTCCATCAATTGTTTTCATTACTCTCCCGACGCAGTTACATTCAAGGCATTTGACATTCGCCAGTTGCTCGCTTTTCAATATCTTTTTCGACGAATCGGTTTCCACAGCCTCTTCCGTAGAATCTGGGCTCATGACCGGTCTATTTCGACCCTCGATCGAATACGAAAAAATAAAAGTTTCCGAGAGTGAGTAAAATCAACTTTTACGTTTTGTCAAGTACCCTGTTCATAATCCTCCGGCGGCTCCTCTCGTTATAGTCCTCAAAGAGCGACTTTTGAAAATCTGACGGGATTATTCTTGCTCTTTCGTCTTTGCGATGGGTTTGCGTGATGAAGAGCTATCTCAGGAAGAAACTTCGAGAAAAGTGCTTCTTTACCCTCGCGCTCACTGCTCAGCTGCTTAGGCCCAAGGGATTCCACGGCGCATAAACCGCCGAGAAAGTGCAACATGAAGATAAAATTCTGCATAATGACGATTTATTACTTGTTGATCTTTTAGTTAGTTTATTGATATTGAAAAAGACAGAGAACAAGCCGCTTTGAAAGTAGAAGAATTGTTCAGTTCTGGAGTGTAAAAGTTCATCTTTCACCAGCATCTAATCTGATGCTACTGAAACTGTATTAATTTTTTATTAATTATTTGGCACTTAAAACTTTAAAAAATGTTAAATCTAGCTTGAAAGAGTCTATTTTTGAATGAAGGCATTTTGGGTTGGTAATTTTCACTAAACTTATTGATAAGGCCAGTTTCTTGCTGATAAGGATTTTGACAGTTCGAGAACTTTGAAATCGAGAAAGAAGAAGGAATTATTAAAAAGAAGGGAGCAGGTATAGAATGGATTTGAACAAGATAGCGATTTTTGTTATTTTATGGGAACTTGATGAGTCATTTATTATTAAGTTTATTACTGTAATTTCTCGAGACGCGCGTTGGTTATCTGTACAAGCGAGGTTCTTTGGTCCTTCGAAAATAAGCGCGATGGAAAAAGAATACAAAAGATGAATTTTGAATAAGTTGAAAGGTTTTTTTGTTTAAAATAGTGAATTACTTGTTTGAATTTTCAACGGAATTTGTCAAGAAAGAATGAAGCTAGAAATTTGTAACTGTCGACTGAAATTGACTTCAAGAAGCTTTTTTCCTTCGTGATTTCGACTTTTCGGGCGTGATCCATTTCGGCTTTGTTGATTTTGGCGGCGGGTCGTTGCCGAGATAGGGTTCGGGCGAAGGAGTTCGATATGCTGCCGAAATGTTGGTCGCTTCTTTCGGAGACTGGGAACTAGGCTTCTTCTTGAAGAAATTACCGATGTTCGAGAAGATGGATTTTGACTTGGGGGTGTCTTTGAGCATCTTCGGGCTTTCTGAAGGGATTATTAGCGCTTGATTTTCAAATTCAAGAAAATGAGCGTCAAAATATTGAATCTGGGCTTGCCGACCTGTATACAAACCTGAGGCAGGGTCCTGAATGGGTCCTGAATCGATTGTGATTTTTCCAATCAATTTGCTGAATTCTAGTGAAGCTATTCTTTTTGTGAAGAAAAGCCGCGAAGTAGCCCTCTTCTAGGATCCTGACTCAGGTTCCAGCACAGGTTTCCGAGCTCAGTATTTATACGCCTTACGTTTAGGTTGAAGCGTGGAGGCCAATTTGACGGAATGCTGTCTCAGCGGCCCAGGACCACCCTTCAACTCCGAGCTCAAATCTTCCACGGAACTGAGCGAATAGTCCCCATCCGTTTTGATAATCAACTCTTCTTTTCGCTGCTTTTCCCGAGTCTCTGCCGGCCTTTGCTGCTGCGCGCTCCTTCCTGGGTGAATTCCGGCTGTTCGCTTTGGCGGTTTTTTGCCTGCTTTTCTCAGCGTCTCGCTCATGATCTCGTCGGTAATATCGAAGTCTAGGCGCTCGTGGCTTTTGCTTCGGCGCATATTTCCTGAATTTGGACGTCAATTTACAAGGGCTAAGGTCACTTGAGGTCAAACACTAACCTTTTCTTTTGGGCGTGTGGAGTTCGCTCGTTGGTCGTTCCTTCGAATTCCTGGGCGTGTCTTTGATTCTCTTGATACTTTTCTGTGGCATTTGCGGCGTCCTGGGAAGAGTGACCGAGCTGCTTTCGGCAAAGTTCTTCGGCGGGTCGCAGTCGAAAAATATTCGGTAGACAGTCGGGTAGAGAAATCTGTACTGCTCTTCGCTCTGAAGTGATTTTTGGTGATTCTAGCGGCTATTCACGGTCTTACCTGCACCATCTTCATTCTTTGCTTTCGCAGCTCAATCACCAAGTCTTTCACGTTAAAGTTTTTCTTCAACAAGTTTTTGGAAAACATTTGCATCACTCGATCGACGGCGATGATTGTTCCTGTTCTCCCGACTCCTGCAGAACAGTGCATGATTATCGGCGCCCTAGAATTTCGTCAAACACTGTTTTATTCGTTAAACATACTTATCATTACTGGAAACAGTTCTGTAGTCGTTGATAAGGCGAAAGACATCATCCCTTCTGTCTGGCACTCCGTAATCGGGCCAGGAAGTCATCTAAGAGAAGATTTAAAACCCGGAAAGCGCGGTTTTGAACGACCTGGAAATGAGTGATTTTCCTGTGATGGCCGGCCTTGTCCGTCACTGTGATCTGCCGCTTCGTGTATCCCTCGCACTTTTGCTCTTCCGTCACTGTCACCGTGATTGAGGGCAGTCCACTTTCCTCTCCGTCTAAAGATCTTGTTGGAGATTCTCCTCTATGTCTTCATAATTTTTACCGATTACTTTTGGCGAATTTACTTCCAAAGGCCAGTAATCGTAACACATGTTTCGGACCATTCCCGTTCGCTTGTTGATTTCACGAAGCTTGCACAACATAACCACGACTTTCGCTTTTTGCTAGAAAAAAATTGATGAGTCATCGAAAATTTCAGTCATTTTTTCTCTGAATTCTAAAATTAATTCTAGTGTAGACAATCTTTCTTGAACTAATTGACATGAGGTGGCCTTTTATTGGCTTATGGGGATTCTCAACCAATCAGAGAGCTGCTTTTCGATTAACTAGTGTCAAAAACCTTTAGAATTGCTAAAAATTCATTAGTTTCTTATTAATATCCAAAATTCTAAAATAACTTGTCTTTTTATCGATGTACAAATAAAAATCTAATCTAATCAAAATTTGATTACCTCAATGACCATTTCCCAAAAATGCCTGGCAGTTTCTGGCTTGGGCCCTTGAGTGGCGATAAACTCTCGCTCCTCGAGACCCTTGACCCAGTTCGCATTGATGTAGCTCACTTTCTTCAGCTGAAAAACACGGGTCAAATTTTTTCAAAATTTTCAAAACGGAAAAACCTTAACGCGTGTTTCATCGTACGCCAAAATATCACGGTAGCGGTTGAAAGGCTCGTTCTTTCGCTTTGTCGCTTCTTTGACGTTGTACTTGACGTTGAAGTCATTTCCTTTCTTTGTTATAAACTGGAATTCCTCTTTGATATCTAAAACGAAAGCTCCTCGATATTTTTTTTCTTGAGTCAAAAAGTTCCAATGCCTGAGAACCTTCACTAAGAGGTTTCTTTTTTTCGATTCGAAAATAGGGTTTTGAAAATATATATTTAATATATATTTGAAAATAACTATAGTTGTTTATCGAAGAGATGCCCTTAAAAACTGAGATACCTTAACCCTACGCCGCCAAATGTGCCATATATGGCACAAGGTCTTTCAAACACCCATTTTTCTTTCTATCATCATTTCGGTTTCTTACACTGTTATTCATTTTTGAACACTAGTCTGGGTTTGGGTTTGGGTTCATGTTTGAGTTTATGCTTTGGTTAGAGTTTGGATCTGGGTTAAGGTTCGGGTTCGGCCATTATAAGGGGCCTAAGATGGCGGAAAAGATTATGTGCCATATATGGCACATTTGGCGGCGGGGGGTGAAATTTTAGTTTGGCGGCGTAAGGTTAAAACGAGGGTTTCTCTTCGTTAAATTCATTTTTTGAGTCAAAAATTTCCTAAAACAGGTAATTTTTTACATCAAAATATGGGAGCCAATTTTACTCCCATAGATTTCGATAATATAAAATTAAATGGTTAACGTTAAAATTAATGGTGTGACTTACAGTCAGTCTCGCTTTTGTGGACAAATCGCTTGTGATAGTCGGAGCGAAACAGTTCTGTCGGCTCCATTCTTTACCATTCCAGTCTGTCGCGAGAATGAAACATTGTTGCTCTGAACACAAAAATTTATCTAACTTCTAGAGAAAAATTTCGATTCCGGGAATTCGATGAGGCCAAGCTAGAACAATTCTAAAATCACACTTTCCCAAATTGACTGAACTCAAAAACTCGGAAATAATATTAATAATTATTCAAAATTTTCAATTAATAATCAAACTGAATCGTTAATTCTAGCGCCAAGATTTTTTTTTTCTTTGAAGAGATTTGCACAAAAACATAGCCGATCATAAGTACTACTGAATAAAGGAGCCGTTTTCTACGCTAGAATTCTCAAAATTCGACGAAAAACGCACCTTGACCCTTTTTTTCTAGAGTTTTTCTTCTTTAATCTTCGCTGAAAACTCTCTTTTATTCTCGATCAAAAAATTTCTTCGGAAAATTTCTTTCTTTCGTGAAAAATCAAAAAGTCAAGTTTAGCCAGAGCGAGATTTCATTTCATTTGGATCGGAGAATGAGTCATCCGCGCGCTCTGGCGAATCAGCGCTCGTGAATTATTTTATTTCGAGTTGAAAGAATCTGAGAAGAGACGGATTGAAGACGGATTTTGAAAGTGGCCAGTTTTGAGGAGGAAAATGACGTGGAATAGAGGCAACAGCTACAGTGACAGGAAGAGCGGGGGAAACAGTAGAAGAAGAAATGGATTCAGAAATCGGTAAGAATTTCTGGAGCGACATCATTGAAAAGCAAATATTGGCTTTTCAGAAGAATTTATGCAAAAATGCCACGGGCGGGGGAGAGAGAAATGCCGTCGGCCAGTACTGTAGTTTCTCAGTTACCATTTTTTGAAAATGGTTCTTGAATAATACTGGGCGGTCGCGGCTGACCAGGTCAATCTATGTAGAAAACTTGAGTCAGGGTCAGAGTTCTAAATTCTGAAAATTTTGAGCTAAGCTAAACTAGCTAAGCTGAGGCTCTCAAAAATTTCTCCTAAGCTAGCTAAGCTGTGAGCTGACACTCTCAAAAAATTGCTAAGCTAGCTAAGCTAAGCTGAGGTGCTTTTTTGCCTCAGCTTAGCTAAGCTAGCTAGTCTAGCTGGGTAAAAAAAAGTATTTTTTGTCGATATTATTTCCTATTTTTCTTATTTTTTCTTCTTGTTGGCTTTTAGAAGATATCCATTAATATTATTAGCATCAAATAATATACTTTCTTCTCCCCAAACCATTTTTTCCTGAAAATTTCATTCTGAGATAGAAGATAATATCTTCAAGATATTTTTTAATTCTTGCGCGCATATCGACCTTATTTAAGGCAGCTTAGTTGGGAAAAAAAAGTGCATCACTAGAAATGAGATCGATTGAGTTGTCTGTTAGAGGTTATAAAATTATTACAATTATATAATGTCGAATGTTATTCTTCAAATAGAATCGGCGATGGAATAGTGTATTTTTTCTACGGACCTCAGACTCTGAGGCTCAGAGAAGGTCGATGTGATCCATAGGTTCATATCAATTATTTGATATCATTATACAGTATAATTTATACTTATCGCTTTTTCTTGTTCATATATCAGAAATTTCATCTAAGATTCAAGGGTCAAGACTGTTAATGAAGTAGCACGAGCAATTTTTAGACTCAACCCAGCTTCCTTTTTGAGTGTCCCAAACGATCGGGTCCGGGAGTGTCTAGTTGAGTTTAAAAAAATAGCTGGGGACAACCGTAAAAATAAATTAACCGTCGACCATGCCAGATCTAGATTCTAGACTCAAAATATTGCCAATAAGTGTGAATCTGCGGGACAAATTCGCAAAAAACGTAGGTTTTGGAGATGGTTCGATCATGTCAGCTTAGGGGGTCTAAGCTAGCTAGACTAGCTAAGCTGAGGGCCTAAAAAATTTCTGCTCAGCTAGCTAAGCTGTGAGCTGACTGTTTCCGAAATTTGCTGAGCTAGCTAAGCTGTAGCTGTCAGCTTAGCTAGCTTAGCTAGCTCAGCTAGATTAGCTCACCAGATTTAGAACTCTGGTCAGGGTCTGAAAGATCTTCATGGAATAGCCGCGTTTCTGGCTCTTCAGACCCTGACTTAGGTTTTCTACACAGATTGTGTGTTATCCCCCTAGGGAGATTTTAGGCACGGGGGGGGAGAGTGATCTAATTAGAATATTTTAGACTGAATTTATTTTTATCTTTCAGTGGGTTGCGCAGGTAGTTGCCCCCTAAAGAGCGGGCGAAGGGTCAACCAAAGTGGCAATCGCAAAGGGTCAACTACCTGCGCAACCCACTGTTCTTTATTCCGTTTCAGAGGAAGTAGACATAAAATTTTAGAATCGAGCGGCATATGCTCTCATCATTTTTTCGTATCGCATCCAGAACAAACTTGTCTGCTGTCGGCTGATCATGTGGTAGGAGACATTGTTGTTCATTCGGTTGTACCAAATTAGATCGGCGGCCACGAAGTTCAGAATCGAGAAAATCATGAAAATTTTCATTTTCCAAATACCGTTTTTATTATTTAGTATCAGATTCGACTGGTGCATTGAAAATTAACGGTTTTTTATATTGAAAAATGTTACTCAATAGTTTGTAATCAAATCAAGAATATTAAGCCGGCTCTTTGATGACGATCTAAGCACTCGATTGAAATTCGGAATCTTTTTTCGCTGAATAATTCTGGCATCTTTCGCATTATTTTTTACGTTAAAATTTATGTAAACCTGATGCAACAGCGCGAATTTCAGGATTTGAGAATTTCTAACAGATCAACTGATTTTTGGGTGTACTTTTATTTTGGCCGTAAAAATGAAATTTAACGGCTGAGTTCAGGATCCCATTGGAAAAACGAAAAATCAAGACAGACTTCGACGAGAAGGCTTTTCCCGGCTTGAAGGATTTGACACAGAAAGGAACAGTTCAATTTTAATCATATTTATTTTAATTCCGAGTATTTTGTTTTTGAACTTGAAAAATCAGAACGAAACAACTTCTTTACTCTCTACGAACGGCACGACCAAGAATACGACCAGCCTTTTACCTTCAAAAAGAAAGAGAAAGCGACTCGCCACGAAATTAGCAATGTTCGAACGACGAAAAGAGCGATTTCACCGGTTCATCAAAACTTCAAGTCGAAGAGGCCGCGATCTTCCACGCGACCGGATGAACCAACTCGATCGGAAAAGGGACGAATTCAAAAAAAACTATTTGATAAAAATACCTTTTTTCTTGTTTCAAAATTCATCCCTTTTTACCAGGGCCCAATCTACAACGACTCGACCACGGACGAGGAGGACCCATACGGCTTCAAAGAAAACTATTCCAACCCCACAAAAATCCGTCTCGAAGCGGAAAATCAACGAAGAATCAACTGGGTCTTGAGCCTCTCCGACGAAGAGTTCCACTGGCTCCGAAAACAACAAGGAATCCATGGAGATACGCAGGAAAAGGCAGCGCAGGCGGAGGTGGAAAGAAAGAGCATCCAGACGCAGTATCGAAAAGGTGCGTTGCGGCGTAAAAAATCGCGGATAAAAAATATAAAAATATTTCAGAGGATTTCAAGAGCGTGAATCCGTACGACTCGTTCTCCAGCCGCGCCCGCATCTCCACCAATTCCAGCCACTCGATCGACGCCCGACTCGAAGAGCTCCAGTCTTCGATGAGCAAGCGCTCCCACGACTTTTAGCTTTTCGAAGACCTTTTACCATTTACCCACGCGCTTCACTGAAAAAAAATACTACCAAAAAGAAATTTGCACAAAAAACATGTCAATTATCTAAAACGCAGGATCTTTCAATTATTCTTCCCTAATTGGAATGAGTCATTTATTAAAAAAATTGTTTAAAAAAGTCTAAAAGAAGGACTTGTCCATGAATATCGGAAAATCGAGAAGCCGTTTGCGGCTTCGAGCTCAATGAATGGAAAAGCCGCGCTACGCGCGGCAATAATTTTGTTTCTCGAAGCCACTAGCGGCTTCTCGAAGTATTTACTCCTTCTGAAGCGGCTTGCGGCTTTTTCTTTCGAGTCTTTTTATATGGTTATCCTCAATTGATTTTACAACTTTGTTAACACTCCTGTTTTATTTATATCACAGTCACTGAAAAATACATTTTGAAAATTGCGCCCATTTTGTCAATTTCATCTTGATTGATTTTAGAATTCGGAACTCGAAAAAAAAAACTTGAAAATCTCTTTGAAGCAGCAAAGAATGTAAATCCAAGATGGGCGAGGTGAGAATCTACTCCTATTTCTGTGGTTTCGATTTATCTTCTCGATTTCAGATAACAGAAGACGATATCAGAGTCGGATCTTCTGCGGACATCAAGTGGACCAGAAAAGGCGTGGAGGATGTTTTTCCAGCACTGCTGCTCAAAACGAGGGTTCAGAAAGGACAGCTTCAGTACAAGTAAGTTTCAGTCTGATTCTGCTTTTCTAGATGAGGCTGTCGAGCCCAGAGCTTACCGACCAATCAGAGTTTAGAATTAAATTATCTATTAAGAGTTCATTACAAAAACTGGAACAAGCGTTACGACGAGTGGATCAGCATAGAACGCGTGATGCGAATTTACGACGACGACGGCACTTTGGTCAAGTCCCGTCTTACCTCTAGCGAGGGAAGCGGTCGTTCTTCTCCTGCCGATTCTGACGATGAAAAACGGACGACTCGGGGCGCGGCGAAGAAAAAGGCGGCGAGGACGAAGTCGGTCCTGGAGGCGCTCGAGTCTAGCTCTGACGAGGAAGAAAATGACGAGGAGGAGGGCGAAGAGGAAGAAGAAGAGAACGGCGAGGGATCGACGGTCTCGGCCGAGGCGAGTTCGGAAGAAACGAAACGGATCTGCATCAACTGCGATAAGCCGGCGCAGGACGCGTCTAAATACTGCTCCGTCGACTGCATCTTGATCAGCACGAAGAAAGCGAAGCAAGAAAGCAATAATGGAAAGGAAACTCCAGAACTGAGCCCGCCGCCGCTAGAAAAGGGCGATCCAGACCAACCAAGCGAAGACGAGGAGGAGGACGATGATGATCGAAACGAAGACGATGACGACGATTTCGTCCCTCCGGAAGATGCAAAAGCGGTAAAGACGAAACGCGGAAGGCCAAAGAAAACCGCGGAGAGCGTGAAAAAGCCGCTGAAGAAGTCGAAAAGCGTCGAAAAAGAAAAGAAAAAGCCGAAACCGCCGCCAGAAATGAGCGACAAAGAAATTGAAGAAATAATGGAGCAGGTGGCGCCGATGAAGGATACCGATCCAATCATTGTGCTCAAATATGGACAGCTTCTCACAGGTACGTCTTTCTGAATGAATAAGAGTCGCGTGCGGCTTTCATAAGAAAGACTTGAACGAGGCCGCTAGCGGCTTTTTCTGAATAATTCTTAACTTTGAAATTACAGGTTACAACGCGCCAAAAAAGAACAACCTTCGCGAATTTCTTGAGAAAAATCGCGTAGGAATCAAAGTCGTTCTGAACAACAAGGCGGAGAAACAGAAACGAGAGGAGGAGAACAAAATCGCGAAGCAGAAAAATTTGAACTCGATGCAGCAAAAGATGAAAATGAAATACGAAGCGGCGAAGAATGAGGCGCAGAAAGTAGTAATCAAGGAAGGATCGAACGCGTACTCGGCCAGGGAGCAGAAAGTGTACAGCGAGACCGAGGCGGAGCGAAAGGCGAGAAAGGAGAAACGAAGAAAAGAGAAAATGCTCGCGTAAGTTTTCCCCCTATTCCCGCTTTACCAGCCTGGCTTTTGGCTTGCCAACTTGAGACAGGCCTCGTATCAATATCTTACCCTTTGATTCAGGATGGCATTTCCAGAAGAAGCGAAAAAGAAACAAGAAAAGAAAAAGGGCCAAGTAAGCGACGACACGCTGGAGCTGATGCGAGCAATCAAGGCACGAAGAACAGAGCGCGCGGCTGAAGAAAAAGCGGAAAAAGAAAAGGAACTCAAGGAAAAGAAAAAGGCCGACAAAGAAAGGCGAAAATCAGACGGGGATAGGAAGCGTCTTGGATCGTCTTCAAATGCTCCAGGTAAGGACGATTTTCGATCGTGTCATTTTTATGAGCCCTTTTTGTCAACAAATAAATCTCTCGTAAAACCCTGTTTTCCAGAAACCCCGACAAAGAAAAGCCGCCGTGAATCACTACCAGCGACTCCCCAGTCTGTCGAGCGATCGCGAAATGCAGTCGAAGACCCGCGAAGTACGATTCGAAAGAAGCTCCGGGAAATTCTCAACAATCGATCGTCATTGTCGGCAACGAACGGAACGGAAAAACTGGTGATGAACCAGGAGAGTATCGCAAAACTCGTCGCCAAAATTGAGAAAGAAATGTTCAAGTCTTTTGGCGAAGTGAACAAGGATTACAAAAACAAGTTCAGGCAGATTCAGTTCAACTTGAAGGAGCCGAAGAATGATTACTTTTGGAGAAGAGTTATTACAGGAAATGTTCCTAATTGGGAAAACAGACTGTAATTTACAGTAATTGTCCTGATGGAAGTTATTGAACATTGAAAATAGGCGAAATCAGCGCGTCAACGATGCATAAAATGTCATCGAACGACATGGCGACGGTGGAAATGCTCCAAGAGCGTGAAAAACAGCAAAAAGAAGCGCTTGAGCAAGTTTTGAAGATTGAAGAGCAGAAACAGAAAGAAGCGGCTAGGCCCACGGCGAAAATTACTCACAAAGGTAAAAACATAAAATCATCCATTCTTACTATTTTCAGGCGAAATCGAAATCGAGCGATTCGACGATACTGTGAACCGAAGCGAGCTAGAAATCACCAATTCGTCGCTAAATGTCACGGCCGATCCGACTCCCTCTCCTCGAAAAGCCCATTCGCCGGAGAAAAAGCTCGAATCTCCGAAAAAGAAGAAGGTTTCCACGATTCCGAAGATTTCCGATGTGGAAATGAAGACCATCGAAAAAATGATGAAAGAAGTGGACAACGGCGTTGCTATTGATCCGCCAATGGAGTGGGAAAATGGAAACGAAGACGAGGAACTTCCAGAGGCGAAGACCCCCGAGTATGTTTTCGATCCAGATTCACCAGACGGAGAACAGCAGGTGCAGAATCAACAGAGAATGGAGAATTCTTCTTCTAGTAACAAGCAGCCAGAGACAGAAGCCCAGTAAGTTTTTAATGAACAGAAACAGGGCAGCATAACCTGTACGGAAAACCTGTGTCAGGGACCCCACTCAGGGTACTGATACGCGGCTTTTGTCAAAGCTCTATCAGCCTCTGACTCAGGTTTTGAGGCAATAGACAACGATAAGTTATATAACCATTTTTCAGAACGGAAATGGAATCTGAAGAGCCCCCAACTCCTGAAGAAACCAGTTCCGCCTCTCGTGAATCGTCTCCAGGGATCAAAGTAAAGCAACCCGACCCAGAAAGCTCAAATATCATGACAAAAGTCTGGACCGGACGAGTCAGCTTTCCAGAAGGCCAAAAAGTCCACGCCAATGGCTACTTTATTTCCGGCGGCGTTGAAAAGAAGATTTTGAAGCGATCGTTGGCCAGGGAGATGAAAGTGTGTGGCAGCATTGGCTTTGCTGACATTGGAAAGGTGGGACATTCAACAAGTTTTTGGCTGTTTTAACCTGTTTTTTTCAGTATTTAACCGAGGTGCGCGAAGTGAGCGATCCAAGTCGAATCTGTGTCATGGCTCTTTACGGACTTACTGCAAGCGAGCAAGAAGAATACAGGTAACTTTGACACTTACATTTCAAAGGATGAAACTTCAATTCTAGAGAGGCTTTGACCTCCCTCACGGAAAAGGCCAAATGCGGCGTCGTAAAACTGTCGAGCAGCAACGAAATTTTCAAGGATCTGTACATTGTTCCCCTCAAAGGTAGTATTTTCAGTCGAGTTAATTAACTACAACTCGGGCGCTTAATTTCAGACGACGAAGAACTTCCTAATTGGTTGCTCCCGATGAATGGGCCCGGATTAGATGTTGATCACCCAGCGATCTTCCTCCTCGTCATGGTCAAAAGAAATCAACACCGTTCGTCGCAGCAGAGAAGGCCTGAAAGAGAAAAACAGTAAGAACTCCGCCCTTTTCTTGATTTTTCTATTTTTTTCAAGCCGAAGTCGAGAGAGAACGTCTTCAAGCCGCTCCCATCATTCTGACAAATCGGGCGACAGCGAAACGCCTCCCGTCGTGGCCCCTGCTTCCGGCAGCGAAATAACCGCTCCCTCCGTACTTCCTATCAGCGAAGAAAACTTCGAAAACATAAAAGAAACGTTGAAGCTCCTCAATCCGGCGAGTTTGCAGCCTGATCCGCCGCTCGAAGCGCCGCCAGCACCGCCGGGTTGGGGCAACGACGTCCCGCCGCCTATCACTCATCCTCCGATTCCGCCGCTGTCCCACAATCCTACTGCCGATCCGTACTACGACCACCCACCACATCAGCCTTCACGCGACTTTGACATGCGCTCTAACCGTCCTCCACCGCCAAGCCACTATCCTCACGATGATCGAGGATGGGACCGAAGAGGACCTCCACCCAGAGATGATTATTATAGAGATGGTAAGCTATCGAACCCCATTCTCAGGTTGCCAAGCCTAATTCACAATTGGCTATTGTTTTCGCGCTCTCCTCCTTGATTTCATAAATTTTTCAGACCGCCGCGGATATGATCGCGGCCCTCCACCACGCGGCTGGCACGACGGTGGTCCCTCTCGCGGAGGTTACCGAGGTGGCGGGCGAGGCCGTGGCCGCGGCTTCCATCACGGCGGACGTCGAGACTACTAGCCGCGCTTCTGAAGATTGCTGCCTTTTCTCACGCTTCTGACGGAAACAAAAAAGCTCAAGTCTTGAAATCTGTAAACCATAGTTCCTGGCAATCTACAACTATCTAAATTATCAGTTCGTCAGCATTCTTTCCACACTGTTACAGTAAACTGTTACTGTTATTCTATTCGGTACTGTACTTGTTTCTACTGTACCGCACATTCACACTGCTTCAGAGAAAAAGGGAGGAAAGTAGATTAATTCCAAGTTCAGTAGAAAGAACTTGGCTTGAGCTTTCCTCCTTGTTTTTTCTGTCCTCACTTAATATTTAATAATGCTACGGGTCTGACCTCTGGTTTATCTTCATTGTAATCAAACCTACAGTAACTACTGTTACAGTCAATTCAGTTATCTGTAAAATGAATTCTGGGGAAGAGAAAATCGAATTTTAATCTTTTGAAATTTGAAGGAGCAATATTTTCAGATGGGATTAGATGATACATACAGTAATTCTACAGGCCAAGTACAGAAAGTCTAAAAAGCAGCATGTCTCATTGGTCAGAGGGCGTGTGCGAATCCGTCATCAGGAGAGATAAGGATGGCGCGCTCAATATCAGAATTCGCGGCGGGGCAGAAGATGGAACTTTTCCTTACTTTGGCCCGGTCGAGTCCACCAAGGTTTGATAAACTTAATTTCTGGGTTGTCAATTGTCAACTGGCTTGGTTAGATAAAATACGAGTCGGGTGTGCCGATCGATGAGGGCAATATCTTGCTTGAAGTGAACGGGCAGACCGTGGCTGGGTTGACACTGTATGATTTGAATACTATCATCGCCTCGACAGAAGATCCCGTTCAGCTGAAAAGTGTCAAAGAAACGAATGGCATTTCGAAGCAATTGAGACAGTACCTGAGTCTGAATGTGACGAGAGAATCGGTCGATCACGATCTTCAATCAATGATCAGGTAATTTATTAATTTTCTTTCCTCATTTTATAAAAAACGGAAAGGGACAATCTTTATCTGCGAACAATGCCCTGTACAACCCGTTCTCCTCGCGAAAACGAAGTAGACGGAGTTGATTACCGATTTTTGACGAAAGAGGAATTTGAAGATCTTGAAAAGAAAGGAATGCTCGTCGAAGCCGGACTCTACGAAGGAAATTTCTACGGAACTCCGAGGCCGCCGAAGACGCCGCCAGACAGTCCGCTTATAGAAAGTTGGCGGGAGCCGAGTCAGACTCATATCGAATCGAATGGAAAAGCTGGTGGAAATTTACCAGATGGTTGGGAAATGGCAAGAACTGAATCTGGTGAGTTTTGATGGTGAAGTGATCCAAATTAAACAGTCATTTTTATTGAAAATATATCAAATATTTATCAGAAAAGTTGTGGAGAAAACAAAAAAATTATAAATACCACTCAAGCGAATCGAAGAGGAAAATTAAACAAAATGTTTAAGGTGAGGTTTACTTTATCGACCATGTCAATGAAAAGACATCGTGGGTGCACCCAGATCAATTATTCGACGGCGCGAACAAAGGAGAGCCCGCTATTCCAGAGCCGATGGTGATTCAAGCAGATCCCCCACCGCCTCATCCCTCGAGAAACGCCAATAAAGAGCGACCTAATATTCACATGTCTCTCGAAGGTACCGTTTATGGCCTAAGGAAAGTCCTAGCGTCGTGCACTTTAGGGGAGGTGATCGACGTAATCCTGTGCAAAGGAGAGCGCGGTTTCGGATTCACAATTATCGGCGGCGACGAGCCCGGTGAATTCATTCAAATCAAATCTATCGTTGCCCAAGGTAACCAACTCCATCGACAAGGTCAGTATCTCGCATTTCATTCTGAAAGAAAAATTTGAAATCATTATTTTGGTGTTGCTTTTCTGGTGAGCTGCTTATTGCTGTAGTTTTTTCATTTCACAAACTCACGATTGAAATTTGTCCCGCGAGATGCTGAACTTTGCTGAAAACTAGCGTGCTTCTGCTGCAAATTTGAATTTTTTCTCAGGGCTGACGGGAGTGATCCCAGGAGACATGCTCCTCCGGGTGAACGACGAAGCAGTTCTAGGGCGGCCCCATCGCGACGTGGTCAAAATGTTTGAACAAGTTGCGCCGGGCCAGACCGCTGCGCTACAACTTCTCAGAGGCTATCCGCTGCCGGCCGATGCTGAAGAAGAAAATCAACAAAACATTCCAAAGGTAACCTCTTATCCTCCCGGTCCTTTTCTTATCCCTGTATTAGCTTGACTCCTCCGCTTCCGACTCGAAAAACAACCATCGTTCAATGCCAGACCTCGCCAAATTGACCTTTTCCACTCATCCCTCCTCCACCACCCGAACAATCTCCCAACCTCACCTTTCTCTCGACCTGAACGGCCACCACCACCATGGTGGAATGAGTTCCATGCATACCATCTCCGTGCCAATCGTCAAGGGAGAGAGAGGATTCGGTTTTACGGTTGCTGACGCAGCTCTTGGACAGATTGTCAAAGATATTGTTCAGCCTCTCAGGTATTTGACTGAAATCAAGGAAGAGAATTCCATTTAGCACAATTTAGATGCGGTTCTCTTCAGCCAGATGATTTGATATCGGCGATTAATGGAGAAGACGTTTCTCATTTATCTCATGATCTCTTGGTCGGAAAGCTCCAAAGCTTCAAACTAGGAGATGAAGTGACAATTACAGTCAGACGAAACAACGAGCCAAGCCCAAGCTCCATTGCCAGTAGGACCGGATTCTAACAACCAAGCAAAAATAATTTGAATGAGCTTGCACTCGAAATTAATCAAATAATCACACAAAATCAAGTCGTATTGATTCAACCCTTCGAGATTTGACAGGGCGTAGCTCAGAAACTTCAATCATTAATCAACTCACACAAGGAATTTCTCTAAGATTAATTCCTCAAAATCACATGTTATATCCGCTAATTGAGCGCAGGCGCACTCATTCCGAAAAATAATCAGCCCTTTGAAGCGCTCTTATTCGGTTAGTCCAAAAATCAACTGGAGTGATCCTTTACTAATCATCGTCAAATTACCCCATCGCTTCTTAATTCTGATGTTCAGAATATCGACAACGAGCTCTAGGGGAATTCGAAGTTGTTCTGCACCGACAACCGACTGGTTTTGGATTCAGGATTTTGACTGGTGAAACTGGTACTCCTGGTGCTTCTATTGGAGATATCATTCCAGGTAACATTCCCCTGATTTTCAGCTTTTCAACCCTTTTTAAAGGGGGCTCCGCTGCTCACAGTGGCCAAATGCAAAGGGGTGATCGCCTACTCGCCGTGGACGGACATGCTGTCAGTGGCCTCTCCCACTCCGATGTTATCCAGCTCATGTCCAAAGCAGCCCGCGTTGGCCACGTGACCTTGGCCCTTCGCCGCGATGGGATCAACGGATCAGTAACTGGCTCTGAGCCGGGGATCAACGGCGGCTCAGAACCCGCCCAAATGCGCCGATACCACTCGAGCTCGACATGTAAGTGATTACTTTCTCTTCCATCTGTTTATCTGCATCTGTTCTTTTTAGTCAAAAACAGTGAGTTTTCTGATCACTCCAGAGAAGATATGCTGACAAGTTCTGGGGTTGAGTTTACTTCTATGAGGGAAAGCGTCATTTTACAGCGACAAAAGGATGAAGGCTTCGGTTTCATCATCATGTCAAGTTCCAGGTAAGAGATTCTCTTCCTTGATTTCAATAACTGTATATTTCCAAAGGACGATTCCAAGACATCGTGTTGGAAAAGTAATGCTGGATTCTCCCGCTTATCGCTCAAAACTCCGAGTTGGAGACCGCGTTCTAGCTGTAAACGACGTTTCCATTGATGATTTGAGTCATGACAACATCGTCGCTTGCATCAGAAAATCTGGCCAAACCCTTCGTCTTCTCGTACGTTCTTTTTGATAAACAGTTGAGGAGCTTTCTTTTGTAGACAATTCCTGTTTTGAAGTGGCGGACTCCGCTAACCCGCTCCGCCGGCGGCTTCGGTTTCGGCCTCCGCGGGGGACGAGATCATAATTTGCCCTTTTACATCCTTCGTCTTGCCTCAGATGGGCCAGCTGCGAAATCGGGAGAACTGAGGGTGGGAGATATTGTCGAAGAAATCAACCAGACCTCCACAGGTAAACGAGTTGTATTTAGCTTGATTTTTATTTTTTAAAAATAGACGGGCTGACGCATGCCGAAGCAATCGACCTGATTAAATCCGGCGGAAATCATCTTGTCATCACTCTGCGCCGGGGAGACGGCACCGTTCCCGATTTAACTGGCCAAAACTCCCGGCCTGGATTAATTGCCCCGAGCAGATGATTCGAGAAATTTACAATTTTTAGCTGAAAAAAATTCTCCTCTGAGCCAGTTCATCCCCTTTCTTCTAAAATAATTCATCTTTTTCTTCCATAATTCTCGATTTTCTACAAATTCCTCTATTTCTCTGTATCATAATTAAATATTATTACTCCCTCTATCAAACCAAAAAGAAAGTTGCATTACACACAATTTAAAAGCCATTCATTCTCATTTTTAATTCATTCTGTTCACAAAAAATGTCTCTATCCCTAAACCAAGCTTCCTCATTCCGCTTCTCAACTCCTAAAAATATGAATAGAAAAAATACATAACGACCCATTTTGCTCTTTTTAAATAATAAAACACTGCATAGCCGGGATCGCTTTATTACTCCTCTCGCTCAAAAAACTCCAAGTATCGTAAAATTGCCCGATCTTCGATTTCGATTTGCTACCCTTCTTTTTCTAAAAGCTTACCGAAAATTACTGACCTTCTCCTTTTTATATATTTCTATATTTTTTCCTATTGCGAAAAAACTTTGATAAAATATTAAACAAAAGATAACACCACACTGCGTCTTTTTCTTCCTGCACCAGAGAGTCAGATATTCTGAAAATATTTCAAGGTCAAGAGCACACGCGCCTGGGGCAGAAGAAAGCTGCCCCCGCGGGGTGGCATACCTAATCGCCTGCTGAGCAAAGATTTTTGCTTTTTTTCGGTCGATAACCACCAGCTTTTTAGACTAAAAATAAACCACATGAGAAGTTGAAAAAAGAAGAAAAGCCCTAATCCAAAATCTTTAAATCTGCCACGAGAGAAAAATAATCACGAGATCCAGGATGGCTTCGCAAATTGACACAGAAGTCGAAACGATCACTCCAGAACAGAGATCGCCAGTCGGTGGTGGGCCAGTCTCAGCGCCGAGGAAGAATACGGATGATTTTGATGAAGACGAAGATGCTCCGTAAGTAGGTTCATAAGGACTCTCTTTCAACACATTCTCAGAGATTATTCGGGAAGCGAGTCGGAAGATGCGTACATCATGCCCCGCCAAAGACAAGGGCACTACGAAGACGACGATGATTCGTCCTCCTATTATACCGACGATGATGGTCCTGTCGGGGCTCTTGCTTGCTGCTGCGGGTAAGGAAAAATTCTTGGCAAAAAAGATTTGATAATTCTTTAGCGTTCCTTCTTGTTTCAAAATAAAAGCGACGGAAGATGTCAGTTTATACAGACGATCATCAAATGCCATTCTAATCAAACTCGCCATTATCTGCTTCGTTACCGGCTCCTGTAAGTTTCCCTTTTTATTGATCTTCTTTTAACAATCCGCTTGCGGCTTCGAGTCATAGAAAATATTTGTAGGTATGTGGGCTGTGCTTGGCTACTTTCTGCCGAAAGAATTCTCCGACGACGCGTTTTCTCATCTCAAATCTACCTCGACAAGTACGCTCGCCCTCCTGCTTGTTGGTTTCTTTTACATGCTGACCCTCTTCGGTCTTTCCTACAAAACCCTCAAAAACGTCAACAATTACGACTATGCACCGGTGATGGCAATTTCGATCTTCTCCGTGCTCACGTGGCTCATTTCTACCGCCGCCAATATTTACTGCATTTTGAAAGTCGGCGGCTGGACAAATTACACGATTTTCAACGGCGACATCGCAAGCCAGGTAGGGGAGCAAGAGTCTTCCTTGATTTCAGAATCAGATAGGATTTTTGACAAATTTGAAAAATCAACTTTAAACTTTATAGATATTTCCCGGGCGTGCACGCAGAAGTGCTCCAGAGGTGATAACCGGTGCTAAAACGGAGTCATGATAAAATATAGAATTTATAGAAAATTGGTGTTATGAATACTCAGTACTAGAATTTTAAGACAATACCTGAAAGAGCCATATTTTCAGATATTGCTAGATCTCATCCTTTTTGTATTTCGAAAACCCTCGATTATTTTTTTATTTTGTAGCTGATCGATCCTTCCATCGCCCAGCTGATTGGAAAATTTGCGGACAAGTCGACAAATGAAATTCTTCAGGCGATTTTCACCCCTCAGGTACTGTCGTAAAGAAGATTCCTCCTTTCTATCGTATTCAGGCTTTTGAGTTGATTCACTCGGCGGAGAGAATTGTAAAATTCTGGCTGATGGGCGGGTGGTTCATCTTCAACATTTTCCTCCTTTCCACTGTGCTTAACTTGCGTCAATTCCGCCAAGCTTGCGAGGATTATGACGATTCCGAATATTCTGATACCAAGTCCCGCCGCTCTTACTCAAGCAGGACGTCATCGCGCAGCAGAAGCTCGCTCCGCAGCCGTCAGTCTGGAAAGAGTCGAAGAACTAATCGCTCAGACTATCCTCCACGATATCGAGACATCAGTCCTCCTGCTACTTCCGTCATTTCCGCCCGTAAGTTCCACTTTTTCGTCATTCTTTCACTCAATCTTTTAGGGAGCAAAAAGTCCGCCTTTTCAACAAGAATGAAGCCCATTTCACAACGAGAACCTCTTATTCACGAATACAACGACGAGCCAACTTATCTGACTTTGGCTAACAGTGCTCCAGGAACAAGACAGTCATTCGCTCAAAATGCGCTATCGAAGCGATCAAGAGCTTCTGTAGCTTGTGGTACGTTTTTTACTCTTTTGATAGCAAGGAGGAATACCCTCCAACTTCAGATTTTTTTTAATTCTAATCATTTTCAGCTGATTTGGGCGCCTCCGTCAACTCCTATTGCGATGCGCCATCGTACATCTCCACCTCCACCGCACCTCGAGTTGGAAATGGCTACCGCCCGAGAAAGAACATTTCCGCGCGCGAAGACTTCCTTCTCCAGCCTTGAGCAACTCCAACTCCAGGCCTTGCTAGTCTCTATTTTATACGAAAGACTCTCCTCTATCATTCCTTGATCAATGATCTATCCCATCAATGATCATCAAAAATATCGCTCTTTGAAAGTTCCTTTATCAACCAAAATCGCAAACAGAAATAAGTCAAGTACTAGCGCATCTTTCCAAAATTGAATTACACGGTTGTATATTTTTGCTTCCAATTTTCGCGCTTTACTTTTTCAACACTGCTTGTTCCTTTTTCAATATTTCTGTCTCTCTTTCTCTCTTATTGTGAACCAGCTTATCTCGCTTTATAAAAAACCGTTTTCCCAGTCATCTTTGTCCCCTTATTTCAAAAATCTCCCACTTGTACGCTTTTTATTCTCGAATTAGTTCAACCCCCGAAACTTAAAAAAACCTACCCCTTCTTATCTAAGCAAAACGAATTTCAAATCTCGTTCCACTGATCTACTTAATCATTGTGTTACAAACAAAAAACTGTGTGCTTACGAAAAAAGCTGACCTGTACCTTATCTTATCTTCCAGAGAAAAAAACAAGAAAATAAAGGCTAAACACCTCCTCATTCTTATATTTTAGAAATTTCTTGATGCTCATTCTTGGAACTTTACTCCTCACGATTATAAATGGACAAACCTGTTCCGCACCTGGCGATTCTTGCGTGGAAAGGACTTTTATAGCGCTCAAGCCTGATGCAATACAGGTATAAATTCCTTCTGATCCTGAAACAACCCCTTTTTGTCACTTGAAACTCATTTATTTGATTAGCGCGGGCTGGTCGGCGACATAATAAATCGATTCGAACGAAAGGGATTTCACCTTCTTGGGCTCAAGTTTGTTCAACCTTCGAGACAGTTGGTAGAGAAGCATTACGAGGAGCATCTGGGCAGGCCGTTTTACGAGGGATTGGTGAATTACATGACTTCTGGTCCTGTTTTGGCTTCTGTTTGGGAAGGAAAGAACATTATTTCCAGGTTTGTCTTTTGAAATCAAGGAAGAAAGTAATGTCTTTCTTTTGTTAACCGACGAATGTAAATCAGTTGTAATCATTGACCCCTTAATTTTATTTATGATAGCTTACCCGATATGACACCCTTTTGTTAGGCCCTGGTTTAATTTTTGTAACGTTCGTGTTAAGTTCAAGGTCGCTGTTGGGCGCCACAGACCCGTCAAAAGCAGCGCCCGGGACGATCCGCGGCGATCTGGCTACCCAAGTCGGCCGTAATTTAGTACACGCTTCCGACTCACCTGCCAACGCGGAGAGAGAGATTGGCTTATGGTTTCAGCCCGAAGAAGTGCAAAGCTGGAGCAGGGCGCTAAAAAAGTGGATCAATGAAGAGAATTGACGAGAAAGCGAAGAGCAAAAAATATGGTATTTAAAAGAAAATACTGACCTTACAACTACTGACTTCTGTTTACAGTTATTAGCTTTGATGTTGAGAATAATAGACAAATGTAATAAGTGAAAAATGATGAAAATATGATCATGAAATATATTTTGAAAATAATGCAATTTATAAAATGTTACAGAAAATGAGTTCACGTAGTTACTGCTTGGAATATTATTCTGAATATATCATTTATGAAAGTATTACCAGAGGGCCCCCGTTTCATTGTTGCTAAATCGTACCCATCTTGCACCCTTAATTTCTATTTTTAAGAAATCCAAAAAATTGCTGCCAAAAATTGAAAATTCAATTTTTGAAATTTCAAAATCAAACTTTTCAAATCCATTTGACTCATAAATCTTTTTCAGAGATACTGGAGTCGCCGAGTTAGATGTATGACAAGAAATTTGCAAGGAGTAGGCATCTTTCTCCTGATCGGAGCGGTTTTTTTCTCCTACGAGATCTTCATTGATGAGAAAATTGTCATCCCGAAATCAGTCCTCAACTTTTCCTTCAAGCCTTCTTTCCTTGTCGATTCAGTAACTGGTTCATTTTTGATTGAATTTTTCTTTTCTCTTTGACCGAAAATGACCCCAGACACAGATGTCGACTACGAGCTACTGTACAGAGATGAAGACGAAATCATCGACGGCGTCCATTCTGTAAATACCTTCGATTCAAACGGCACCGATACAATGGTCTTTCTTCACATTCAAAAAACGGGTGGGACGACGCTCGGCACTCGCCTTGTAAATCACATTGGTAAGAATCAAAATATCTTTACGTAATTTTATTGTTCTTTGATAGCCGGAATCGACCAAAATCAGCTTTCCATAAAATAAAAATAGTTATCTTGGTTCGTTTTCGATTTTTATTAGAGATATAAAATTGATTTTTATGTAGAAAAGGCGTTTTCAGAAAATTTACAAATATATATTGAAATCAAGAAAGAGTTCATTTTTCTAGGTCACTTACTTAGCGAAAAGTTAGTTCAATAATTATTGGCCTTCAATTAATTTTTTCCCTTTCAAGAGCACCATAAATGCATAAAAGTGCCCGAAACAAAGCGCTGGCAGTGTCTGCGCCCGCTCGCTAATGCCCCAAGGACTCCTGAACCAAAGCAAATGAATGTCCCGCACACTTGGGTAGGATAACCCTAAAACAACATAGAGGGGTTAAATTGGTTTGTTTAGCTTTTCAGTCGGTACTCGACTGGCTGGCTCTGTGGGCTGCACGCGGATTGGACGGAGTTACAGGGTTGCGTAGATGAGAAGTTGGATGAAATTGCGGGAAAGAAGGATCGAAACTTACTGTACATAACCAACCTGAGAAACGCAACGATGAGGTTTATTTCTGAGTGGAAACATGTCCAAAGGGGCGCGACTTGGTAAGAACAATCTTTTTCCTCCAAAATTAACCCCTCCAAGGTCCGGCTCGACGCTAACCTGTGGCGGCGAGCAGCACACTAACCTGACGACTCAATGTTTTGACGGGCCGGACTGGACGAACGTCACTTTGGCCGACTTCACTGCCTGCAATCACAATCTCGCGTTCAACAGACAAACGCGCATGATCGCCGATTTGAACGAAATCGACTGCTACAAGCATCTTGGAGATTTGACCCACATTCCCGAAAACATCGAACGGTTAAAGAAACTCTGAAATGTCTCTATTTGAACCCTTTTTTCAGGAAGATGCTTGAATCAGCCAAGAAAAACCTCGTGAAAATGCGCTGGTTCGGGTTAATCGAGTTCCAACTCGCTTCAAAAGAACTCTTCGAATACGCCTTCCAGCCTTTGCGCTTCGACATCGAATTCGAAAAGTGGGACGACACGCACTCCTCAGCTGCTATTCAAGACATACCTCAAAAACTCATCGACGAAATTGCGCGTCTAAATCATCTTGACGCGGAGCTGTACGCTTTTGCGCGCGATTTGCCAATCGGGTTCCGACATTTTTTGACACTAATCGACCTCTCTTTTTTTCCGTGAAATTAACCCGTTGTCGTAAAACATGTCAGAACCCGTCGAAAAGTTCTTCCAGCGCTACCGAAAGATGAAAGAAACCCTAAACGGCGTGTCCAGCGAGCCCCCAGAAATGCACTCAACTACCGAAAAATAAGAAACTCGAGACACTACTAGTTATGCCATGTTTATTACCTAATGCCTATCCCTTCAAAAATACACTTTCCTCTTGTGAATATTTAATAAAAAGAAAAACAAATTCAAGCATGCAAGAGTCAAAGAAAAATCATATTTGACCTAGCATCTTCACCAGATTAATGCAATTGAATTTTTTATCTCAAATAATTTTTAGAGATAAAATTCGTCAGAAATTTTTTTGATTTCGCGAAAATAAAATGTTGAAATATCAATTTCGTAAGGACTCTTGGTTCTCATTCCATCAAGTTTGTAACCAAAATATCCAAAGCCGCCGTAAAAACTTTGTGCCGAGAAAGGAACTGTGTAGTTCAATTAAGTCTGTTGCTACTCGAAATATACTTTGGTGATGTTGATGGTCCGAATATGCTTTGCAGGTCTCGACAAAGAGGTCTCTCCGATTATGCTCTAAATACCACTTTCCCTAGTACCAAAATAATTTGTGATTGCTCAATACAACCTAGAGGCGTATAAAAAGAAACCGAAATTACCCGTCTCTCAGTTCCAAATCTGACTTACTTTCCTCAAGTCAAAAATAAGAGCAAAATAATGAAGCTGATCCAATTCGTTTTGGCCAGCAAGGTTTCAGGGGGATACTACCAGAAATGGAAACACCTTTCGGCAACAGAGAAAACTGAACGGCAAGTGACTTGCGATGCCAAGACTGAAGAGACAAAGGCCTTGTTTGTGATCGAAAATGGAGCTTGGAACTGCCCAAATCTCGGTCTGACAAGGCCAAGAGTCGTCTGCGATCCCACATGCCTTCCTGGTTACAAACCTAACTGGACTGATGGGTCGATTTCGAAGCCGAAGAAGGATCATCCACGATTCATGACTCGCTGCGGCAATCCGGCGAATATCGCCAAAAGGTACCTTTCTTTCTCTTTTACCCGCGCTTATTTAAATCAGAAATCTCCCGTCCGGAATCCAGCTCGCCTGTACGCCGATTCCAGAGCACCCGTGCATGGCCACTGCCGCCGGAGTCACTATTCCAAACGGGAGCCTTTCGTTGAACACCGAACTAACGCCTGCAAGAGCGACTTTCGACGTCGTCTGCGATTGGGGAGACCATGGGCAAGCTCTACTGCAACAGAGACTCGTTTCCTTTCTGGAAAAATCCCGAATACGAAACGATGACCAACGCCTGCGCGGATAAATGCGGTTACGATCCGTGCGATGGATTGGACGACTGCAGCATCATTGTTGATGCATGTGAAATCGATCCAGTGAGAAACAATCTTCGGATGATTGCTCCTGCTTCTCTGAACTACAGAGTCTCCGCTGATGTTTTCTGCGGTGCTCCTTCTTATACAAACGACTATTGGAGAAACGTGCTTCACGTGACTGATGGAAACAACGAGTTCACTCCCGGAAGTCGAACATTTGCACTTTGGAGGTCGGTTGACGCGCATGTCATCAATATTCACACAAACAATCCCAATGGCGATCACATTTCTCCAAACGGCCAGCCTGATCACTCAGACGTAACTGGCTTCGCTTGCACTCCGGGAGAATGGCATACATTTTCCATCGAAGTTCGTCAAGATACCCAAATGCCTTCACAGCTTAATGCCGATATACAAGTCGACGGAACTTCAATCCGCTCAGTCAGCTTGTAGGGGTTTTGCTGCGTAAAAACTACAATAAGTTTTGGATGAGCATGGTTTATTGAAAAATCAAAGTTGTGTCGAGTGGAAGTAGAGTTGAGTGTATGAGTGTCTGAGTGGAGAAGCAGAGTTCTTTATATAGTATTTTGGTTCGCGTGAATGGAACTTTATTCACGCGAATAGAACACAGTTTCATTTGGGTAGAATGTTTGTTCACAGAAATGAAAGTTAATTCACAGGAATGAAAGTTGGTTCACAGGAATGAAAGTTATTTCGCGTCGATGAGATGATAAATCGTTTGGAATAAGTTTTGTGTGCTGGCGCGGCTCGAGTTCTGTTTGAACGGATGAAATTTCGTTCGCGCGGCTGAAGCGCCGCGCGCGCGGGTGGATTTTCACGCGGATGAAATTAGTTTAAGCTCAGCACTTTAAATCACGTGAATCAAGACTGATAGTAAATAATTTGGATGTTGCGCAAGCAAATCCCGTACACATCCACCCTCCTTAAAAGAAGTCTTGATTCAGTCTTTCTTCAAGAGTCCTTGCAGCAATTGAAGTTTCGCTCTCGGAGTAGCCAGGAGGAGAATCAGAATCAGGTAAAGTTGATTCAGCTGTGTCGTTGATGACTTCGTTGAAGATTCTATTTTGTGCATCTTCGTGGTTTTCGTTAATCTCGTGTTCAGAAGGAGATGGATAAGGTTGTTGGAAAGAAGGTTGTTGAATAGTAGGTTCTAGAAGAGTTGTTGCTGTCAATTCGTCGTCCATGGGCAGTTGTTGTTCAACGACGCGCAGATTGGTATTTCTTAGTCCCAAATCTTCGAGATGTTTTACAAAGATTATTTTTGCGTTTTCAATCAGGGTTGATAGGTCGGTAGCATTTATTTTTGATAAATCTTTCCAGAGGGATCTTTTTCCAAGAAACTGCGCTTCAAAGGATTCCTTTATTCTCGTTTGTGCTTCCTCATTTTTGATCCTCGAAAAGCGAAGAAGTAGCGCTCTGTATGAAAACGTGAGAAGAGACTGAATCGGCTGCTCTCTTCGTATTTGAAGATCAGGTTGGTAGTCGTAGGTTCCTTGTATCTCCTCAATAGTATTCTTGACGACTTCGAGAAATCTTCTAAAGATACGGGTTTGTGGCTCACTTCGTAGATTGTTCAGGTCGACTGTATATCCAAGAATAAAAGAGAGTGATAATTGAACAAATCTTCGTTTTGGGTCAAATTCTTGTAAAAAAGGAATATATTCTACAATTTGATCTCGTTTTGGTTTCTCCATCTCTGCTTTTGAACAATTTTCTGAGAAATGAGAAAGTGATTTCCGGAGTTTTGCAGGTGATTTTTGTGTTTGATCTGCGAACGCGCGCTCTTGCAGGTGTGGGATCGCGCATCACGTGACAATGTGTTTGCTGCATTTTCTCACTTTTCTCGTTTGGACCATTTTCTTCTTTCGGTAGATTTGATAAGCTCAAAATTATCATTAAGGATCACAATACTTGCAGTCAATAAGCAAGTCTTTTTTTTTTCAATGTGCCTCGTAATTTCTTCATAAATTTTCTTTGCACGGTGTAGCTTGTGGATTCATCATATTTCATTTTTTTTTTTCATAAAAGCTGCAAACAAGAGCGGTTGCTTCTTTTTTTTGTCTTCATATTTTAGTAGAAATTTTCAAACTGGAGCGGCTTCAATCTGGAAATTTTGCGCGCGGTAGATTTAAGCATCACAGAAAGTTAATTTGAACGAAAAATATGGCCAATAAACTATCAGCACGGTAGTCAGCTACGGTTGGATACAATGCGAGGTTTGATGTTGGAGGTCCCTTCTCCGGTTGAGCAATCGCAAGGGTGCTATTTGAGTCGGTATACCAATTGGACTTCGTTTGCAGGTGATCACAGTAGTAAGGGCATGAGGCCATCCTCTCCTTCTTATTTTTGGAGCTTTCTTGGTCGGAGGCGGTTCGACCAATTCTCATTTTTAGCATCATCTCCAGGGCAGACATCATTTAAGTCAGTAACGTCATGTGTTACTGTATCTTCTTTTATGTCTCTCATTTCCGGAGCACATTTTTGTTCATTTTCTTCGGCAGGTGAAGACAAATCGTATTTCAGAGGGCGTATAAGCTGGATATTGCGTCTATATTCTCTTTTTTGTTAGAATATCTTTGACGATGTAACTGTCTTTACTGATCCTTTTGTGGATAACAAACGGACCGTACCATACGCGGTTCAGTTTTCTGAGAGCAGGTTTCCAGATGAGGACTTTTCTGCCAATCTCTAGAACAGGACAATCATTTTTATCTCTCGCCAGCAGTTTTTGGTATCTGGCGACTTGTAGTGAGACAAGACTAGTGTGGAGCTTTTCCATGTGTGACTCAAGATCATTTAGCCACTTGGCATTGGGTTTTAATTCTGGACCAGTTTTCGAACAGAAGGGAACATGGAAGCTTCTGCCATAGTAGCACTCGTTAGCACTTCTTCCATCAAGAACTGTTCTTGGTAGGTTATTAAGGTAGTACCGCACATAATTCCAGGCGGATGACCAGTTTCGGTGGTCGGCATTCATAAGCTTCAATTTGGAATTAACTTCTCTATGCCATCTTTCAAGTTTTCCATTTGATTGACTTCGGTAAGCAGTAGTTCTTGATAGGCGAAGCTCGAACTTCTTGAATACTGCTTTTGTTTCAACTCCAAATTCTTGGCCATTGTCACAATAGACATCATTTGAGATCCCATGGCGCAAGATGAGTGTTAGTATTCCTTTGGCAACCACTGTATCAGATTTCGTTCCCAAAGGTTCACCATCGATAAAAGACGTTAAAGAGTCGCAGCAGGTTAGCAGATATCTTTTTCCGTTTTTATCTTTATCTCCGAAATCCATCAAGTCGAAGAATGTTTGGGTGAAAGGGACTGATTCGAAATGTCGGTTTCTGATCATCGATGGTCGTAGTTTACTGTATGGTTTTACATGAATACATGTTGTGCACCTCGTGGTTACTTCTCGGGTTTTACTTTGAAGATCGTGAATGTAGAACTTTCTTGCCATTTCATTGAGTTGTTTTGATCCAGCGTGACATGAAACTACATGAAGAAAACTGATAAATTCGAGACTCAGGTCGTCTGGAAGTGCAAGGCGATCTTCTCTATGCAGTAATCCATTATGCATTTTGAACTTCGATTTCGGATTTTTCAAGGATTTTTCTATCAAGTTTCGTGTCTTGGAGCATTTTGATTGGAGGTCTATCAGATCATCTTTTGTAAATCTTCGGTCATCGAAAGAAAACACGATTTCTTTGGTTGATGAAAGTCGAGTGTGGAATGAGAAAACGGTTTCTGGTATATCTTGAAATGACATCGAATCTTGTTCAAGATCAGCGCTTGAATGGGAGCTCAGCCTACTCAGATAGTCAGGAGTGCACATGATCGGGCTATTTCCAGGCTCGTGAAGAATCTCGAAGTCGAACTTGGTCAAGTAGTTATGGACATTCGTGAGTTTGATGTCGTTATTCTTGTAATCACGTTGTTCCTTAAAGAGGAAAAGAAGACTTCGATGGTCGACGACGCATTGAAACTTCACATTCAATAGGTAGTACTCAAAATGAGAGATTGAGTAAGCTAATGCCAGTAGTTCTTTATGGCGCATACTTCGCTTCAAGTCAGGTCCTTTTAGGCAGCGAGAAAAATACCCAAGAATGTTCATTTCATTATCAACATTCTGATAGAGGATTCCACCAACTTTTTTTCCACTACTGTCAGTAACAAGGATGAGTGGTTTTCCAAGCTGGAAGTGGCTCAAAGTCGGTTTCTTCAGTAATTCTGACTTGATTCGCTGAAATGCTTGCTCTTCTTTATCACCCCATTTGAATTCGGCATTCTTCGCGGTAAGATCGTAGAGAGGTTGTAGAATCGCATTCCCGTCTTTGACAAACTTGAGGTTGTAGTTGAAAACACCAATAAGTCTTTTAACTTCGCTTTTGTCAGTTGGCGGGTTGAGGGATTGAATACATTCCAAGTGTTTCGATGTGGGGCAAATACCAGATTTACTTATTGAGAATCCAAGAAAGTCGGTTTCACTTTTGCAGAAAAAACATTTTTTCGCTGACAATAGTAATCCATGGGTAACACATTGTTTAAATATGAATTCCAGCGATTTCATATGACTTTCGAATGAGTTATCAATCACAATTAAGTCATCCAAGTACTGTAGTACTGATGGGTGATCCATTATCTTGCGCATAATTCGGCTGTATGCAGATGGTGCTGTACTCACTCCATACAGTAGTCGGGTCGGCTCGTAGTGAACGTTATCATAGCTGAACGCCATTTTCTTACAGTCAGTTGAGAGCGTTTGAATTTGCCAGTACGCTTTGCTCGCATCCAATTGGCTGATAAAACAGGATTTACCATTTGAGAGTCGGTTTCCAATTTCTGTAAGTACAACAGATAAATGTGGGAGGGGAAATTTATCTTGTTGTAGAAGGCGGTTCAGTCCTCTTGCATCCAAGGATATTCTTATAGAGCCATTTTGTTTTCGCAAAATAATGAGTGGTATATTAAATCCAGATGAAGTTTCTCTTATGATTCCGAGGTTTTTCCAGTGGGAGATCTGTTCATTGACTTGAGCTCTCATGTGGATTGGTATAGCTCTTGGTGGTTGATGAGTTGTGGTGGTTTCATCCAAAAGTGGTAGAGTGAAGCGGTAAAAGTGGAGCTTTCCAAGGTCATTGTCGACATTCATTGTGAAAGCCAATCGGTAGATATTTACAAGGTTTTGCAGTTTTTCTTTTTGTTGCGCATTGATGTCACCAAAAGATCCAATTTCAGGTTTGAAATTGAGCTCTTCTGCTTTTTGACCACGCAGTTTTTGAAAGTTTTGTAGATTTTTTTCTTCGTTTTTATCGTTTTTGAGTTCAATTATAGCATTTACATTACATTTGGTTGGATGAAGATCAGGACGGATTGTTTTGATTTTCAAGTCATTCCACAGGATAAAATCATCATTTGGAAATGCGACGTTTTTC